GAGTCGAATTAAGCATCTACTAATCGCGTGATCAAAAGCTAACTAGTTACGAGCAAAATACATCAACAGCTCCTTTTTCATTAACAAATTTGAAATTAGGGTGAAATGGTATATATACATATGATGTATGTACATATGTATATAATAGATAGAAAATTTTGAACATGCAAACTTATCAGTTAAAAATTTAGCAGTTTACTATACTCATCTTCAACATATGGCATCATTTAGCCAAAAGTAATAAGCTAAATTTGAAAACGCTTAACATAACACAACAAACAACACATTGGGTCTCAAAATTTATTGTTTTATTAATGTTTGTGTACATATTTTTACCCTACCCTACCCTACCCTACCCTACCCTACCCTACCCTACCCTACCCTACCCTACCCTACCCTACCCTACCCTACCATACCCTACCCTACCCTACCCTACCCTACCCTATCCTACCCTATCCTACCCTACCCTACCCTACCTCTGTAAAGAAAACCCTCTCTTGTCTTGCGTTATACTTGCTCTAGTTCTATCAACCCCTATCTCAAACCTACTGTATGTCTGCCCTAGCTTTACTCTTTGCACCTTAACCCTGTCATAGCCCTGTGATGGCTTTATCATATCTTACCTATATTCTTTCCATACACAAGTTAAATCTTACAATCTTTCACACTCTACCGTACATTCTAGCTTACCCTGTCCTTACTTTTCTTACCTTATATTATATTTGTCTTACCTCAGCTCTACTGTAGTTCTTGCTTAGTCTCATTCTTGCTATATACTATCAACTTTAAAAATTTTAGGTTTTTAAATTCTAAATTCAAAATTCAAAAAATCTTAAATAAGACTCTTTATTACCTTATTTTCTCTCACAAAACAAAACTCAACCGCATGAAACAAAAAAAAGTAATAATAAATTTGAAGAAGCAGTAACAATGTAATAATAAAAAGAGTTTAAAGTTGATAGCAGTTTAAGAAAAGAGCTAACTGCAGCTTCTGATGGTCTTCATGTTTGCGAGAAAATGAGTCACATCGACCGGTATTTTGGAAAGTTGATCAAACTTTTAAGAGAAATTGATTTGTACTATCGAATGGTTGATACTGAAATTAATATTAAAATTTTTTAAAAGTTGCAAATATGTGGAATAAAAAATTGTCAAAAAAGTCTTTTTGTCGGTTTTATTATATTCACAGTTAAAGGCAGCCGGTTGCAAAGTAAAATTTTTTTTATTATTTGAAATTTATTATCATTACAGTACGTATGACAAAGTATATAACTTTATTACAATTCTATGACAAACTACACGACATTTCCATATTGTGTTGAATTCGATTTGTTTATAGTCGCTGAGCCTCCTTCCAGACTCTTTCAAATGGTAATCCACCAGTTGCGTTTCTCTTCTTTATGACACGTCAGCTTTTGAGCCCTATATAAGAAGGTTTTTTTAATTAGAAGGTTGTTGTAAAATACGCTGTAGTACTTTCTCATTATTTTACAAATCAAGAGTTGGGAAAGGGTCTACCAAGAGCAAAGTTGACGTAGGGCGGTTAGGGTATAGCAACAGTAGACAGAAAGGCAAAAGTAAATGAGGCATATAACAAGTTAATAAGGTTGAGCAAGGCTAGTATAGGTCAAAGGTAAAGTATATAGGACATAGTAGAGCAAAAAGAGAGTAAAGGTATTACAGCAAATGCGTAGGCAAGAGTCAAGGATAGGGTTAAGTATGAGTAGGCCAGACTACAAGTAACGTAAATAGAATAAACGTAAGATAAGAGTAGAGTAAGACAAAAATGTGCAGAATAAGGATAAGCCAAGAGTAAAGCGAGATAAAGGTAAAACAAGGGTAGGGCAAAAGTAGAACAAAGCTCATTCCCTATCCTGACATTACCCTAGCTCATCCCTATCCTGGTCAAGCTATGATAGAGATGAGCTAGGGTAAGGGCCGAGGTATGTAAGACAAGGATAGTGTAAACTTTAGGTTTGAGTATGGTTAAGTTTTAGGGTAGGGTAAGAGTAACAACGTAAAGCGGTTTGGTCGGGGATAGATTTTTTGTATAATACTAAAATTGCGATTAATAAAACTTTTTAAATTTTAAAATTAAGTGACAAATTTTTTTTCACTTTTCTAATTTTTTTCTAGAAAAATCTAGAGGAAAAAAGCTATTTTACGAATTGCGGCCAGGTGCTTGGCTTTTCACTACTCAAATGAATATTATTCACGATATATCGCTTCAATACGTAAAGTATTATAAAGCGTATTGTTTCAATAGGAATTTTTTGAGTTTTTTTTTCGTAAAATCTATACTGAAATTCATTTTTTTATGTTTTAATTGTTTTTTAGATTGAATATATTATTTAACCGTTATATGTATGTGCCGTATTTTACAAAATCTAAATTTCAATTTTTTTTAAATTTTATTTTGGGTTAGGGGTAGTGCTGGAGCTAGATCCAATGTTACGGCTAGAAAAAACGTTAAATTGAACAGTCTTTTACCGACCTTGTTACCATCTTCTTTTCCATGTAAAACCCGCTTATCATTTTGTTTTTGATTACGATTGACCGACCTAATTTGCAGGTTGCTTTTCAATTATTGCAGTACTTTTTGGTGTTACAAAAACATTAAAATTGACTACAGAAGGATTGTTTTCTAAAAAAGATAGGCATTATTTTAATGAGTTTGACAGATTTTCGTTAACTTTTATCAACCATGACGTTTTAAAATTGTCATTGTATGCATAATAAAAAGCCTTATTTTCAGTTTTTGATTTGCTTTTAGTAACAGCTCTAGCAGTAAAATTAGCTCTGTCAGTGTTTGTAGCTTTAACTTTAGCTCTAGCTCTAGCTCTAGCTCTAGCTCTAGCTCTAGCTCTAGCCCTAGCTATAGCCCTAGCTCTAGCTCTAGCCTTAACGCCAATTTAATAATATAAATATGAATCATTAAGATATTTTTCTTCAGTTTAGACCTTTTAGATTAATCTGCAAACTTCTCGAACTTTTCCTCTGACCCGTCTTTCCATCTCTAGCTCTCTCTCTCTTTTCTCTCTCTCTTTTTATTAACCTCTAAAAAACACGTCTGATTTGACCTTCCAAACCTTTAAAACACAAACTGGCATTATAGAATTCATTTTTCGAAGCAAATCAGTTGGTTTTTGTCTATCAAACCTCTCCAATCTATAACTCTCTTTTCAGTTTAGTATGGAATGGCAGCTGTCGCGGAACTCTTTTTTCGAAGGGGTCAAAAAAGAAAGAGGGGGGGGGGTCTTTTCGGTCTTTTTCGAATTGGCAATGGCCCGGTCGCGGTTTTTCGAGGGCCAAGTGAACGGAACAATAAGTTGCAATCCGATTCTTTCTCGCTTCAAAGGTTTTAAAGGTTGGGGTAAAAATTTGGAAAAATATGATTTTTTTAACGTTTTTTTTTCAAATCCTATAGAAGTTATTCGTATTTTACATTTTTTGTTGTAGAAACTATATTTAGTTAGTATTATGTACGATGGAACTCCTGTACAACGAATCGCTCGGGGGCTTGAAATTTGTTCGTTATAGAGGAGTTTCGTTATACAGGAGTTTTAAAAGCACTGTGTAGTGTTGGCCGGGGACTTAAAAGTTGTTCGTTATACGGGAGTTCTACTGTAATAGATTTAAAAAGTTTAAGTTACGTCCTTCTGCAAAATTTATATTTATGGCAAATGTCGTATTTTACATAAAAAATAAATTTACTATAATTTATTTAATTTACGCTTTCTTCATAAAAATCGTGTTAATGAATAAAAATAGGTGTGACTAGGGCTATGTGTAGGAGATAAAGGCAAGATAAGACATTGTTGTACATGGTAAGGAAAGGTACGGATGAAGCTAGAAGTGGGGCTAAGGCTACATTTAAAGCTAAATCTAAATGCAAAAGGTTTGGCTAAAGTTATGTCAATGCTAAGAAAAAAGGTTGAACTAGGTCGTAGGCTAAGGCTCTGGGCTAGGGCTCTGTGCTAGGGCTCTGGGATGGGGTTCTGGGCTAAGGCTCTGGGCTAGGGTTTTGGGCTCTGGACTCTGTGCTCTGGACTAGGGCTCTGGGCTGGGGCTCTGGGCTAGGGCTCTGGGCTAGGGCTCTGGGCTAGGGCTCTGGGCTAGGGCTCTGGGCTAGGGCTCTGGGCTAGGGCTCTGGGCTAGGGCTCTGGGCTAGGGCTCTGGGCTAGGGCTCTGGGCTAGGGCTCTGGGCTAGGGCTTTGGGCTAGGGCTTTGGGCTAGGGCTCTGGGCTAGGGCTCTGAGCTAGGGCTCTGGGCTGGGGTTCTGGGCTAGGGCTCTGGGCTGGGGCTATGGGCTTGGGCTAGAATAATATATTGTAAAATACGAAGTCGTCATCTGTTCTTTCTTATATTGTTTCTAAAAATTATTTTTTCTAAATGGTCATTTGTTGTTAATTTAAAAACGACCCAAAATTTTGTTATTAAACTATAAAAAACATAGTTAGAAGCCAACAGTTCACAGAACCCGAGAGAAACCGGTTGGATGTCCAGAACTGTTTCTTTTGTAACGGGATCCGCCTTTTCGCGAAACAAGTTACCTTTAAACGGTTATTGCGCGGAATAAGTTACATCGCATAAATGACCTTGTCCCGCTTTACTGCGCGTTTTTTCAAGAGTTTTTTTTTGTCGAGATTCTCGAGCTCCACGTCGACTTTTATCCCATTTATAATTATTGAGAGGGGGTTTCTTTCAACCCTTAGGGTTTGTTGCGTAAGGTGGAAGGACAGGTCTGAAAATAGGCCTGGAAAGTTTTTGCAAAAACTGTCGAAAATTTGACATTTTGGGTAAATTTAGAAAGGTAAAATAATTTTTTTGTGGAAAGAAAGTTTTTGCAAACCTAAAAAAAATTTTTTTTAATTTTTTAAATTTTTTTTTAACTTTGATTTTTGAGTACCAAATTTAGTAGGTGAACCCATTTTTCGCGTTTTGAAATTAAAATTTGAAAAAAATGTATTTTGTTACCTATTACCTACTTCCAGATCAAAATGCGGTTAACCCTAGCCTTGGCCTTTACTGTTGGCCTAGTCCTAGCCAACCACCCTCACCCATTGAGTGATAACGAGCACTTCAAGGGAGCCGAGCACGATAAGAAGTTCGATCATGAGGCCTTCTTGGGAAAGGAAACGGCTGCTGAATTTGATGAACTCACGCCGGAGAAGTCTAAGGAGAAGTTGACGTAAGTGTAAAATACGGTATTCAGATTATTCGATGGACCAAAGATGGCAAGAACTTTCTTCACAAAACATAAAATAGCAAGAACTTTCTTTAAAAAACATAAAATGGAAAAAACTTTCTTTACAAAACATAAAATCGCAAGAACTTTCTTTACAAAACATAAAATAGCAAGAACTTTCTTTACGAAACATAAAATGAAAAGAACTTTCTTTACAAACCAGAATCGGCAAGTACTTTTCTTAAAAAACATAAAATTGCAAGAACTTTGTTTACAAAAAAACTTATCTAACTTTATTTAATTTCAGTAAACTCATTCCTAAAATGGACTCAAACGCTGACAATTTCATCGAGGAAGAAGAGCTCCGTGATCACATTCGTTTCATGCAACAACGTTACGTCAACAACGATGTCGACCGTACTTGGAAGCACTACAAGGACGACCAGATCAAGGACGGTCTTCTCAGCTGGACCGACTACCGTACCCTCGTATACGGTAGCCCAGACGGTGCTGGTCAAGAGCTGTCTCCAGAATACCAAAAAATGATTAAGCGTGACGAGCGACGCTGGGAAGTGGCTGACTACGACAGTAATGGCAAGCTCGACCGTACTGAATACGGCTGCTTCATGCATCCAGAAGACTGTGACCATATGAGAGACATCGTCGTCCAAGAGACTATCGAAGACATTGACAAGAACAAGGATGGTGCTGTCGACCTGGAGGAGTACATCAATGACATGTACCGACCAAACGACTATCCAGAGTTGAATGGCAAAGAGCCTGAATGGGTACAGTCGGAACGTGACATGTTCAAGGAGCACCGTGACAAGAACAACGATGGCAAGCTGGATACGGAAGAGATGAGAGAATGGATCATGCCCTTAGGCTTCGATCATGCCGATGCTGAAGCCAAACATCTGTTGGGTGTGGCTGATGATAACAAGGATGGCAAACTGAGCCCTGAGGAAATCATTGCTCATTATGATACTTTTGTCGGATCTCAGGCCACTGACTACGGAGAACAACTTCAGAAACACGATCCTGCTGATCTTTAAGGGGCTTTGAGTATGAGATTTTGAATTTTTGAAATTTTTTAAAATTTTTAAATTTTTTTGAAATTTTTTTAAAATTTTTGAATTCATCGAACTTACCCTCCCCAACTCTTAAATCTGCCTTAGTAACTTAAAATATTGTAATCTCTTTTGAACAAAATGAAAAAATTGGGTATCTGTTTATTAATTCTTCTAATAATTTATGTGCATTTATTCATAATATATACCAATAAAGGCTGTCAATGATTTTAAAATTTGATTTAACTTGTCAATAAAGCTTAATATTCAAAGCTGATGGTTGTTAATGTTTATAAAATGGAAAAATTAAATTAGGAATAAAAAAAAATTTTTAGTGTAAAATACGTCAAGTAATTCGAAAATTTTTAAGAACTGGTAAAAATCAATTTTGTAAAATTTCAGAGTTTTGTTTTGCACCTCTATGTTTTAGTTAAAAACAGATTTTAGGTAACAAAAAAATTCTTATATTTTGAGAATTTAACTTACCGTTTTTTACAAGCCTTGCTCACAAGAAAGTGTTACAACTTTACTCAGAGGTTTTTTAACAAAACTTATATTCAGTGAAACTCCTGTACAACAAATTGCACGTGAAGTTTTAAATTTGTTTGTTATGAAGAAGTTTTGGTAAGCAGGAGTTTTAAATGCACTGTGTAGTGTTAGTCATGGTTTTAAAAGTTGTATGTTATACAAAACTTTTGTTATAGAGAAGTTTGTCTTCCAGAGTTTCAGCAGTGTTTTTTTATTCTGAAAGAGCATTAAAAATTGTCTATAAACGTGCTTTTTCAGCTGCTGTGAAAGGCTGATGATACTATCAACATGGAAAGTGCTCCACCTGTCGTGCCCTAATTGACTTCAAAATTTTGATAGAGAAAGCTCATGTAAATTCAGCAAAGTACCAAGTCGCGATTTCCAGGAAACCTTGAGAAAATTAAAATCTAAAGATTACGTTTTAAATTTTTTGCCAAACTGGCAGTTTTTCAAACTTATAACTTTGTCATTTATTTAACTTTTAATTTTTTTTCTTTGAAATGCTTTGTAGAAAACCTTTAATCAAATTTACACTATTTAATCTGTAAGCGTAGCTTGTCTGGAAAGTCGAAAAAAGTGTTTGAAAAACAATGCCAAATTTTTCAAGTAGGCGGGAAATTCAAATATTTAAAATTTAAAACAAAAAGCACAAGTTAAAAACTTTTATGGTTACTGTTGATAGTACTTAGAAATTATATAAATATTTTGAACTGATTTTAAACAGGGCAGGTTGGCACTTTCCTTGTGAGTCGGGCAGGTTGAGTACTGTTTTCGTAAAAAGTCATTTAGAATGCCAATTACAAATTGTCTATCGCATCAAAAACACTATATCACAACACCTCAAACCCTCCAGTTCCTTCAGCTAATGTCACGTCTTCGTGACTCATCCAAATCCCTCGATTAATCGACTTTTACTCATCATCCCCTCGGCTTTTTCGACCGAGTTACCTTTACCCAAAAAGAGACGTCGGAAGAGATAGAAAGATATATCGGCGAAGCGCGACTTCACGGGATGAGAATCGCTTCCACCACCTTTTCGAATCCCCCAAAAACTCCCAAATTCACCCCGAGTTATGCCGGCGGCTGTCATTTGGGTTTTATTCTTCGTACAATTGGCACAGGCCGCGTTCGAAGTACCTTGTACTCGTAAGTTGAACAGTTTTTGAGTTTTTGAAGTTTAGGTAATAAAAGCAAGGTGTTTGAATAGGAGCGGCAAATTATAAAATTTTAAAATTTTTCAATTTGTTTGAAAAAAAAATTTTTCTACTCTTTCCTTCCCTACCTTATGCTTTATACTAGTCTATACTTCTCTACCTTATTATCTTATTCTACCATTCCTTACTCTAACGTAACCTCTTTAGCATACTCGGTCATGCCTTACCCCAGCCTTGTCCTAGCTTTGCCCTAGCCTTGCCCTAGCTTTGCCCTAGCCTTGCCCTAGCTTTGCCCTAGCCTTGCCCTAACCTTGCCGTAGCCTTGCCCTAGCCTTGCCGTAGGCTTGCTCTAGCCTTACCTTAGCCTTGCCTTAGCCTTGCTTTAGCTCTGCCCTACTCTTGCCTTAGCTTTGCCTTAGCTTTTCTTTAGCTATGCCTTGCCCTATCCTACTCTACCTTTCTTGCCTTATCCTATCTTGCTTTATTCTAGCTGTTTTTTGGCTTTTCCCAGTCTTGCCCTAGTCTTGTTCTGGCCTTACCCTATCCTCACTTTACCACAATTCAATCCCAATTTTGTTATATTAACGCAAGTTCCATCTTATCCTACCCAAACTACTAACAATTTTAAAACCATTTCCCCATACTCTAACTAAAATAAATTCTAGAAAAGCTAATCCGCTCCAAATGTCTCTTCGACGAAGAATGTTACGGTCAAAATACAGTATGTAAAGATGGTCGTTGTTCGTGTCCGACTAATTTCGAAGAGTATGATATAGATGATCAAAGGACAGTTTGTCGGTTGGCACCAGCCAAGATTGGTGACTCCTGTCAACGGGACTGTAAACCGCCATTGCTCTGCAGGGATGGTAAATGTGAATGTTGGGGTGGCAGTGTGGTCAAGGGGAAGTGCACTGTTCGTAAGTTTTTGAAACTTTATTTTTTGAATTTTAGAGTGTAGAAACTTTGTTTACAGAGGTATTTTTGAGGATTTAGGATAAAATACGTTTATTTATTAAACAATTTTAAAAAATCTTTCGATTTTTTTTAAATTCAAATTGTTTAATTTTTTTTAATTTTTAAAAATTCCAATTTTTTTAGCCTGCCCGCCCGGCCAACAACTATACGGTGTAGAGTGTACTCGTGTAGCACATTGGGGACAGCAGTGTGAAAAGGACTCACATTGTGTTGATCCTTTCAATTCTTGCATCGGTACCACTTGTCAATGTGCTCCAGGAACCCACAGAGACCCTGCTACTAATAAGTGTTTTGCTAGTAAGTTATATTAATAAAAACATAGTTTCACGAAACGTATTTTACAAAAAAAATTTTTTTACAAATTGTTGAAAATAGCAAAATGAAGAAACTTTCTTTACAAAACAAAAAATGACAAGAACTTTCTTTACAAACCAAAAAACACGTTTTGTCGTATAATTTGTCACCTGCAGGTTGCGTGTTACTATAAACGAGCTTTTTACTTGTTATTGCAAGAACTTTCTTTACAAAACAAAAAACGGCAAGAACTTTTTTTACAAAACAAAAAATGGCAAAAACTTTCTTTACAACCCAAATTTTAGCCTGCCCAGATGGAATGCACCCACGCCAATCTTGTCGTCGGTTATTCATTAACGACGTAGACATGCTTGACAATGCTGCTACAACCGACTCATGTTCTACTGGCTTCAGATGTGTGACATACGGTTCACCATACATTGGACATTGTTGTAGACTCAAGTGCCCTTATGGGGATCCGGATCTGACGTAGGTTAAGATTAGTTTGGGTTTTTTGCAAAAAATTTTGTTTACAAAAAAGAAAATGGCGAGAACTTTCTTTACAAACTGAAAAGTGGCAAAAACTTTCTTTGCAAAATGAGAAATGACAAGAACTTTCTTTACAAAGTCAAATATGGCAAAAACTTTCTTTACAAAACAAAAAGTAGCAACAACTTCCTTTACAAGGTGAAAAATGTAAACTATCGTATAACTTGTCACCCGCAGACTGCAAAACCCTTTTCTCTTAAAAAAAGCAATAACATGGCGAGAACTGTCTTTACAAACAAAAATAGCAAAAACTTTCTTTACAAGTCTAAAAATTGCTTAATATCTTAATATCTCTAGAATTCGTATTTTACAAAAAAATTTAAAAAATCAATATTGTAGTCAATCCTGTGACGCCGCATCTCCAGAAGAGCAAAAGTGTCGTAAACTGACACATTTCTGTTTTACCGTCTCTGAACCAGGATGGAAGACATCGTTATGTTGTCCATTACCATGTAGAGACCCAACTCCCATCTACAGTAATGGCCAATGTCTAAGTGTGGCGCATCGTGACGACCCATGTCAAGACGACACTCAATGTGAAGGTGGAGTGGCAATGCAATGTCTCGGTGGACAATGCCGATGTCGGCTTGGGTTTAAGGAGGTAAGGAGAAACTGAAAAATTAAAAACGCAAGAAATTTGTTTACATAGCAAAGAAATAGCAAAAACTTTCTTTCCAAACAAAAAAAACAAAAACTTTTTTTATAAAACAAAAAATGGCGATAACTTTCTTTAAAAAGCTAAATCTGGCAAAAACTTTCTTTCCATGTTAAAAAAATGCCATTCCAGACCAACGACGACCGCTTCCCCTCATGTCATAAGTCCTGCCCTTTAGACGAAGTTCCAATGGCAGATAAATGTCTGCTAAAGTCAACATTAGGGGATCGTTGCCTAACTTCAAAACAATGTCCAGAATTCGCGGAATGTCGTTATGGGCTATGTCAATGTCAATGTGGATACAAACAAGCCAATTTCATTGGCGGAGTACGATGCACAAATCCAGATGATCCGCTTAATATAAATACCTTCTTGAACGGAGTTGAACAACTTTTTGGACAGAAACAAAGGGGCTTTAATGGACCTTGAAGTATAGATTTAGATTGAATTTGTGGACTTTATAATAGTCATGTAAAAATATTTTTAAATCTATTAATATAAATTTTTAAAAAATTAAAAAACTTTTTGAACTTTGTTTCAGCCCTGTTTCTAGCTCAGTGTTACATTAGGCATAGTACCGCTAATACTTTCCCAGCGTTGCCTTAGCCTTAGCACTAGCCCTATCCAAATTTAAAAAGAGCAAAACTATTTTTTAAGATATACTTTTCCTCGTATAACTTAGTCGCGCAGCTTGCAACCTTTTTATTATACACAAGTTACATGCGGGGCCGTATTTTACAAAAAGTGGGATGATGATCATGTTACGCAAAATTTTTTGTGTTTTAGTTAGACGTACTAAATTCAATTTGATTTTATTAAACTGTATATTGTATTTATTGTTGTCATATATTATATTGTACTTAATAGAGATCGACACAAAATGAAACTCTTTGCTTCTCTTCACCTCCCCCAAGCGACGTTTCAAAAAAGCTATTGCTATTTTGTGCCGATACCTATTAAAATTATTGTGGATATCTATTGCTGATTTGAGATTTAATAAACTTTTTCAAAGTGAAATACGCCAGGTTATTACACAGTAATATATTTATTTCTATATTAATGCTGTTATTTTTATTTTTTTTCAGCGAACCGGAGGCATTCCAAGCAAATCCCAACAAATCCAGTTCAGTCTGGCCATTAGGTCTGAAACATAAAAATTTATTTTTAAATGAAGCCATATTCTATTATAAAGGGTGCTTGAAGAATTATCGTATTTTACAACAACATATAGTAAAATACAACTATATTCAAATTAGCATCACCTAGTTTAATTCATCAAAAAATTTACTTTTTTTGGTTTTAAATAGGCAAGTATAACATACCACTAGTTCCCCAAATAGTGTTGATTTCCTGTCCATTCCGCACCATATTTACTGTGTTTTGAACAAAGGTGTGTGGATCTATATCTGTAGCCAATATCTCTTCCAACATGTTGATATATGCTATGGCTAGATTCAAGGTGTCAATTTTGGATAACCGCTTTTCGTATGGAAACGTTGGAATTTTGTTTCGAAGGTCCTTGAAATCTTATTGATAAATATTTAAAATTTTATAGTAGAAAAAACTTTATTTACACAACATAAAATTATCGAAATAAAAGGATGGAGCGTATTTTACAAGAGTAAAAAAATAGCTAAAAAGAAAAATTTTAAAACCCAAGTTAGCATACCAAAAAAGCTACGTTAATGCCGCACATTCGTCGCCGTTCCCTAACGTTCGCTGGACGTTTGATCTCTTCTGCTTCTGAAAATAACAAAAAATAGTAAGGACTTTCTTTACAACGCAAAGAATGGCAAGAACTTTCTTTACAAAGCCGAGAATGACAAGAACTTCCTTTACAAAGCAAAAAATGACAAGAACTTTCTTTACAAAACAAAAAAGAGCAAAAACTTTCTTTACAAGAAAAAAAAAAGCAAGAACTTTCTTTAAAAAGCTTAAAATGACAAAAACTTTCTTTACACAACAAAAAAATGACAAAAACTTTAAATAAAATAGCCTTACCTTGATATAGAGAAGGTTCACATTGGTCGCCATTGTCATTTTGAATCCAGTTTTCTTGGCCGTAAATTGGCTTATGATCTTCAATTTGATGTTGTTGATCTAGATCAGCTTCAGTCCAGACCTAAAATTTTTTTTTGATTTTTGGGTGACATTTTATACGATGAAATTTATATTTTATTTTAATTTTAATTTTTTAAAAATAAAGCTTCAGGCCATTGTCACACAATTTTATAAAATTACTACGTACAACATCTCACCAACAACATAAATATAAATCACGTGTACAACGTCTTCTTACCGTATTGTATGGCTCCATTAGTTTCGTACAATTGCCACCTGGAACATGCTATTAGTGAGCAAATACTCGGAACACAGAGTAATAACAACGTCTTAATAATTGAAAGTTAACACGGTTTTACATTATAATAATGGCACTTATTAAAAAGGTTAAATACTTGAAATTAATGATAGATACTATTTAAAACTTACTACGTAATTACTTGTGTAACACGTGAGTATTGTACTTATTACAGTACTTTTTGTAATGAAATGTTAAGTTAAAAGAGCCTAGACCAGAGCCCTAGCCCAGAGCTCTAGCCCAGAGCCCTAGCCCAGAGCCCTAGCCCAGAGCCCTAGCCCAGAGCCCTAGCCCAGAGCCCTAGCCCAGAGCCCTAGCCCAGAGCCCTAGCCCAGAGCCCTAGCCCAGAGCCCTAGCCCAGAGCCCTAGCCCAGAGCCCTAGCCCAGAGCCCTAGCCCAGAGCCCTAGCCCAGAGCCCTAGCCCAGAGCCCTAGCCCAGAGCCCTAGCCCAGAGCCCTAGCTAGAGCCCTAGCCCAGCGCCCTCACCCAGAGCCCTAACCCAGAGCCCCAGACATGGCTTTTAGACATGAGGAACGGACCGGGCCTACCATTGCGGCTTTGACCTAAATTTAAGTCGGACCCGGTCTTGATTTTTATCCCGACTCGTTCGCACGTTAAAAATTCAGGCCAGGCCGAGCCAATGCAAAATTTAGATCAAGCCGAGCCTAAAAAATGGGTCCGGCCCGTTACTCATGTCTACCTAGCCTTAGCTTTATCCTTTGCCTTGCTCTACAAAAGAGCAACAAAAACTTTCTTTACAAACTTCAGATCCATGTTTATTAAAAATATATGAAAAACATGCCATTTCTTCCTAAAGCAATCTCTTTTTCTTATTATAAATGTCACTTACCGTATCCGTTTTGAAGGGCGCCGCAAGTGGGCGGTAAAGTTTGGCGCAAAAAGAGAATTAATTTATTTCCGAAAACAAGTTTGGCCACATAAATCTGTCCTCGTCTTGTCGTAAATATCATAATCTGGTGGAAAGATGCGGTTAGAATAAAGCCTAAAAAACTTATTTTAAATTAAAATTAATAAGGTGTTACATTACGAAAACGAGATGTAAAGCAAACATAACTCATCAGCAAAGGCTTACTTATATATAGTCAAACCTTGTTAGTATGCCGCTCAAGAGACTAGAACAAGTCGTTATAAATCAATTGTAATACTATCCAGACACTTTTGATAGAGCAATGATAGAGCAAGGGTAGGTCATGAGTAGGACAAAGAAACAGCAAGGGTTGAGCAAGGATAAAACATAGGTAGGACAAGGATAGCACAAGAATATAGCAAGGATAAATTAAGAGCAACGTAAGAGTAATTCAAAAGAAAAACCAGAGCATAGCAACGGTATAGCATAGGTAAGCCAAGAATAAGGCAAAAGTAAGGCTAGGGTAGATCAAGAGTAGGACAAGGGTAAAGCAAAGGTAGAGCAAGGATAGGGGAATGGTAAGAAAAAGGTAGTGTCAGAACCGGGCAAGAGTAGGGCAAAAATAAAGCATGAGTACAGCAATGAAGGCCAAGGCTAAGGAAAGTTTAGAGAAAAGCAAGGGCAAGGCTAAAGCAAGGTTAAGGCAAGGCTAAGGCAAGACTAAGGCAAGGCTAAGACAAGACTAAGACAACGCCAGGGTAAAGCTGGAGCAAGGTTAGGGCAAGGCTAAGACAAGGCAAGGCAAGGCAAGGCAAGGCAAGGCAAGGCAAGGCAAGGCAAGGCAAGGCAAGGCAAGGCAAGGCAAGGCAAGGCAAGGCAAGGCAAGGCAAGGCAAGGCAAGGCAAGGCAAGGCAAGGCAAGGCAAGGCAAGGCAAGGCAAGGCAAGGCAAGGCAAGGCAAGGCTAGGGCAAAGCTAAGGCGAGACTAAGGCAAGACTAGGGAAAGGCTAAAGCCAGGCTAGAGCAGGGCTAAGGCAAGGCTAAGGCAAAGCTTGGGCAAGGCTAGGGCAAGGTTAAGTCAAGGCTAGGACAAATCTAAGACTAGACTAGGGCAAGGCTAGGACAAGGGTAAACTAAGAGTAAGGCAAAACCTGGAAAGTAGTAGGGCATGGGAAGAACAGGAGTAGAACACGAGTAAAGCAAACATAAAGCAAGACTAGGGCAATGGTCGCTCAAGGGAAGAGCAAATCAGTCATTACTACCATACTTCAAAGATCCATACCACGTGTTCTTAAATCAAGTTGTTACCGTAAGACAATCAAGCTGTCAACCAAAGAAATCTCTTTTCATTCTCCTCCCCCCCCCCCCAAAAGTTAGTGTTTAAGGAGATTGGCGGCGCGATTAAAAGGCCCTCCACCAACAAATCAGGCGACTTGTGGCAAAAACTGTTTAATGCTCTTTATACAACCGGTCATTAGTCAGTGGCAGTCGTTTAACAACCAGATGTGTGTTATTTCGAGGCGCCGAGTAGATGACGTCCTTGTTCCAAGTTTTTAATTCTCAATTGTTCCAACCGGTTGGCTGATAATGAGTGGATTCACAATTGACGCTTTGTTAGAGGAGACGAGGCCCAAGCTGGAGGATGAGCATGGGTTCGGAGAGTGTAAGAGGTAGGGTAGTTTTTGCCATTTCTGGTTTTGTAAATAATGTTCTTGCAATTTTTTGTTCTGTAAAGAAAGTTTTTGCCGGTTTTCATCTTGTAAAGAAAGTTCTTGCCATTTTTTGTTTTCTAAAGAAAATTTTTGTTATTTTTTGCTCTGTAAAGAAAGTTTTTGTCATTTGTTACTTTATAATGAAAGCTCTTGCTTTTTATGTTTTGTAAACAAATTTCTTGCCACTTATTGCCTTGTAAAGAAAATTTTTGCCATTTCCGCGTTGTAAAGAAAGTTTTTGCTATTTTATGTTTTGTAAAGAAAGTTCTTGCCATTTTTTTTGTAAAGAAAATTATTGCCCTTTTATGCCCTGTAAAGAAAGTTTTTGCAACTTTTTCGTTTGGAAAGAAAGCTCTTGTCATTTTTTGTGTTGTAAATAAAGTTCTTGCTATTTTTTAATGGATATTTTCTTTTTTGTAGTTTGCAGTCTGCGAAGGACAAGTTATACGATGATTTTTTTTTCTTTTTAAATTTTTTGTAAAATACGTTTTGCTTCGGCCTATTTTTTTAACTTATGTTGTCATAACTATAATATTTTTCCCCAACTTTTATAAAAAAATCTTAAACATATCTCATTTTAGTCCACCATCGCTCTTCAGTTTCTCCAAATGTCATCGTCGTCGGTCCACCTTCTCGGCTCTTCAAGTTCACATCTTAGAAGCTGAATTCTACAAAAATCGCTACGTCTCCCCAGATCGACGAGCTTTCCTGGCCAACCTACTTGACTTGAGTCAACAACAAGTCAAAATCTGGTTCCAAAATCGACGTTACAAAACAAAAACAAAGCCCGAGGCGTCGAGAAGGCACAACGATCAATATTTGGCGAATTTACAGGCTTTTTGGATCAATCAGAACAGGTAGGGGCTTTGTGATATTATGTTAGACTTGAGCTCTGGGCTAGGGCTCTGGGCTAGGGCTCTGAGCTAGGGCTCTGGACTAAAGCTTTAAGCTAGGTCTCTGGGCTAGGGCTCTGCGCTGGGGCTCTGGGCTAGGGCTCTGGGCTAGGGCTCTGGGCTAGGGCTCTGGGCTAGGGCTCTGGGCTAGGGCTCTGGGCTAGGACTCTGGGCTAGGGTTCTGGGCTAGAGCTTTGTATGCATGGAGAACGTGCCAAGCTAATTTTTTAGGCCTGGCTCGATATGATTTTTGCTCAGGGGGGTTCAGCTCAAACTTTTTTATGTGCAAACGGGCAGGGCTTTTCAGGTCCGGCCCGACCAACATTTTTCTCAAGCCCGATCTGGCCTGTTCTCTATGTCTATGGCTTTCGGTCCATGGTTATCAGTTTATCATTTATTAAAAAAATTTACAAAATCTTTACCAAAATAACAAAAAAAAGCTCAAAAACAAATGACAAATCAAATAATATCTAAAAACTCTGTCCAATAACTGCAGATTAGAAGCTTCTTCTGCCTTCAGGACTTCTTTTTTCAAATACAAAGCCAAAGTCACTTTGTAGCCCAAGAAAAACAAAATTTCCACAAAAATAAACACTGCGTAGGTCACTGAAAATAGTTTTAAATCATGCTCAAATACTTTTAAAATTATTGTCATTTTATAAACTTAAGTTTTTAGTACTAGTACTATTAAAAAATGGCAGCTTTTTTTAAAATTGGGTAAAATTTGGCTAAAATTCAACTTTAAAAGGTTGTAACTTACTGCAATAAGGTGTAATTTCATAGTTAGGTGGCAAGGTAGCGGATATTTTAATCATAGTTAGTATCAAGTACAACAAAGACAGCAATAGTAATAGCATTGAGTTGTAAAAGTTCATTAAACTGGCTCCAACCAAGGCAAATCTAAAATATTTTTTTTAAAATACGCCTTTTTTATCTCCTTGCGTTAAAAATAATGTTTTTCTTGTTTAAAATTTTATTAATGCAACAAAATTTAAAATAAAAAATATTTTTAATTTTTTAAAGTCAATTTAGTCGTCTTTGTTATTACAAATGCTTTAAAAACCGGCAAAAAGGGAGTTGCCCGAACCAGGATTCGAACCTAGGACCTTCTGTTTACGAGACAGACGCTCTAACCACTGAGCTACACGGGCCTGTTCGCTCGTCTCTTTTCTTTCCATTTGAGCCAAGTGCGTGCGCTTTCGGGGAAAAGAGGTCAGAAGGGAAGGGTTTTTGAGTTTTTGTAGATAATATAAACGTGAAAAAGTTGTTTTTATTTTGTTTTTTAATGTAAAATACGGTTTGTTTTGTTTTGTTTTGATATTTTTAAATCCATTTTATGCCTAAAATCGCTTTAAAAATCGTTTTTTTGAGCGTTTTTTTTTCCCAATCTAAAAAATTTTAAAAATGAAAAAATAGAAAAAGCTTACACAGTAGCGCAATACAGAGGCAAAAGCACAGTATAAACATAAGCTCCATAATTTCTGACAATTTGAAACTTGTACTGAACAAAACTGCCAGTAGCCTTCTTGACCTCTCCTCGACGATACTTTACATACTCAGTAGAAACACCCAGTCCAGTAACGTAATATCTAGTCGCAGTCATGTTCTTAATCTCATATGCAGCATGTTTTGTCATACTATTACCGCTCATGATAGACTCTCGGTCCATAAATATATGGTTATCACCAAACGTGTAGTTCTGACCGTGCTGGAACCGGAACGTTAGGTATAATGAACACTCTGGTGTGTCATATGGATAGTCTGCTAGGTCTGAATCACATGCCATTTTGACTGAGATTTTGGTGGCAGCAAGCACGGTACCATCGTGTTGCACCATGAGTTCAGTGTTGTAGGGTGACATGATACTCTTCCTGGAGGGTAATATTGACTTGAGTTCGATTGGTGGCGTCCAGAAAGTATTAATGTCGTAGCCAGTGACAGCTAGCTCATTAATGTTGCCAAAGTCTTGTGGTTCCCAGTTGAGGCGGGTATCAGTCCAGCTGGTTAGTAGGGTGGCTTCCATTACTAATGACTGGTCGGCTTCGTCCTTAATTTTGATTATGAGTTAGCGGTAAGGTTCGGGTTCGTTCTAAGACTAGAGTTAGGTCTCTGTGCTAAGGCTTTTAGACTAGGGCTATGGGCTAGGGCTCTGGGCTAGGACTTTGGGCTAGAGCTCTAGGCTAGGACTAGAGCTAAGATTAGCATCAAGGCTAGGACTAAAAACAGGACCAGGACCAGGAAAAGGACCAGGACCAGGACCAGGACCAGGACCAGGACCAGGACCAGGACCAGGACCAGGACCAGGACCAGGACCAGGACCAGGGCCAGGACTATTGCTAGAACTAAGGCTGAAACTAGGACTAGCACTATATTTGTTACCTAAAGCATAATATCATCAAAAAACCTTACAAACTTTCTCAAATGGTCAGTGATGATAAACGTGTCCAACTCCAACGTAGTATCCTTAGGCTGTGTCGAGACATCCAAAGTCAGAAACGAGTGCATAATACCTTCTCTAGCCTTCTTAACAGTCGCATAATCATCATTGACCTCCTTAGCACTAGGTAACAATGCTACTTGAAGCAAGTTGAACATTGACAATGTTCCAATTGCTGTCATTTTCCCGAACATTGGCCACGATTTTGGTTTTTAAAATGTGGAAAAATGCGGTTTTTTATGGATAAACAGATATGCGATGACAAGGTTTGATGTGCGTATAAACAATGGTGTTCTATTGGTGTGGTAGTCAGGGGGTAGAGAGAAAAATAGTGAGGAGGAGGATTAATAATATCCTACCCTACCTTACCGTACCCTACCCTACCCTACCCTACCCTACCCTACCCTACCCTACCCTACCCTACCCTACCCTACCCTACCCTACCTTACCCTACCCTACCCTACCCTACCCTACCCTACCTTACCCTACCCTACCCTACCCTACCCTTAGGTACTCTATCTTACTCTTAATACCCTATTTTATCTTACTCTTGTCATACTCCGTCTTACCACATTTTAAACGATCTTATCTTACTTTAGTTACCCTGCTCTGCTTTGCCATCACAGTATAGAAAAGTAAACCAAAAATTTTTATTGTAAAATACGAAGACGAAAATTTCTCCATTCATTTTCAGACAATCACTGCCAACGCCAGTACCACCCGCCCAATTTTATCAACAAGTCTTTCTTCAGATGCTGCAAAATCAACAAAACTTTATTCAAAAACAATCTTGTGAGTAATATATCTTTATTGAATATGTACAATGAACCGCGTTTAACAGTGTGAGTTGGCAGATATAAGTGGGAGTTATTTGAACTAATTCAATACTGTGAGTACTAATGAAGATAAGGGTAATACATTTTAAAGATAAGAGTAATTTACAGTAGTTGCACTATTTTAAAAAGAATTTAAAAATTGGCTGAAACAGCGTTAAAAAGAAACAAAATAAGACCTAAACCTTAAAATACCCGTGAAATATTGAGTATTAAAGCATAAAACAGCATAAGCTCAAGTACTTAAAAGGTATAAACTTTAGTACTAAAACAGTATAAGCTCCGGTACTAAAACATTATAAGCCCTAGTACTAAAACATAAAGCAGAGTACAACGTGTTAGAACAAATCGGGCCCACGACGCACTTGAAACGACTGTTTGCGCTGACTTTCGCTAGCCAAAATGGTTGGAGCATCTGGAATTGCTAAAAATGATCGTCGTCGTCGCAACTCACAAGGCTCATCATCATCAGTTGGTGGCTCAATAACTATCGTTTCGTTACCTGCATGTTGAACATCGGGCAATGATACGGTAGGCATGTGGGTACGGTCGATTGGACGAGGTATTATCGATTCGGTCGAACATTTTTTGATTATAAACCCGTTTTCCGACACGTTTTGGCTTTGGTACTGAAAGGATAGATGGTATAGTTAGAGTAGGGTATGGTAAAGTAGGGTAGGGTATAATAGGGTAGGGTAGAGTTTAAGTTATACAAGGCTACGATAAATCCTTTTCCGTATTTTAAAAACGTTTTCATCCCCTTGCGACTACTCTGTCAAATTTAAAAAACCCTCAAACTTACCCTCATCTCATCCAGATCCTTGGCCGAGCAATCCGGAGTCTCAACATCAAAAACATTATGAAATTTGCCAAAATCAATCTTATATTCACCATTCTCTCGCTGATATGTCACCAACTTCTCAAATCTCTTGCCCCATAATATTTCATTTGGCAAATAACTAGTCCTAGCCTGCGTAGTCGACCCCACCGACTCTACCACACCCTCCAAAATGGCAATAATCTCAAAATGTGAACTGGCCAAGCCTTTCTTGCTCATCTCATATAAAGGTGAAGATTCGTCTATCTCATGACATATCGTGATCGGCCATATAACAAACACACGATCCAGTCCAGTATCATAGCCTACATTCATATCGAATTGATGAAACGGTAGAACTTCGCCCTCCATCGTGACACACTTTTTGATCATCTGAAGCCGAACGTGAGCTTCAGCCAACGAACTCTTCCTCATGTCACCAACTCGGAACAGTAGACACAGTTTACCATCTCGTGTACATATAACAGCGTTCTTACTGAACAATATTGTGGCAGCACGTTTGATTGGTCTTGCTAATTTAGCAAATATTACGCCGGCCATCAGGGTTTGGGCCATTACTCCCACCATGAATTGAAAACACATTGTCATCACTGTTAAAGGGCAAGCATCGGTTGGGTATCTAAAGTTTGGAAAGTTTGAAAAATAAAAAGGTATAAATTTATAAAACAACCTTTAAAAAAATTTTTTTTAAATACAGTGAAAGGTAGATTGAACGTATTTTACAAAAAAAACTTACGAAAGCGATCAAAAATTTAAGTGAAAACGTAATGCCAAGATTTGGCGAGAAATTCAAATATATTCAAAGATAACCAACTTTGAATTAAAAAAAATATATTTTTTAAATAAGTTTTTTAAGCCTAAAAACGTTTTTAAACAATAATCAAATTTTAAATCTTTTTTCAACTTTAAAGTTTGAATTTTCGATTTCCCGCCAAACTGAAATTTCGTTTTAAATTTTATTTTTTGTACGTAAAAAGATATTTTTAAAGACAGTTAAAAATCTCGTATTTTACAAAAAATATATATTAATTTAAAAGCCAGAGCAATTGGCTTGCAACACAATGCCAAAAACCCGCAAAATTTAAAAATTTTTTTTAATTTAAAATTTATATGAAAAATTAAAAACCAGCAAAAATATTTAAAATACAGTGGTCTCTCTATATAGTTTACCATCTGTATAAGCAACTCTCCTTATAGTAAACAAAAAATTTGGCCCCGCCAATTCAGTTTGCACTAAAAAGTCTCTCTGTAAAGACAACACCCCTTATAGTAAACACAAATGTCGGTCCCTTCGGGTTGCTTATATAGAAGGAGTACTGTATATACAAAAACATTTTTTATTTTTTTTGAGCAGCAAAAAAAAGTTTATAAACGCACAAACATTGCCATTTCCTACCAAAATAACCCACCTAAACCCATATCCGATAGTAGTTTGGGTAGTGAAGGCAAACAAAAACAAGTTTAATACAGAATCTCCATTCATAATACACGGTTCCCATGTTGGGTCATTTTTGTGTTCAAAGTCCCCATGGTATAGAGCTAACATGTAGTACATTCCAGTAAACGTCCACCAACTTAAAATGAAAGACAAAGTGAAAAAGATAAGGCACCATCTCCATTTGGTCTCTATTACTGTTGTGAAGATGTCACTGTAAAATCCGTTCTTTAAATCATCGTTTTGCAATTTAAATTCAATTTGTAAGTTTTTGTCATTTTTTACATTGTAAAGAAAGTTCTTGCCATTTTTTGTTTTGTAAAGAAAGTTTTCGCAATTTTTAGATTTGTAAAGAAAGTTTTCGCCATTTTACGTTCTGTAAAGAAAATTTCTGCTATTTTTTCATCTGTAAGGAAAGCTTTTGTCAAAAAGCTTTAATTTTACTGTTTCTCGCATAACTTGTCACCCGCAGCCTGCAAAACATTCAAAATTGTCTAAATTCTCAAAAATAGCCAAAACTTTCCTTCTGAGACAAAACTACAATACCTAAACCACAAAAATACCAATCAAAAACCAAACTTACCGAAAGTATTTCCTGTGTTGTTTCGGCACATTAGCCAAACTAATATTGACGAAGCCATACTTTTGTACCAGTCGATTCCGGATCCGCCTAGAACTCATTCTCGACCTCAGGAACCGATTCTTCTCAAACTTCTCCACGCACGGCGTCTCACTTTCGGTGGTCGTACTGTTCGGGCGAGGCGAGTGATTCGAAGAGCCGGCTGCATTAAAGTCCAACAAGTGCTTGGTCTCCATTTTGAGGCTTCGAAATTAGATTCTCGAGGATTCTGAAGACACAACTTTTCGATATTTTCAAATTAAAAAAAAGGGTTGAGAGGTCTGGCATTGGAAATAATATAATATGGGTTTTGGCTAGAAATATATTTTTTAATTTTGAAAAAATAGCTAAATTAAGCTATTTAAAAAAGCAAAAAAAACTAAATTTCAAAAAAAAGTTTTTTTATTCAGTCCCTCTACATGCCGTATTTTACCCTGTCTTATTATACTCGAATTTAGCATTTTTACAAAAAAATCGTAATAACTTTCTTTACAAAAAAATTAATTAGTTCTAGCTCTAGAAATAATTTTTTGTCATATGTCTTAGCACTAACAATGTCATAATCAATTTTCCTTACAAAAATCATCAAAATAACGAAATTTGCCTTTTTAGGACAGTGCAAAAACGCGCTCTCGTCCGATCTGGCAAGTTAAGCAACGGTGCGCTTGATTATGCGGCTCGGGTTCAAAACCGCGTGGAGTAAAATAGCAATAACTTGGTTTATAAGTTGTAAAATAGTTTGAAGTCTTGTCATGTTCTTCAAAAATAAATTTACAAAAATCTAATTTTATGAACTTTTATAAATTTTTAGTTCAAAAATTTAAAATCGCTTAAAGACGGCTAAATTCTTTAAAAAATTGCCATTTTTGAATGAAAAAAAGGTCAAAATAAGGTGCATAAAACCAAAAACAGTTATATTTTTAAAATATCCAAATAAATTTTAATTTAAAAATGTCACTTTTATACTCCACCCGCAAAAAAAAATAATTTTTTACCTAAAACCATCAAAAAAATTGTAAAAACTTGCTTGAGCCGTATTTTACCGAAAACACCAAAAAAAGTAATTACGTAGATGTAGAATTGTAATATAATGTAGATGTAGAGATATAGTATAATGTAGATGTCGAGTTGTAGTATAATGTAGCAGTTGCTCCACGGTCTCGATTACTCTTTGGAAAATGTCATTATAGCGGAAAAGAGCCCCGGTTTCGCACTGAAATTAAATTTATGAATGGACAATATAAAACATACGATCGGCCCCGAATATTATTTTATTATGGGCTAAGAGTTCGCGGGGTGATCATGTTCGTATGTTTGTAATTATGGCAGTTAAAAGAACACAAATTGTTTTGATTAGACGGAATTTTGTTTATGGGCAGGTTAATATAAAAATAGTTTTTAAAAAAATTGTAAAATGGCAGAACTTTCTTAACAAAATAAAAAATGGCAGAAACTTTCTTTACATAGCCAAAAATTGCAAGAACTTTCTTTACAAAACAAAAAACGGCAAGAACTTTCGTTACAAAATAAAAAATTTCGAGAACTTTCTTTACAAATCAAAACAGGCAACAACTTTCTTTACAAAACAAAAACTGGCAAGAACCTTCTTTACAAAGCCAAAAATTGCAAGAACTTTCTTTACGAAACAAAAAAATGACAAAAATTTTGTTTCCAAGCCCCAAAATATAAAAAAACTAGTAAAATTTGCACGTGGTACCAGTCGAAAGATCTATAAACAACAACAAAAATTTACGATTTTACCACTTTTTCCTTTTCGCCCAAAAAACAGTGACTCCAAATTAAATCCCTAGCAATTTTCCGGAGATTTTCGAACAACAAAACGTGCTTTACTTTTAAGGTTTTTGTACTAAAATGGCAACACAGGTTTGAAGCTGAGTACAACACGAATTTTCAAGTTACAGTACTTATTAAAAATGAAATTTATTCTTAATTCATTTATGATAAAGACTGTGGAACCCCTGTAAACAACGAAAGACTGTTCATTCCCCAGTCAACATTACATGTTGGATTTAAAACTCCTTTATAACAAACAACATTTAAATCACCGAGCATTTAGTTATACAGGCGTTCTCTAATACTATAACTTAAAAATTAAAAAGTCAAAGCCAACGTTTGGATTTCAAAATTTACATTTAAAAACAGACAAAGTTCGTTGCGTTTTACTCGTAAATTTTCAAAAAACAACCTTTTAAGTCTTGCACGGAAATTAAGTTTACCTCATGCGTACAGTGCAAAGCTTTTAGAAAATACTGTGAAACATTTGAATTTTTTGGTCATAAAGGAGATTCGATTTTTTGTTTTGTAAAAAAAGTTTTTGCCATTTTTTTGTTTTGTAAAGAAAGTTCCTGCCATTTTTTGTTTTGTAAAGAAAGTTTTCGCCATTTTTTGTAAAGAAAGTTCTTGCCATTTTTTGTTTCGGAAAGAAAGTTACTGCCATTTTTTAATTTGTAACTAAAGTTTCTGCCATTTGTAACTGTGTAAAAAATGTTTTCACAAAAATTTTTGTAACAAACGTTGTTGCTCTTTTTCGTTATGTAAAAAAAGTTTTTGCCAGAAAATCGGTTTTCTCCATTTAGCGTTTTGAAACCGAATTGTAAAATACGTGAAAAAATCGCAATTTATTGAGTTAAAGCTTATACAATAACATTGTAAGACAAATTTTGAAAACTTGTAAATTAAAACAATGTTTCAATTGTGCATAACTATTTTAAAAAAATCTTATAAAAACCCTCGGTTATACCTAACCTCAACATGATTAGCTTTTGTTTACCATAAAACAAACCTCTATTGCCATCAAAGTCATTAACATTTGTAAAAAATCTCTTCCGGTGCTTATTACATAGCATCTACACCAAAAAGCATCTATACCTTCTCTATAAAACTTTCTTTACACAACAAAAAACAGCAAGAATTTTCTTTACAGAGTAAAAGATTGCAAGAACTTTTTTTACAAAACGAAAAATGGCAAGAACTTTCTTTACAAAACATAAAATTACGCTACGAAAACCACATTTCCTCATTACACCCTCAATGACACCCAAATCTTCTCATTATGACGAAAGCTTTGTCTATTTGACTCCCTAATCTGAATGTTATTCCAATGTTCCTTAACATAAAACGCTCGAAAATAATTGTAAATCGTGGTGAATTATTCAATTTGCTCTAATGGAATTAAGAAGGCGCGTCGTTTTGACGCCGGATTCGCAGAACCGATGAAAAATATTATATTTGGGGCCAAACAGAAGGAAGGAATGTGAAAAATAACAACAACAAACCCTTTTAGGGGAAAAATCATCCTTAAAACAGATTTGGCGCCAGTATAAATAAACAATGTGTTGGACAGTCCATTACTGTTTATTATAGTCATGGGCGAGGGGTTAAGTGGCCGGTATGTCATGTTTTTTACTATAAAATTATTATACTTCTTTTTACCCTATCATGCCTTAAAACTCTTAATAACAGCCTCAGCTCTAGCCCGGAGCCCTAGCACAGAGCCCAGAGATCTAGCCCAGAGTCCTAGCCCAGACCCTAGCCCAGAGTCTTAGCCCAGAGCCATAGCCCAGATCCCTAGCCCAGAGCCGTAGTCCAGAGCCCTAGCCCAGAGCCCTAGCCCAGAGCCCTAGCTCAGAGCTTTAGCCCGGAGCCCTAGCTCAGACCCTAGCCCAGAGCCCTAGCTTACAACCCTAGCCACCAGCATCTAGTCTAGCCTCAGCCTATTCTCAGCCATATCCTTAATCTTAGCCACTAGTCCTACCAGCAGTTCGAGCCTAAATTATGGCCTTAACTCAACACTAGCCTCAGCTCTAACCTCAGCCCTATCCTTAACCCTAACCTCAGTCTTACCTTCACTCTGCTTTACAGAATATTGTCCTAACCATCCGTATTTTACCTTACCTAATTATACTCAAAGTTAGCCCCTTTACAGAAAATAGAAAAAACTTTCTTTACAAAAAAAAAAAAAAGTTTTAAATTTTGCAAATTTTTACAAAATTTCACTATTATCTCTCATCTTCCAAAGAAAAAGCACTTTTGTGACGTGTGTACATAAAGCCATTGCCTATAACAACATCTGAAACCTCAAAGTGCATAAAATAGCTGTCTCATAAAATTTGAATAGTATTTGAAACAGAGATTCTTTAAAAACCTTCAGGTCTTTTGCTTGTTTTTAATCAAATTTATATCAGTTTTTAGAGATCTTAACCTTGATAAGACTGACCAAACTTCTAGAAAATTATACCTAAAAAAAAAATTAAAAATTAAAAGCTTTACTTAAAAACTGCAAAAAACTTTCTTTACAGGACATAAAATGGCAAAAACTTTCTTTACAAAACAAAAAATGACAAGAGCTTTCCTTACAAAACAAAAAACGGCAAAAACTTTTTTTACAATTCAAAAAATGACAAAAACTGTTTTTTAAAAAAATGGCAAAAACTTTCTTTACAAGTCAAAAAGGCGCCTTTTGCAACAATAAAAGTACAAAGCCTAGCAAAATTTTTAAAACTTTGTACAGAAGCCTTTGAATTTCGTCACGTTTCATCACGTTTCCCAAAGAAACCCCAACAATATTAATCTTTAAGCCGGACGAAATTCGAAGGCGACGAATGCTCTGTCCCAAAATCATTATTCCGTTTTTTGCGCGCGACGTCGAAAACATATGTCTTTTGGGAAGAACGTTCCTTCGCACAGTCATAAAGGCGCTTACGAGGTTGCAAACAACGCTAATAACCCTGAGTGTTTAAGCAGTGATTAATACAAGTTTCTGGCTGGGTTTATGATGAGCGAACAGTGAGGTAAGAAGGTTGAAGGTAACAAACTAGAGTACAGTAGAAGCTCTTTTATAAAGAAAACTTCTCTATAACAAACTCTTGTATTACAAACTTTTGTATAACGTCACAAAAAATGGCAAGAACTTTCTTTACAAAACAAAATAACATGAACTTTCTTTACAAATCAAAACATAGAAAAAACTTTCGTTACAAATCATAATATGGCAAGGACTTTCTTTACAAAACAAAAAATGGCAAGAACTTTCTTTACAAATCAAAACATAGAAAAAACTTTCGTTACAAATCATAATATGGCAAGGACTTTCTTTACAAAACAAAAAATGGCAAGAACTTTATTTACACAACAAACATTGCAAAGATCGTATTTTACAAAATAAAACGAGATAGAACTTTTCTTGCTGGTCAAAAAACGGCAAGAACTTTTTTTATAATCAAGAATAAAATCAAATTTAAAAAAAGGTAAATTACAAAGACGTTTTTACCATATATAAACATTGCAAAAACATTCGTTACCAAAGGAAAAATAGAAGAAATTTTCAATACAAAACAAAAAATAGGCATAACTTTCTTCACAAAAGTTAAAATGGCACAAACTGTCTTTACAAAACCAAAAATGGCAAGAACTTTTTTTACAGACATGAATAACAAAAAGTTTCTCACAAAAGTTAAAATGGCACAAACTTTCTTTACAAGCCACAAAATTTCAATAAGTTTACTTAAAATGTAAAAAAATACTAAACCTTTCTTTATAAGACAATAAACAGCATTTTTCCAAAACAGTTGGACAAAAAATGTATTTTACTATATATTAAAACATTATAATATTTATGCTTAGCACAAAGTATTTTACAATAAAACAGAACCCTTATAACCTGATAATAAAACCAAAAATATTTTTAAAAACTTTTTTTTGCGTCGCATAGTTAGACGGTCCAAACTGATCAAAATCAGAAGCGAAACAACCGGAAAAACACAAAAATCCAAAAAGTGAATCAACCTTTCGTAGAGACACAAAAAACACCTCGAAATACTTGAATGCAATCGAATCTGATTATGCTTTTTATGGAAGCACTGAAACCTGTTTACAAAAATCATTTTTAAGAGTGGCAGTTTAGAAAAAGGGCTTTTATATGAGACAGTAAAAATGAAAGAAGACCGGGCCTAAGTAAACTTAAAAAATACTATCTAGGCTTGTAAAGGAGCAGTACCGGCCCCAATTTTTCAGCTGACACAGGCTGGGCCTGGATTTGGGTGTTGACCCTCGGTACTAGATGTGCAAGCCGGGTCCGGCCTTTTCTAAAGTTGTTTTGGCTTCTTTTTGGGTTTAGCCGGACCGGCAAGTTTGGGAGCCGCAGCGCAAATGCCTTCGAAGATCAGTTATTTAGTGCACAAAAGCAGTACTAAACAAGTTGTCCTAGGCATTAATGAAAATGTTGATGCAAGAAAGTTATTTAAAAGCCAAAAATTTAAAAATTAATTTAAATTTTTTATAATTACATGTTAAATAAATTCCACCCTACCCATCTTTCGATTTTTAAAATTTTGCCGTAAAATTTTTTGAAAAAAAATATTTTTTTGTTACCCACGTCTTCCTACTACCAAAAACACGCATAACAAAATAATCGAACAAAGAAAAATATTTTTGAAAGTATTTAAAACACGCATACTACTACTTAATAAAATGTGTTTTCGGAAGGAAATCAGTCCACATCTTCTTTGAGAAAAAAGGAAAACGAGCCTATCCACAACGAATTTTCGGTTTTACGTATTTATTTCCCCTTTTTTTTAGTTTGAACTCGGTTACTGGACCCGATGAAAGTGTAGGTTTTGGATTAGAAGTACTTTTTTAGACATTTTGGGTCAGCCTTAGCTTGAGCTTGGGCCTGAGCCTGAGCTTGAATTTGAACTTGAGCATAAGCTTGAGCTTGAGCGTGAGCGTGAGCTTGAGCTTGAGCTTGAGCCTGAGCCTGCGCCTGAGCCTGAGCCTGAGCTTGAACCTGAGCCTGAGCCTGCGCCTGAGCCTGAGCCTGAGCTTGAACCTGAGCCTGAGCCTAAGCCTGAGCTTGAACCTGAGCCTGAGCCTAAGCCTGAGCCTGTGCCTGAGCCTAAGACTAAGCCTAAGAGTGAGCCTGAACTTGAGCTTAAGCTTAAACGTGAGCCTGAGCAGGAGCCTGAGGTTGAGCCTAAGCTTGAGCCTGAGCCTGCGCCTGAGCCCTCGCCTGAGCCTTAGCCTAAATCTATCACCCCCCCCACCTTGTAAAACGTATCTTAAAAACATTTAAAAGACATAATTTTTTACCTCTAGAACAAGATATTAAAATAAACCAACTAACTGATATTCGAATACATATGAATTCAAAAAGCGGAACACCTGGATCATTATCATAAAAGTATGGCACGTCAAGCAGACACCTATCCATGACATAAAATGGTTTCGAATTTCAATAACTATTCGAAAAAGTGCGATTTGTAAACACAAAGTTACTTCAAAACATGTGACCATCTGCTTCCTGTAATGGGACACTTAAAACAACAAAGCAACTTTTAGCCCTAGCCCACAGCTTTAGCCGAACCCTAGCCTAGAACCTTAACTTCATAGCTCTAACCCTATAGTCCTAGCTTCATAGTCTTAGCCTCATAGTTCTAGCCTCAAGCCCTAGCCCAGAGCCCTAGCCCAGAGCCCTAGCCCAGAGTCTTAGCCTAGAGCCCTAGCCCAAAGCCCTAGCCCAGAGTTCTAGCCCAGAGCACTAGCCCAGAGATCTAGCCCAAAGCCCTAGCCCAGAGCCCTAGGCCAGAGCCCTAGCCCAAAGCCCTAGCCCAGAGTTCTAGCCCAGAGCACTAGCCCAGAGATCTAGCCCAAAGCCCTAGCCCAGAGCCCTAGGCCGGAGCCCTAGGCCGGAGCCCTAGCCCAGAGCCCTAGCCCGGAGTCCTAACCCAGAGCCCTAGCCCAGAGTCCTAGCTTTGTAGCTTTAGCCCCATAGCCCCGTAGCCCCCGTAGCCCCCGTAGCCCCTTAGTCCCATAGCCCCATAGCATCATAGCCTCATAGCCCCATAGCCCCAGAGCACTATAGCCCCATAGCATCATAGCCTTATAGCCCTAGCCCTCAAATACCAAAAAAAATAAAAAATTTACCTCTTTCCAAACTCTAGTACAATATAAAATAAAGCAAGAAATGCAAATTACCAGCCTCATTCATTATTCTCAAGTCACAGCAAGAATTTCGCTTTAGGCGATACAAGTCCACAAATATTATAAATTGTGGGAAACTCATTTTGACACGCTTATTTGTCGCTAATTAACTTTCATTGCCCAAATAATGATTGTTGATAGAAATAACCTTGGGGTGTCGTATTACACGAATATACTAGAAAAACGTTTTTGTTGCTCTTCGAAACAATATACACAGTGTTTGACGTCTTGACAATGATCCATAAAGTATTTATGTAAAAAATTTAGACATGTCGCTCACGTAGCAAAGGGCAATGCTAAGATTTTTTGAACGTTAGAAGGATTACACATACCACAAGGAAGATATTATTCTACTGTAAGATAAGATATGGTCATTCATCTTCAGTGAACTGTACCAGAACACAGCGACGACGACGATTCCAACGATGGCAACCTCATTTAAACCGCTCTGTCAATAAAGCTCATTCCCGAGTTTTATTGACAATCAATCAAGGAGTTTAGCATCAGTCTGTGGGACTGCTGAACCAACGAAGGGTCGTATGAATCGACTGACTGTACGCTTATCAGCCTAATTTGTATACATCTATAAAACTTTGTATATTTAGATCAAAAGGCTAGATTGTTATTAATATAATACTCAAGCGCAACTTCATTTTTGTCCTAGTGAATTTGCGAAGTGAATTGTTTAGTGAAAAAGAAGGTGAATCAGATTCTGACGCTATTTCAGGCTCTGGCTACAAAAATCTGCCAAATAATGTAAATCCAAACAACTGCCAAATTTATGAAGTTGAAGACAGTGTGATTACTATTGATTAGCTGGTTATTTTTTTATTACCGCAACTCCTATATCACGAATTGCTTGGGAATTCGAAAGTTCTTTGTTATGAAGGAGTTTCGTTGTACAGAAGTTTTAAATGCACTGTGTAGTATTAGGTGGAAATTTAAAAGTTGTTTGTTGTACGAGATTTTTGTTATAGAGGAGTCCCACTTTATAAATAAATATAAAACGTCATAAACCATTTACTGTGTTTCACTAGAAACAAACTAAAAAACTTTATAACTTTTTTGATTGGCGATGAGTCAGCTATGTGTCGCTCTGTAATAATTTTTGCTTATTCATTTGCCTTCAATGAGAGTTTTCTAAAATTTTCGTTGGTTTTTTTCGATTGTATACTAGACCTATTAGAAAGGAACCCAGTCGGTTTAAACCTTACCAACTTTTTTGAAATAGGCCGGACCAGATCGTGCTGGCCAAATCAAGCCATACTTGGTAGACCAAAGCAAAAATTATGCCGTTTATTACATTTCTACTGTTTGCAACAATTGGACTACTTTTGTTTACATAAATACTTGAACGTATTTTGCCATGTTTTAGTTTTCAAAACATCACGTTAAAATAAAAATAAAAACTTTTCTTTTCTAATTCAAAAGTCTATCTAGTCTCGTGCTTTTCAGTTCAAAAACAAGTAAACCAACGTTTTGTAAATTGTGTTTTTTATGAAAATTCTAGCCACTTTTTGGCTTTTCAAAACAGTTTTTTGTTATTTTTGTCTCTAATATCTTCCGTTTGAAAAAAGGCAGTTTGAGTTGTTTTTGGGTGACATTCATGGGCTTTTAATCGGTTTTTTGTGGCTATAAAGGGTTATTGGGTATTGGGTAAAGAGATATGTCATCTATGGGGTGTTAGAGAAGTCTTGTCGTCGTTTTATTATATGAAGAAAGTTTTTGACATTTTTCGTTTTGTAAAGAAAGTTCTTGCCACTCTTTATTTTGTAAAGAAAGTTCATGCCACTCTTCGTTATGTAAAAAAAGTTTTTGCTATTTTGTGTTTTGTAAGGAAAGTCTTGCTATTTTGTGTCTCGGAAACAAAGTTCTTGCAATTTAACCTTTGTAAAGAAAGTTTTTGCTCTCATAAACTGTTCGATGACAACAACATTTATATTTTTTATGATTTATACTACATATAGTTTTTAAAAAACGGACATAAATAACCAGTAACTTACGTTCCGTTGTCGACACTGACATTATATTGTTCCCTAGGGGGTTTTGGAGGTTTTGCTGCTAGTCAATTAATCTAAACATTCTTATTTCTTTAGATTTTTTAAAAGAAAGCATCATTTAACTTTTTCAATTTATTCAAAATTTTTGTCATTTTTTTCCTAGTAAACAAAGTTTTCACTTATATTTTAATTTTAAAAACCTTTTCAATTAGCCTCAATTTCTATTTTTACCCAAGTCAATTTCAATTTCCCAGACAGTTTAAACAAAGTTTTGCACTTTCTTGTCACAGTGTTTCCTCACGTCTTCTCACGTTCTTAATATTTGCCCTGAGGCAAAAGAAACATATTTAAAAATGAAAAAAGTGAGACGAGATCTTTCTGATAAGTTTTTTTGGTTTTTTTCACAACGTTCCAACGTTCTTTTTGCAAAAATGACAAAGGAACACTGGTTAATCGTTTTACGTGAAAACACTTTTTCTACTGGTTTGTGGGTTGTTCTTTTATTGTCAGTGTGGGTTTTACGGGCTTTTGACATTAAACATAGCTTTGTGGCTTTGTGGTAAAATTTTTTTAATTTTTAAAAATTTTGGGATTTTTGGGTTGAGTAAGACAGGGCAAAGTATGTAATGTAAAGTAATTTGGAATGGAATAATGCAGAATAGGGTATTGTAGAGTAATGTAAACGTAGGATAGGGTAATATAAGATAATGTAGAATAAGATAATGTACGGTAAAGTAAAAAAAGTAGAGTAAGAAAAGCTAGGCTAGGCCGGAACCATGCCAGAATTAGAGCTAGGGATAAGGTAGGCTTAAGGCTAGAGCTAGAGCTATGGCTTTAGCTTGAGCTAGAGCTAAAGCTGGCTTTTAAAAACTTTTTGAAACTTTTTTAAATTTGTTTGTGTAATAAGTTAGACGACATTTTAAAAATGCTAATAAGCATACACGACACACGTTAATGTCAGTAATATGTATTTGCATGATAATTAATATTTGGAAGAAAGGAACGGAAGCGTGTATGTCTGTTTACTTGTGGTAACATTCTCATTACTCTTTATTGTTTGGTTTTACTCGGAAATAGGAATATGTAGTATTTCTATAGTTTTTACCTACAAACTGAAGTACAAATGCCATTTTACATATATTTATGTCGTATTTTATTTCATTATACATTAGCTGAAATTTTCTTTGTTAATGTGTGCTTTTATCGCTGTTTCAGACATCTTTTTCGCCTAACAATTTTTTTGAAATATTGCATTGTAAACAAAGTTCTTGCCATTTTTTTTCTTGTTAAGAAACTTTTTGCCATTCTTTACTTTGTAAAGAAAGTTCTTGCCATTTTATGTTTTGTAAAGAAAGTTCTTGTTATTTTTTGCTTTGAAAAGAAAGTTCTTGTTATTTTATGTTTTGTAAAGAAAGTTCTTGTCATTTTTTGTTTTGTAAAGAAAGTCTTTGCCTTTTTTTGCTTTGTAAACAAAGTTCTTGCCATTAATTGCTTGGATAGACGTATTTTACATTATCTTTTTACTACGTTTATCCTGGCCATAGTAAAAATTAAAGTTTAATGAACGTTGACATTCTACTCCAGACGTTCCTTTTTCGTTTTTTTTTCGAATTAATTTTGTTGCAATTAGCATGGCATGTTTTTTTTTATTTTTTTTATGTACAACTACGTTTTACACCTACACAGTTACGTTTTTATAAACATTCTTTTTTCTCTTTAATTTTAGCTCAAGGCCGGCCCGGCCCGATCGTAGGGCCGGGCTGGGCCGAGCCTAGACGGCCCGTTTCTCACCTCTAAGAATATGCCATTCTTTATTGTTGAGGAAGTAATAAAAATTTTTTTAAAAAAATAATTAAAATTTGAAATTTTCTGGATTATTTTTAACCCGATGAATAAACTTGAAAACGTACAAACGTATTTTACTAAAAATAAACTTTTTGTACAAGACTTTGCTATTTTTCTGTGAAAGGGCTAGTTTCGAGTATAGTGAAACTCTTGTATAACGAACTTTCCTATAACAAAATCTCTGTGTAACGAACACTTTTAAATTTGCATCTATCACTACAAAGTGCATTTAAAACTGCACTATAACAAAACTTCTTTATAACGAACAAATTTTAAATCTCCAAACGATTCGTTATACGGAGGCTGCACTGAACATGTATATAGTGTTAGGTAAAATACGATAATAATAGCGATAACAAGTTGATCAGGATTTGTTAATATAAAAAGATATTGTGAAATTAGGCTCTAGGGCCGGTGGTTTTTTTAATACAGTTTAACGTACTTTAATATTGTTGTTATCCTTCCTAGTTTTAGCCCATATTCCTGTCTTAGCTCTAGCCTAGCTCTAGTTCTAGCTCTAGCTCTACTCTTATCTCTTTCCTTCTGAGTTCTTCTTTACATTTTTAAACTTTGAACCAAATGAATCATCTCAATTTAAAATTTTTTAAACACGTCTATACTACATGTAATAGTGAAATAAATACTTTGGTGGATTAACTCTTGGCATTTCATCTAATCTTTTATTTTTTTTTGAGTCTAGAACAACATCCGCTTCATGCTAAATTATCTATTAGCCAAATTCAATCTTCACAGACCAAAAAGTGCAGTTTTTTACTGTAAAGATTAGGCTGTTACACCTTTTTTTCGATTTCCGGTTTTATTTCTCGTGTTTTTAAATTTATAGTGATATCATGGAGAACATAGTGTAAGTTTTGATATTTAAAGCGTGCTTGCACCTGTCAAAAAGACTTTGACATTTTTTGAATTGTAAAGTTAGTTTGTACTTTTTTTGCATTGTAAAGAAAGTTTCTGCTATTTTTTGATATTTAAAGAAAGGTTTTGACATATTGAGTTTTATAAAGAAAGTTCTTGCCATTTTACGATTTGTAAAAAAATTTCTTGCTATTTCATGTTTTGTAAAGAAAGTTTTTGTCATTTTTTATTCTGTAAAGAAAGTTTTTTTCCATTTTATACTTTGTAAACAAAGTTTTTGCCTTTTTCTCTTTTGTAGAGTAAGTTCTTGCCGTTTTCAATTTTGTAAAGAAAGTTCTTGCCATTTTTTATTTTGTACACAAAGTTCTCGTCCTTCTTCGTTTTTTAAAAAAAGTTCTTGCCATTTACTCTTTTGTAAAGAAAGTTCTTTCCATTTTTTGTTTTGTAAAGAAAATTCTTGCCATTCTCAACAATATTTTTCTAAAATGATAAACCTGGCCAAATATAAGTTCAGAAACAATTGTGTAAAACAATTTCCTCTTATATATAGGGAGAGTGAACATATTTTAACAGAAAAACGCGTTTAAGAAACGAAATGTTTTTGAGGAGGTTCTTGGCCGCGAAGCGTGTTTTTTCCCAAATACCATTCCCGGAATAAAATATTCTGGAATTTGCTTTGAAACTGGGGCCAAAACAAAAAGAAAAATATGTTTGGGGGATCGTGTTTCCGCACAAAACTTTGATTTTCATTGTTTGCAGAAGTGGTTACGGATTCCATTAGGAAACGGATTTTTAAATAGAGGTTTTAAAAATAATTTTAAAAAGTTTTAGCTTTGACATTTGTAATTTTTCATAAAAAAACTTTTAATAACTCGAGCATCAATTTTATAATCAGCCCTAGTCTCAGCCCTAGTCTCAGTCCTAGCTCTAGCTCTATCTCTAGCTCTAGCTCTAGTTCTAGCTCTAGCTCTAACTCTAGGACTAGCGTAGCTCTAGTTCTAGCTTTAGCTCTAGCTCTAGCTCTAGCTCTAGCTTTATCTTTAGCTCTAGCTCTAGCTCCAGCTCCAGCTCCGGCTCTAGCTCTAGTTCTATCTCTGGCTCTAACTCTAGCCCTAGCCCTAGCCTTAGCTCTAGCGTCAACCGATGTTTCAGCTCTTGCTTCAGAGATAGCCCTAGCCCCGGCCCAGAGTCCTGGTCCTAGCCTGAACGGCCTTAACCAGTCTTTTTTGAGCTATATTCTGCCCAATCCTAACGCGCCCCTGCTTCATCTTAGATTGTTCTAGCTAATCTATTATTTTTCGAGCCCTAGCTTTAATCGTAGCACTAGCACTAACCTATCTACTCTTTTACTAGCTTTCTTTCTAGTTACAGCTTTAGCCCTGCAGTCCTACCTTTAGCTATACTCTGCCTTCACCTTTTATTAAGTTCTCATAACAAGCCCTATTGTACCCTATCTTCACCCTAGGTTTTTCTAGCTATCACATCATTTTTTGAAAATATTTAGTACGTTCTGTTTGACTTTCTTTGTTCCACAAACTTTATTTTCTCTGTTAGCTCACTTTTTACCCTCTTGATCTCTTACCGTGATTTCTCACATGCTGCCGTTCCTAATCTTTAATTCCCCAAACAGTTGGTTCTTTCTTTATTTATCAAAGGATTAAGACGCGCCCCAACTTCTTTATTGGTTTTTTGTTGTTTGCGGGTAGAACGTTTTGTCATGACAACAGCAAAAAACTTCAATTTGTAATTTAGAGCTGATAGGGGGTTAAGGCATACTATTTGGTTGTTCAACTAATTCTAAGCTAGATATAATTTTCTACGGTTTCAGAGTAGCAAAGTTAAGTCAGAAATTGTTTTCTGATAGTTTTAATTTATTTTTATAAAAATTTAAATTTAAAAAAAACTTGTAAAGAAAGTTTCTTCGCTTTTAAAAATTTTTTGCGCTATTTCAGAAATTCTTTGTAATATAAATAATTGCGGTTAAAAACAACCACATCTAATCCAAAATGACCTTCTAAAACCTCTCCACCAAGATTTTATCTCTATTAAACCAAATCGCCTATCTGAACCTACTACAATATTAAACTCTAAATCTCCATTTTTGTCTCGGTTTATTTATAATGAGCGGTATTATTAGACATAATCGGATACATATAGTTGTTTTTTGTTTATTCGAGTCTGCAAACCGAGCCTGTGTTTCGATGCTCTTACATCTATGAGGTCCGCGTCGGTTTTATTCTGGTTTTTATGTCATAATTAACTTTTTGTCACATGCATGGTGTTTTTTAACACATTTTATGTTCTTTGGAACTTGCACGTCATTTTCTTCATTTGTGGACGTCAAACTTGACATAAAGATTCTCTTGCAGCCTGCGGGGACGAGTTATACGAGGACGCAGCCGTTCTTTTGTTTATTTTTCTGTAAAATGTCGAATCCTGAAGTCCTTTTTCTAAAATTCTATTTACGACTGTCTAGAGCCTTTTGAACTACGTAGACTTCTGTTTACTGCACTTTTATTTCTAGCTTTATGTCGGATCCGAAAGGCACTAGGCGTTTTTGTTTTTTTTGGAAGCCGAAAACAACATTTAAAACCATGTTTTCACTAAAAAAGAAAAGTAAAGTGCGAATGCTCACTTGTATAAGTGAAATTATCTTATCATAAGCTTATCATATTAAAAATTGCATTTTTGGTCAACGAGACAGATTAAATTGAGCAATTTTTGGTAGCGCGTGTGTTTTGATCAAGTGTAAGATCGATTCAAATCGATAATGCGGATCGACATCGCGGTATGAAGGCTTGGAATTTTTATAGGTTGAAGATGTTATTTATTACTATCGATTCAGCGTGAAATTTATTGTTTGCTTTTTATTTGATTTTTTGGCATCAACTTTATATTATCTTACACTGCTTCCAGAAGGAACTTGGATAAAAGCCTGTCATTTCATATTTGGGCAATAGCATTGGCCAATATTTTTTGGAAAGCAAGATATTAAGCTGGTCTTGCTATTTATAAACTTATTTTGACGATTTGTTTACTACTTTTTCTGTTTTAATTAATTTTATATTACACAAAAGACCTAAAACATAGTTTTTGACAAAACTCTCCAAAATGGTGCAAACGTACCAGAGTCCGGTACGGGTGTACAAGCACCAGTTTGAACTGGTCATGGCTGCATATCAGATGCGTTTCCCCACTTGTCCACAGATTCCCATCTTTGTGGGGTCTGATATTGTGAATGAGTATCATTCGCCAGATGGAGCCGAGGAAGTGATTGACAGAAAATGTAAACTGAATGTAGAAGCTCCGTATTTATTGAAGAAGATGGCTGGAGTTGATTTTGTGTACTTTAACCAGAAGAATTCGTTGGATAGAAGGAATAGAACGTTGGTTATTGAAGCCACAAACATTTCCTTCGCTAATCGACTGGTTATTGTGGAGAAATGTGTATATTATGTAGGTTTTTATTATTCTTTGGTTTTTTGTTTAGTTAAAACGTATTGAAGAACGTACGAACTATATATTGGTCCAAACGTTCTCAGACTGGCTGCATAGTGCAGAAATTAGAAGAGGAGTGGTGTATATTGCACTGTGCAAGCCATAAAAGAACCTTTTGAGATAGGATAACTAAATTAATATGTTTAACAATGCTTATAGCTCAAGAAGGCTTTGTATAATGTTTTTATCTTTCAGGTTCATCCAGAAAACCCAGAATGGACGTGTTTCGAACAAAGTGCTAGTTTAGACGTCAAATCGTTCTTTGGATTTGAAAGTGCGGTCGAAAAGCTGGCTGTAAAACATTATAGTGCTAACATTGCAAAGGTAAATTTTTTTTATTGTTGTTTTTAAAGCTAGTGTTTTAATAATTGTTAAGTATCTTAAGTGTTCTTGGTCAATATCTTATATTATCTATGGTTTTGTAACGGAACTTTGGTTTTTGCTTTTTTTTCAACTTCTTTTAAGTGTAACTGGAGGTTTAGGTAATATAAACATGATTTTGTTTGATATTAATCTAGTCACGCCTTTAAGAACGCTTTCTTCTTGTTCAAAGTTCAATTTTTACTAACTAAAACAATATAGAGCTCAAGTTATTAATAATTCATGATCAAAACATCATTTCAGGGCAAAGAAATTCTTGAGTTTTTCATCGAAGAATTGATAAAGAGTGGCACGACCTACATTCCGCCGTTTGAGGATTCAGAAAACGGAAAGAAATCTCCAGCGGATTCAGCAATTGACTTGTCAAAGAATCATGAAGAAGATACGGACGGATCGGAATCTGACCGAAAAACAGCACGTAGAGATAGCACGAAACATAATGAGCATATCAAAGAAAATGGGGATGGTAAGGATGTGGATAAGAGACGAAGAAGCTCGGTACATCAGAATTCAGCTTCTACGAGTGGTGTTAGGTCTACTAGCTTTGATGACAGTAAGTCTTTTGAGTGTGTTAGCTAATTTCGTTAATTCATGGCTTAAAATTGATGTTGTTATAGACAACAGAAGACATCAAGTTATATTTTGATATAACTGTTTATATAAACTTTCATTTTAGCCGAAACCAAGCTAGAATCAGACTACATCCAACGTTTTCTTGGTCAGCTTACCCCACTGGAAGAATCTCGTTTGTGTGAGCTAAAATACGGTCTCCAATCAGCTCACAAAGGTAAACTTCCGAACGATGCTCATCTTCTCCGCTTCCTGAGGGCACGCGACTTTGAAGTACAACGAGCTCGTGACATGGTGATCAACTCACTTTTGTGGAGAAAGCAACACAATATAGACAAGCTTCTACACGATTTCCAGCCTCCACAAGTGATAAAAGACCATTTCCCGGGCTGTTGGCATCATCAAGATAAAGCCGGTCGACCATTGTTTGTCCTAAAGTTGGGTCAAATGGATGTGAAAGGACTGTTGAAGGCTGTAGGAACAGAGATTGTGATGAAGTTTACTTTGTCGATTTGTGAACAAGGGTTGGAGAAAGCGGCCGAAGCGACAAAACGCCTTGGGGAACCGATCAGCACATGGACATTGTTGGTGGATCTGGAAGGTTTGGGTGTTAGACATTTGTGGAGACCTGGAGTGCAATGTTTGTTGAGGATTATTGAGACTGTTGAGGTTTGTTTTGTGTTTAATAATTAAGATTTTGTGAAATGGATGTAAGAAAATGACACTAAAGGGCAAAAAATATTGTTTTAGGCTTTGTGTTGCTGAAATTTTGACTTTTGATAGTTTCTTAGAAATTTAGGTATTAAATTGTTTTTTTTATGTTATTCTGTAATGTTTATTTATGCACATTTTTATATAAAAATCTTTTACATTCGTTAACGTTTTGTTATCTAAACTTTAAATTTAAGGCGCACTACCCAGAAACTATGGGCTTGGTACTAATAGCTCGAGCTCCACGAATGTTCCCAGTCCTCTGGACCTTAATCTCACCTTTCATTGATGAAAATACAAGAAAGAAGTTCATGATCAACAGCAACGAACATGTAGCGGACGAGTTGAACAAGTACATTGCTCCAGAATACCTACCAGACTTCCTCGGTGGACCAGCCAAATTCAATGCACCAAAAGGAGATCATGTACCTAAATCCGAGTATTTGAAGGTGTCGGAAATTAACCTAGAGGAGGATGATGTACTCAAGAGTACGTATACAGTATCTACAGTACACAAAGGAATGCCACAAGAAGCTTGTGTTAAGGTACCGACAGCTGGCTGTGTGTTGACATGGGACTTTGATGTTATCAAGGGATCTTGTGAATTTGTAGTTTATCATACGAATAAGGTAAGATTCAATGTTTTGTAAAGAAAGTTTTTGCCATTTTTTGTTTTGTAAAGAAAGTTCCTGCAATATTTTTTAATTTTTTTTAATTATCGTATGCTTCTAGGCCATCGACCAGCCAGTCCAGCCGAGCTCCCCAACCTCTCTAAACCCAGTAGAACGCCTGACTAACGCCATCGAATCCGTATCCCTAGGCTCTCCGCCACACTCAGTAATCCAAGCCGCTCCAGACCTAAAACTAGGAGAAGACATAACAGTCCAGGAACAGCCAGTAATCCTGTCCGAGGGGGACTCAATGCAAGGCTCACATTATTGTGCACAACAAGGAACCTACATTTTGCAATGGAAAGTAACAGAAGCTCCGAATCAACCTCCACATGCTGCTTTCGACTTCTCTTTGACCGGACCAAAGTGCAAGTTAATGTACTATCATGAACTTTTGGACAGCGTCAATTTTAGGTAAGGGTTTGAGGAAAATGGGGTTTAATTGAAATTATTGTGATGTTTTAAATATTGAATTTCAAAAAATATTGTTTTAGGTATAAATTTTTAAAAAATTATCGTTTTAGGTACGAAAAAACAACTTTTTCTAAAATTTAGGTAACAAAAATTAAAAATTTGTTTCAAAAATTGTGATGAAGGTTAAAATTAAAAAAAATATTGTTTTCCTAAAAATTTTTTTATTTTAGGCAAAAAATTTTTTAATTTGAAAAAAATTGTCAAAAGTCTAAAAAATGCCAAGCCTAATAGTTTTTCTTTACAAAAACTGATAATTTTATTTTCAGAGGATCAGTGGCTAGCCTAGAATCATGTCGCTCATCCTTCAGCTCACTGGCAGCAGCCGAACACGTAAAAGAACCGAACAAAAAGTCCTAATTTATATTGTTTTTAATTATTTTTTGCATGTTTTTATTAGAATATGGCTACTTTTAGTAGTGTTAGTTATTGTAAGCTCAGTTTTTAAATTTTCCGTCCGAAATTTTTGAAATTAAAATTTTTAAAATTAGATTTTTTTTTTAATTTCTAAAGGTTTTTGAAAGCTTAAGTTTGAAAGAGTTACAGTAACCTTTTAGAAACAAAAACCAATATTTTGAACCGTATTTTAGTCATTTTTGGAAATTCAAAATCTTTTTTAATGCTCGGATTATGTGATTGACGAAACTTTTACTATGTTATGGGTTGTGATCCTTTTTTGTCGTTTTTTACTGGAAAGTAACTTTGTTTTTTAATTTTTGCAGTATTGTAAGAACTTTTGTATTATGCATATTTGTAACGTCACAGACTGTGCCTGTAAATATTATTTGAATACGAAAATAAACTTGTTATCGTAGTTTTTGGGTCTGTGGAGATGTTGTTTGTAAACTATAATACTTATAATTATTGTTTAATTTGTTATTTTTTTATGGTAATAATGCAATCTTTGTAAGCTAAAAATATCTAGAACGCAAAAGATACATATGTTACAAAAAAGGAGTTAAAAGGTTGTTTGGAAGATTACTGCTTGGCAGGTAATATTAGTTTGTGGAGAGTTTGGGCTTTCGCCCAGCCCTTTCACATTTCCTTTGGCCCATGACCGGGCCGTGGCGAGTGAGCCCTCGTTCAAGCCTAAAACCAACTATTATAAATGTGGAAGCTACAACATTTCTAGACGTTTTTTATATAGTAACAATGTATAGATTACCCTACTAATTTATTAGTTCGTATGATTCTTTTTTTTATTATCATGTTTTTACTTTACGTGACATACATTTTCTCCTATAAATAATGCTGAATGTACAGCATACTATATAATATATCGAATAATAATCTAAAAGATTATTTGATTATTGAATATAACCGTTTTGTTTTTAAATTGTTATCTGTTCTTCAAAAATGTTTCTTTTGTTTGTTGCTTTGGTTTTGAGCATCAATGTTGTTAACGGTACGTTTTTGATTTCTTATAGTGACTTACATGCCATTAGACTCTGAAGACCTTATTATAAAACTAGTGGCTCGTTTTACTAATTGCCTCTCCTTTATAACTTACTTACAGCCGATATAATCGCGGGCATCAACAACTTTTTCAACCCAGCTTCTTTGGACCCAAAAATTATGATACAGATTGGAGAACTAATCTCCAAAAACGAATGGGAAAGTCACGCTAGAAAGTTGTTGGAATCAATTCCATTTTTCGAAGAATACGTTTGGAAACTTCAGATTCCATTCACGTTTGCTGCGCCCTACCTCTGCGAACCCTGCAGAGAATACGCGCCTCAGGTGCAGACCTTTTTGAAAAACACTGGAATGGCTTCACTTGCTGTGAGTGCCTAGGTCTAAATTTAGGTATAAAGCGGCGGTTTTTAATTAGAAAAAACTTGTTTTTAGACAATAGCGATTTTATTTAAAATACGAGGCGTACAATGAACCCTATCTATTTAAAAGGTCTAAGCATTTAAAAATTTTCCAGTTTGACCTAGCCGTGTGCAACATCTTCTTTGTGTTTGAAAAGCACGATATGGTACCAGTATGTGATGCAGCACTTGTTGGACTAGACATTTATGCAAGATACGCTGATCCTCAAATTCTTTGTTCAGCTATTCCAAGCTGTCAACCGTCTTTAAAAAGCGTTAAACGAAGTGCCAGTATTAATGACATTGCTGAACGGTTTTTGAGGACCTTTTAAAAATTTTATCTATGTTAATATTTTAGTTGTTACAAATAATAAATTTTTAGAGGTTTAATTATATAATGTATTTATTATTCTTTGATACATATACATAGTAGTCTTTAATCAATAACAATAACATCGTCGTCCTCCATTTCACAGTCGTTTTCAAAATCTTGCTTTCTATAACTTGACGAGCAATCATACTTTGAATCCCAATCTTCATTTTGCTAATTGTCTCCGCCGAATATCACGCTACTGGTACCAAAAACACAGTGTTCTCTGAACTCGTCGTCTTCACTATCTGAAGAACGTGAGTTTATGCGACTCCACCGTCGAATGTGTCGAAGTTATCGATGCACACTGGTGGTTGGACATTTTGTCAAAGTCTGAAAGATTTAAATTATATGTCAATAAAACAATACAGTTTATAGTTCAACATTTGAAAAAACTAACTCGATCTCAGACGGTATATATTAATCTAGATATGAAAAACTTACTTTGTTGTAAAATACGTTGTTTCAAGACAATAAAACAGTTGCAAGGGCTGAATATACGCGAGACCCAACCTTTTATAATTTCTTGAACATTTAGACAAATCTTAACATAAACATGTAGACAATATTATATGTTATCGTAAACCTGTAGATAAATGCGGAGTTCTGGAGGTCTTTAGTGATGCAATAGTTCATCCATAAATTTGGTTGTTCATTAACAAAATTTTTGCGGAATTTTGAAAAGGATTGGCCATACATAATATTGCAGTTCTGATACCTTTCTTCGACTTTACTTATTTTACATTGTAGGTCTAGGTATTCTTATAAGGTTTAGAGGACCGAAACATTTTACACAACGTAATATCTGACCATAGGGTAACATTATCAATTTTTTTGGGTTTTTTTTTGAAATATGATATATGTTAATTTCTGTATAACGTAACAACCATTACAACTAATATTTATTAACCATTGATAAGATATACATAAAATTCTATGAAATTAATTAATTATGCTAGTTGAAAGACAAGTAATTTTAAGAAAGACGTGATTAACATAAGGTATGTTTATGGTATGACTATGTAAAATATTTTAAAAAATATTGTTAAAAATTGCAAAAGTAAGAAAAATACTGTTATTATATATTATCACCGGGTCTAAATAATACTAATCGTACAAAAAATAAGTTTTTTTAAAAAGGACTGTAAAGAGTACAGTATGACAACACATAAATTTTAAAAATTACAGTAAGACTTCAAAAAGCTAACCGAACGTTAAGGTATTAAAAAAAGTTTTAGAACGTTTAAAAATTTTAATAAAGCTTTGAATTAAGAGAAGATTTGATGTTGTCCATCCACTTCTTTCTCTCTTCAGGATTTTCGACCGGTGGCAAATGAGGAACCCTTTCACCGAATTTAGAAGCTACATACGAATTTTTAGGTAGCATGCTATGACGACGAGGTTTTTCTGGTTGAATTCTCGGTCTACCCAGCATGGGTAACTTCATCTTAGCACTTGAGGGTAAAATAGTACTACCTGAAGGAGGTAGTACTATCGTAAACTTTGCTGTGGTTTCTGGTAGTTTTGGAAGTTTTTGGTGGCTATGAGGTCCTGGAAAATTTTAAATTATGACATTTTTAATTGTTTATTAAATTAATTTTTATTTAAGACAAAAAATGACAATTTTAACCTTTAGTGTCATAAAAATGAGCTGTATGTTGTTTTAGGCCATTAAGGCTTAAGGTATAAGTAAAAAAATTTCGTTACTGTACCAGTAGTACCGAGTATAATACTATTTCCCAACTACATCAAAGATACTATTCTTTAGTCCTAATGTACAAAAAATTACGTACCAACAACACCACTAGTACCAACTTTACGTTCATCAGCCAAGTCAGTACCAGAAAGCCCTTCTTCAGCCAAAGCCTTCATCTTTTTGAACTGGTACTCGTCAGTAGGTACTCCCATCTTAGTCAACGGACAATCCTTAACATCAGTCATAGTCTTCTCTCTTCTCAAATCATACACTCCTTCAGAATCCTCGTCGCTCCAAATATTCGGCAAAGATTTTCGCATCAAAATCTCGGAATAACTTTTTGATCGTCGCCTCTCCAAACCATGTAGCAAGGATTCCGAATTGGTTATATTCCAATCCAAAGGTATTGCTTTGAGCTCGCTTTCACGTAGCGGTGACGAATCCCAAGGCTTTCGGTCGGTCAAACAATGTTCATGAACTTTGTCCTCGATCACGTCGTGTTTCGGGTCGTTTTGGTCGAATTCTTCACGTTTCGCATTTTCCTCACATTCTCGACTCACATGTGTATGATGATGAATATTGGTATGTTGTTTGGTATCTTGGTGATGGGTTAGATGGGTTGTTTGGGCTAGATTTCTGTCTGGAATGGCATTGTGTGAAGTTGAAGCAGCGACCTGAACAAAGGAAAAACTTAAGGTAACTCAAGAAAATAGGTCGGAACTCAGTAAAACTAGTTTAAATTAGAGTAAAAATGATTGGTATATTAACTATTAATATCTATAATGTAATTTTAAATAAGAATTACGTTTCTAAATTTGAAGAAACTTTGTTTACAAAGCAAAAAAAGCCAAAATTTCCTATTTAAAAAAAAAAATAAACTGAGAAAATACTGTATATAAAAATGACAAATATTTTTTAAAAAATCAAAAAATACAGTAACCACCACTAAAAACTACAGTAACAAAACTTTTGAACTACTTATAAAACCTGCATTTAATTTCCTACTCGAGGCAATCCGCGTGAAATATGATGTTCCGGTCGTGTTCTCAACGTTCCATCAAATCGTATGTGGACAGGACGACCAGCAATCGTGTCCAGGTACCGGCCTCTACCATAAGGTCGTTTTTGATCGTACTCGTCTGATGTGCTGGGACTATTGTAGGCGTTCGTGCCGTATGGACCCGTAGGGTCAAAAGTTCTACCAATAATGGGTAGTTTGCTGTAGGCTCTACTGGTGCTGGGTTGGGCTGTAATATACGCCCTGCTAGTACTAGGCTGATTAGCAGCATGTGTACCACTGGTACCATACCCAAACCGTGCCCTGGCACCCCTTCCATCATCAGTAGCAAACGTCTTTCCAGCCCTCAAACTCCTCGAGAATCTCGAGTTTCGGCTATGACTTCGGGCGTTCCGTGCCGCCAAATCCAAAGAACGATTCATTTCCAGCTCGGAATCATAAGTCCGGCTACGACGGTCGCGCAGGAACCGTGAAGGCTCCGCCTTTAAACGACCATCACCATCAACACGATACACACGATGAACCGAGGAAAAAATATCGGATTCGGGGAGAAAACGACGTTTATAGGGCTGAAAGGGAAGGATAACTAGCATAAAATGAACTGGCAAAAAAATTTTTAACATTTAAAAAAAAATTTCAAATTTCAAAAAAGTAAAATTTAAAAAAAAACAAAAATAAAAGTTAAACACCGAAAAAAAAACCAAAACCCCTTCAAAACCTACATCAACATCCTTTAGATCCAGCTGAGGTAACCTCTTATTAGCGGCCGTAACTCCATCGCCAGAGCTGGCATCACTCTCCTCCAATCGCTTCTTCTTTTCCACATGAGCATCTTCTGTGTCTCGCAACGAATTCTTGCTCAATTCTCTCGATACCCGTCCATTCTTAATATCATCAATACTCGCTGGTACAATATGAGGCCCAGGTAGGTCTAGATCAATATCACCAATCATAAAATCTGAGGCTGTGATTTTAGGTATTTCGTCTTTGGAGCTGGGTAACGACGTCTTCCTTGATAATATTGATTTTCTGCTTCTGTTTGAGGGTGGCAGTGATCCTGAGGCACTTGCTATTGGTTCGTCATCTGAATCTGGTTGATTTTTGGTCGATTTTTTAGTCAGAACTTTTGATTTATCAACTTTTTGTTGGACAGTAGACCTTCGCTGAGATATCTGTTCTCTTCGCACTGCGGCTACACGACTTGGGCCGGCCACGCCTCGTTTTGCGGCCGCTGGTACTGGAGGTTTTGTTCCGACTTGTTGAGCCTTCATTCTGGCATTGGCGGCTTCGTTGGCTCGGGCGCGAGCTGGGGATTTTGATGCTGATGTGTATTGAGCTTGGCCTGAAGTTCCTTGAAGCTGTCTAGAAGTCGATCGGGTGCCCGATGCTCCTGAAGTCCCAGCTGCACCAGACGCTCCAACGTTCCTCGAATCTCTAGCCAAACGTGAGTTCGCGGCGGCAGTCATCGCAGAGGTCTTGTTCGTCTTCTGGGCCCTGTTGACTGCCGACTGGTCGTTTTTTGGTATAGGCATACGTAGAATCGACTTTGGTCCCGTACTCTGTCTTGACTCCCTCGTGGTACCAGGTACCGAGCCTGCTTTAGAGCCACGTACTGAGCCAAGAACTGAACCGTGCTTTGAGCCGGCTACAGAAGTATGCTTGGAACCAGCTAGCGAACCGTGCTTCGACCCACGCACACTACCAGGCCCTTCACGTTCCACACCTTCGATGACGTCTCCCACCAACTCTCCGATGTCAAAGTCACCTTCAAGTTGAGGTAGATGGAAGAGCTCGTCCGACTTGTCGCTAGCCGCTATGGTCGAGACGGACGTGCTGTCGTCGTCTGAATCCGGTCGATTTTCCTTCGATTCTCGTGTTATGGCTTCGGCGAATGCTATGGCTTCTTCAATGTTCATAGACGTGGTGACATCACTGTTGGGGGTGGATGCTCCGGCATCTGAAGGCTCGGGTTGAAGTGTGTCTTTCTGTCCTTGTACAGCTGTGTCTTGACCTTTTATTGATTTATCTTGACCCTGGAGTAACAAAAATTGATCTTTTCCACCGTCCTTTACCGTGCCGTCCTCAGAAGCACTGGCCAATGGAGTTGGAGGTATAGGGTTGAGAGTAGGTATAGAGTTGGGTCTACTAATGCTCTGTAGCAGTGGACTTGGCTTTCCCACAGCTCGAGTTTGTATCTGACCTGTGCTCCCAACTCGGTTAAGGACTTGACCTGAGGCGCCCACTCGACCTTGACCAGAGGTTCCTAATTGGCCAGCAGCACCAACTTGATTGATACCTGAAGTAGAAGGTCGACCAGGAATGAGTGGTAGTTGAGGTACGTATGGTTGAGGAACTTGGCCTGGTAGATTGACAGGTTCAATGAAAAGATGAGGATTCTGCTGGATAAAGTGATGCAGCTCTTTCTCTTGATAACGAGCAAATAACGAGTCCAACGAGCTTGATTCACTGTTTAGGGGGTCTGAAAAGCAAAATTTAAGTTTATAAAAAAATATTTTTAAAACTATTTTTTGTATAATACGGACTATAATCAGCTTGTCTTTGAACCTTTATAAAAAAATTTTTCTAAGATGCCAATAAAGATAAAAAAGACACGCCAAATCCTGATTATGATTATCAAAACAGAAGTTAAATTGGCAAATAATAAAATAAAGCAAGCCATAGCAAAGCACGCCAGTGTAGGAAAAATAGGGTAAGAGATGTAGTAGAGCAGAGTCAGATAAGATAAAGTAAAGTAAGGTAGGGTACGGCAAAGTAAAGCCGAATTGAGTAAGGCAGGGTAAGGTAAAGTATAAAAAAGTATACCCGGGTAGAGTAAAGCAGGGTATGGCATCTTAGAGTATTGTATGGCAGAGTAAGATGAGGTAAAGTAAAGTACGGCATAGTAAACTAGGGTATGGTTGAGAAGGATAAGGTAGGGTAGAGAGGAGTCGGGTGAAATAGGATAAGATAGAGCAGCTTAGGCTAGTATAGAGTAGAAAAGAGTAGGGTAGGGAAGAGAAGGGAAGGGTAGAATAAGGTAGGGTAGGGTGGGTAGAGTAGGGTAGGGTAGGGTATGCTAGACTACTGCAAAGTACAATAAGTCACAAAAAACCCCACCGAACTTACATTCCTCTTCCTTAACGAACTGTTCGCCCAGAATCTGATACTTTTCCCATAAGGTTGGTGTACCCGCCCGCGATTCGCCACTCAAACTATCTCTTTTGGCGTCCGCTGAAGCGGTCACTTCGTCGTGCACCTCCACCGTGGTGGTGGTCTGTTCCAGTCCTTGGCCCGGCTGCAACGAATTAACAATATAAAGTGTCCAAAACAGCAAAAGGAATGTCCGTTTATTGTTATACTTCCGGCAATTTTGTCGCCAACACAGTTTTATACTCTGGGAGTGAATGGTCTTCAATGGCTACTACTTTTTGCATTTTTTTTTCGATTGTAAAATTAAAAAAAAAGTTGGAAATGGCATAAATTACAAGACGTATTTTACTAATTTTTTTTTTATTTTCAAATATAATTTTTTTTAATTTTAAAAAACTTCATTTTTAGGCAATATGCTGCCATTTAAACTTACAATGTCCAACTTTCCAAAAATTAACTTTTCAAAAAATATCGCTATAACGTTCTGCCCAGGCTAAAAGTTCACATTTTTTAGAAAAACCAATCAAAATCACGCACAATTTTCGCTATAACCATTAAAAACTGTTAATTTTAGGTAGACATTAACCGTTCATACAATAAAATATTAAATATACAACCCTTTATTTAAATTTTGAAACAAAAAAAAGTATTTTTAAAGTTTTGGCCTAATATACACTTCAAAAAAATCAAAAAATTTCTGCTAGAATCCGAACTTTTTTGAATTTTAGATATTTTCGAAGTCACATAACTTTGGTGTAAATCGAAGTACAAAACAGAAAATTTAAAAACACATATTTCTTGCTATGTGTTATCATATTCTATAGTCAGTAGTATAATTTTTAATTTTTTTAATTTCTACTCATTAAAATTTTTTTTCCAAAAAAAAAGTTAAACATGGTCTCCCCTGTTGAATATTAAAAAAAATCTTTCATATTCTTTAAAAAGCCATATCAACTAAAAATTATTTGACCTCACTTTCAGTTCAAAATCAGTAGCTTTGCATTAGATAAGTCATGTGCACTACATAAGCCATGATCACTATATACATGTTCATTATATAAACCATAGAATTTTTGTTAATTATTTCTTTTTTAAATTTTCAATTAAAAATTAGTAAAGCTTTATAAAGCTAAAGTATTATAAAAGTGGTTTTTAAAAAAATGTTTAAAAAATACTAGCTAACAACCATAATTTTAAGTATTCACTCTTCAACTATCACTACAAGTAACTATTGTTTTGACTGTTAGTATAAATAAGTTAGTATCTCCACCAAACCAAAAAAAACTCACAATGCCCAGCTCGCTTTCCTCACTGCTAGCAATGGAGACCAGTCCACCTTGAGTGCCAGTTTCAGTTCGTTCGGTTTCGTCTTGATAGTCATCGTCGTAGAATGTTCTTTGTTGATCGTAATCATTTGACATTATTTTCGTTGGCATTACTGATACGATTGGCTCTGGCTTTCTTGGGCGGCCCTCATTATGTTCTTGAAGGATTGGCGAACCAGTCCGGACTGACTGGGCACTGGCTTCTATGTCTCCTACACGGTGGCCTATCGTCTGAAAAAATAATTTTAAGTTAAGGTACAGTAGCTTTTGAATGGTAGCGTAGGGTAGCGTAGAGTAGGGTATGGTAGGATAGGGTAGGGTAAGGCAGGTTAAGACAAGGTAAATTAGGATAAGTTAAGATAGAACAAAGTTTGGGTAAGGATGGACTTACTTTTTTATAATACTCGAGTAACGGGTCGCATCTACTACAACCGCACCGATAACACAACAACGCAACTATACATGGCAACATGCAACACATAAGTAACAATAGTATGACCCATATAATAACGCAAATGCCAAAGAAGCGAGTACAACTGAAATATCATTTTTATAATACTAATCAGAAACCTTGTCACTATTTGTAAAATTAATTCATTTTTTCTAAAAATTCACATTTTTATCAATTGTTACCTACTATAATATAATAATTACACACAAAAAATTTTAAAAAAAAATACAAATTCATTTTACTATGCTAAAACAATATAAAATAACATACCCAACAGCAGTACACTTTCTTCCATCATTATTTACATCAACAGTGCCGTTACGGCACATACAAGTATACCTCAGCCCAATAGGTATACATACACCTTCATCACAGTCGTTGAAAGCATCTGATGAACATTGTTGTAGCTTCTCTGGTGAGTCTGAAATTGTATTTTTAACATTTTGTATTACGAGAAGTGCTTTAGTTTCCGTATTATACAACTTTTTTCAACTTTTTTTAAAAACGTATATTTATCGTACAACTTGGAACACGCAAGCTGCTCACAATGAAAAACTCGCTATTTTTACTCAAAACGGCAAAAACTTTATTTACAGATTTTTAAAACTTTCTTTACAGATCAAAAAATGGCAAGAAATTTCTTTCCAAAACACAAAATGACAAGAACTTTCTTTACAAACCGAAAAAAAGGCAAGAACTTTCTTTCCAAAACACAAAATGGCAAGAACTTTCTTTACAAACATTCTTTTATAAAAAGTTAAGGACCCATCGTATAACATGTCCCAAACGACTGCATAAACCCATTTTTCAATTTTTTTCACAATCACAAAAATCTTTTTTCAAATCCTTACCAACGATCTCCATGTCAACATCCGGAAAGTCTCTATGCTTCTTTTCCAGCTCCGTACTCAACGTCTCTACCGTGCAGTCGTCACATACCGTATTGATAACAATATCCTTCTCACTTCTGTCTCTAACACACGAATGTACATCAATATCATTGGCTAGTACCATTAGCGCTATTAGTGAAGCATCTTCCGATGTGCCGCCAAACTCTTTGTTACAAATGTTCTTGACTCGTACCGAATAGGACGATACTGGTGCTCGTACGCAAACCTCATCGTTGGTTTTCATTTGACCTGGTGGACATTGACAGTCGTACTTGAATACGGTATCTTTGCTCATCTTACTGATACGATCTTGGCAGTTGTAGTCGTCGTACTTGCGGGTACCGATCATAGAGGCGATTACTGTAGCCGGTACGATTTGAAGCCATTTATCTGGATTGTATGATGGGAAAGTTACTGATGGGACGTTGGTACTGTAGTCGTATGTAAAAGCTTCGTATGTTGATGGTTCGTACGTAGAGCCTTGGTATGAGTTTGAGCTACCATATGATGTTACATCACTTGATACTGTAGATTCTTCGTGAGTTGATACAGTATTTGTAGCGTAACCAGTACCAGCAGTACCACTATTGTCTGTTGTAGCTTCGTATGTGCCAGTATGGGTATATGTAGATCCTGCAGTACCAGTTTCAGCACCTCCAAGACCAGCTTCAGTACGTCCAGTACCAATTTCTATCCCGCTAGTACCAATTTCAGTACCTCCAGTACCACCAGTACCAGCTACAGTATACCCAGTACCTATTACAGTACTACCAATACCAAGTTCATGACTTCCAGTACCAACCACAGTATTACCAGTACCTCCCTCTCCATTAGTAGTACCATGCCCCGTATTGTCGTATGTTGATCCCTGGTACTCTCCAGTATGCCCAGTATGATATCCTCCAATCTCAGTATAAGCCACCGGACCTACAGTACTAGACCAAACTTCTGGTGGTATATTAACATTGCTATTAGGTATAGGCTGTCCATTATAAGGTCGTATACCGTTTAATGGTACTATAACCGGTAGTATGTTGACATTCTGATCTGTTACGTGCTTATTTTCATTGCCATATCTATCAGTGTTGTTGTAGGATACTGTAGCGCCGGTTACTTCATAATTACCGTAATGGGTTTCATTTGCTTTGTACCGTAAGTCATTACCGTAACCAGTGTTTTGGCCGTTGGTTGCTGTACCAGTACCATTTTGAATGTTATCTGTACCAATAGTACCATTTTGATTAATTCCAGTACCAGTAGTACCATTTCCAACCCCGAGTGTACCATCAGCACCACCTAATACCTTAACATTCTCCCCAATTTCGTGTGGATATATCGGCTTTACAGTAGGCCACTTCTCAGCCTCAGTATCAGGTGGGTAGGTGGATACGATAGGCATGTAGGTAGGTGGAATCAGAATCGGAGGCCATTTATTCGACTCTGGAGGCCGATGAGCATGTGGTATAACCAGCGGCCATAAGCCTTGTTGAGGAAATCCATTGACCGGCTGAAGAGGTCTTGGCCTCGGCGTTACTGTAGTGGTGTACGGTAGTTCTGTGGTCGCAGTTACTGTAACATAACGTTGATCATAAGGTGGTACTGTATTAGTATGCGATGGTCTTTCATCCGGTCGATTCATCTCTTGACCATAAGTAATTTCCATACCGTAACTTGATCTTACAGTAGTAGGACTTACAGTAGCTTCATCATTTTTCGAAGTTACTGTACCTTCTTTCCCTGGCTCTTCAGTATGTAGATAAATCGTCGCAAAGTTGAGTCCAGGATGTGATGTTACAGTACTTATTGGAATACCGTAATCCACCCCTATTGATGCGTTAACTGGCACATTTACTGTAATTTGGCCTGGTATAAAAGTAGGATGACCCAGAATATTACCCAAATTTTGTCCCGGGTATACGGTAGGCATTATGGTAGTAGTGAAAAGACGAAAAGGTAGAGGTCCTTGCTGCACTTGTCCAGGATATAAAGTAGGTACACCTTGTCCAGGGAAGGATGTAGGTATACCCTGTCCTGGGTACAATGTTGGTACGCCCTGTCCTGGATATAAAGTACCTTTACCTTGAGGTGGATACAAATTCTGATACGGTAAAAGGCCTGGTGCCAAAAATGGTGCAAGTCCGACAGCTGGGGGTGCTGTGACAGTCTGTGGAAGCAATGGGGGTACTGTAATTTGACCTGGAAATAGAGTCGGAGCTGGTTGTGGAAGTTGTCCAACATTTTGCCCTGGATACAAGGTTTGCGCAAGTTGTCCGTTTTGCCCAATATTTTGTGCTTTTTGCCCAAGGTGTCCATTCTGGCCTGGTTCTCCATTTTGCCAAAAATTTTGTCCAATTTGTCCATTCTGCCACACATTTTGTCCGAGTTGACCAGATTGCCCCTGACCTTGTCCAACTTGCCCATTTTGTCCGCCAGGCCACACTTGTTGTCCAGGATATAAAGTCGGCTTAGGTGGTACAGTAACCTGCCCTGGCCATAAAGTAATAGGCCTACAGCAAGCCGGCTGGTTCAAGGGTTGGGCCGGTGGTGAAGCCGGAAGGTCGGTTGATATACCTGTAGCTGTTTCTGGCTCATCTTGCTTCGTATTCATCACAATCCAGGTTTCTGGAGACGGTTGATACGGTCGAAACGTTGTGCGAACGCCAGGCTGAGGGTATTGATTTGCAGGGTAGGGTAGATTTTGGTTGCCAGGGTAGGGTAGGTTTTGACTTCCAGGGTAGGGTAAATTTTGGTTTCCAGGATAAGGCAGACCCTGACTTCCAAGGTAGGGTAGGTTTTGAATTCCAGAGTAGGGTAAATTCTGACTTCCAGGATACTGATTAGGCTGGCCATAAGGGTACTGTTGTCCATTGGCATTTTGAGAGTACGGTAGATTCTGATTTTGATTTGGTGTTGGGATATTGTGAATGGTACTCATGGTACTAAACGATGGTTTTAAAGTTTGACTGCCAAATACTTCACCAAATTCGTCGAGTCTGAAACATAGGTAATATAAAAATGGCAAAAATTTTTTTTAATTCAATTTTTCAAAATTTCAAAATTCTTCCTTACTTCCCCTCGTACTCCTTGGTCGTTTCAAAAGTTCCATATATGGGCCACAGCGTTGGTGTTGTTACTGGAGTGACAAGCTTTTGTTGATTGTCATTTGGCAAGACTTGTCCTGGATATAAAGTTGGTCTTAGCGTTGGTTGGCCTGGGTACAGCGCTAAAAATGAAAATAAAGGTTGAACCATCAAAAAAATTATTTTATTTTTGTAAAGAAAGTTCTTGTCATTTCTTGTATGGTAAAGAAAGTTTTTGCCATTTCTTGCTTTGTAAAGAAAGTTCTTGCCGTTGTTTGTATTGTAAAGAAAATTTTTGCCATTTTTTGTTCTGTAAAGAAATTTCTTGCCATTTCTTAATTTGTAATGAAAGTTCTTGCTCTTTTTGGTTTTGTAAAGAAAGTTTTTGCTATTTTACCTTCTGTAAAGAAAGTTCCTGCAGTTTTTACCCAAAATTCCCTCCTAAAACAATCAAATGAACTTACTATTAATTCCTTGCTGTCCTTGTCCTGGTTTTGTAATCCCAAACCTTTGAAATGGATCAAAAGGTGCTGTAGTTGTGGTGAATAATATCGGTGGCAGTATTATGCCCGGAGGTCTTGGAAGCCAATTTCCATGAGTTCCAATCGTTTTTTGTTGCGAATCCGGTTGGTTTTGCAGTGCTTGCTCTCCTGGCTTATTTAGAACATAATTTTGTTGATTATTGGTACCAGCTGCACCATTGGTACCAGTAGTACCATTTTCAGGTTTTTGAAAATTTTGACCATACACGTTGTTTCGAGTACCACCTTGATTGAATTTGTTGTTAAATTGTCCATTTTGGTTAGTATTAGTACTGTAATACTGACCTTGACCATTATATTCACCATGACCTTGTTGACCCAAAATTGATGGTTTGTTGCCTTCAGGAGACCCTGGATAGCCATAAGTTGGTCGATTAGCACTAGCAGTACCATTAAGATTGCTTGATGGTAGTAGTGAGTTAGAAAAAGTACCATTTTGTCCGGTATGAATACTATAATTACTACTATGAGCCATACCGTTTGTAGTACCATTAGCATTAATATTGTTGTAGCCAAAATGTTGGCTAGTGCCATTCAAAGACCCATAACTAGTACCATTATATCCATAACTTCCATTTGGTCCTCTATTTGTACCACTAATACTATTATATAAACCAATACCACCAGTACCATTATGTGTGCCTACAGTACCAACACTACCAATAGAGCTTCCAGTATGTCCAACATTATTAGCATTACCATAGTAGCCATTAACATTACTACCATTACCCATATTTCCAGTACTACCCCCAATAGGACCACTGGTACTACTTTCAGCCAAAAGCTGGGCCGACCCTCCAGATGAGACAACTTGAGGTACAATGTGTTGAAAGTGATTTCTGGCCAATAAAAACAAATTTGCATATTCAGGATCTTCATCCGAACCATCGAAGCAGTCGGTTCGATTGTTTAGGAACCAATGACTGAACACACATTCACCATAGCCTTTACATGGTAAAGTGTTGGGTAAGCGACATAGTTTTCTTTCTAAAATTTTAAAAAGTAATTTTTTATGCCAAAAAGTCATTTTTTATATTAGCCTTGATCAGATTTGACATTATCTTGGTCAAGATTTGATCATTTTCTGTTTTATACCAAATCATCGTATAACTTGTCACCTGCAGGCTGCAGAAACCAAAACATGACTTTTTTTTTAGGTTTTTTTCGTTGTTTCGTAAAAATAAAACAAATTTCCACGAATTTTAATTTTTTTACTTCAAATTTTTTTTAAAAATTAATTTTTAGGTAACAAGAAAATTTTTTGCACAGTGCAAACTTAAATCATAAAAATTGCACAGTGCAACGTAAAAAATAAAAAAAAATTTTAAAATTCAAAAAATTGTAGAAACTCACTCAAATTAGGACAGAAAGATGGCTGTAACACAAACTTTGGCCCTCCTTCATCATCACATTTTGGGTTTGTCAAACAATCGGCCAAATGTTCCAAATTGGCACAATATTGGCCACACATTATCTGACCCGGGTAGCAAACTGAAAATTTATTTCATTTTGTTTTAAATACGGCTAACGAACATCTTCTTTAATATTTTTTAAATTTTAAAATTCAAAAAAAAAATTTTTTAATTCTTATGTTGTTCAAATAATTCTGCGCCCCTGCTCAAAGCAATTTTCAGAGTTAGGAGGCTTAGAATTATTTGAACAAACTAAAAAACTCAAAATTTCAAAAAAATGTTTTTAAATAAATTTTAAAAATAAAAAAATAATTTTTAGGTAACAAAACTTAATTCCAAACCCAGTCTCAACTTACACTCGTCGCTTTTGTCCGGACAATCCTGTTTTCCATCGTGTACTTGACTCAACGGAATACATTTGTGATCCCCAATGAAGCCACAGTCGAAGTGATGTTGCTCGTCGCATTGACCAGGAAAGCGAGCGTTGGCCACTAAAAATATAAAAATCATATAAAATAGCGAAAACTTTGTTTCCAAAACAAAAACTAGCAAAAACTTTCTTTAAAAAACAAAAAATGGCAAGAACTTTCTTTACAAAATAAATAATGGCAAAAACTTTCTTTCCAAAACAAAAAATGGCAAAAACTATTTTTACAAAACTAAAAACGGCAAAAACTTTCCTTACAAAACAAAAAATAGCAAAAACTTTCTTTACAAGCTAAAAACAATATAGTTTCCTTCATATCCTCAAAAAACTTTTAAAATTTCACTTCCTATACCCCCATACAATAACCCACCTTCGTAACTCGGCCATTGTCCCGTAGTACCATGAATAAAAATGCAAATTACAAAAAATACCAGTCGAATGTGAAAAGAACCCGTTGTGCATCGACCCGACCATGGTTTGAATATGAAGTTTGGCCACAACGTTGTGCTGTCGCTCTTACGTCGTATCGTGTTGTTTCGTATTGGCATGGGAATGTGATATAGTCATCCGCCACTCAGGTGCTCCCACATCCGGATCGGGGATATTGTTGTAGGATGATTATGCTCTAATTATCGGTTCCTTGATGAAAATGAGTACGAAGAGGGGTTTTCTAAAAAAAAATTATTGTTTTAAGGTGTCACAGAAACGTTTTTATGTAAAGAACGGTTTTTAAAAATATTGGGAGGGGTAAATTTTTTAAGAGGGAGGGGGGGGTCAAAAATTTTTTTTTGCAATTTTTCTGAAAAGGAAAAAAAATCAACCTCAATCTGTTTGAAAAAAAATCGTTTCCCTACCTTACCTTACCCACCCATACCTTAATCTACTCCACCCCACCCCAAAATTAAAAAAATCAATTTTTACCCCAGCCATTGACCCCTCCGCCCCAAAAAAACACTTCAAAATCACTGTTTTTTCCAAACCTCTTGACCTCTTCAGAATCACCTTCAGAATCCAGAAACAGAGTAAAAGTCCGCGGTAAACAAAAAACCACTCGGTAGAATCTGGAAAGCGCGGCCATTTTCCGGAAAAAAAACCGGCTTGGATGTTTTTGAAAGGCTGCAATTTTACAACCCAATGGTCACTATAAACGGGCCACAGGTGAGAGTGGCCACAACATGAAGCGGCCCAGCGGTTTTTGTTCATCCGGTCAGTCTGAGCGGCCCAATTTTAGAAGAAAACATTCGGAAACTTTGAACGGAAATGTAAGATGAAGAAATTTGTAAATTTTGAGAGTTTCAAAAGATATTTTACACTATTGGTACAAAAAATAGTAATTTACACAAATGTAAAATAACGGAAGGGTAGGGTAGAAAAGATAGGATACATAATAAGAGCATGATAACATAGTGAACATGATGGTAAAAGCAAGTCTAAGGTTAGAGTAGAGCAGGGCTATCTCAGGGAAGGGCCAGGTCTAAAGCTAGGGCCAGTCCTAGCCATAGAGATAGGGCTATGGCTAGGACTGGGGCTAGAGCTAGGGTTAGAGCTAGAGCAAGGCTAGGGCTAAGGCAGTTCTAGAACAAGGCTAGAGCAAGGCTAGTACAAGTCTAAAGCAGCGCTAAGACACAGTTATGGCAGGACTAGTGCTAGAGCTAAGTTAAAGCAGGGCTATTCAAAGAAAAGACAAGACTAGAGCAAGGCAAGGCTAAAGCAATGCTAGGGCAGAGAAAAATAGGGCAAGAGCCAGGCTATGCCAAAGCTAAAGCAAGACTAGAGCAGCGCTTGAGTACGGAAAGGGTAGAGCAAGAGCAGGGTTTAAACCAGGCAAAGGTTAGAGCTAGACCCGGCAAAGCAGAATAAGCCCTAGGGCTAGAGCAAAGCTATAGGAGAAAGAATAGGGTAAAAAAACTGGCCAAAAAAAATTCAAGTCTCTCCCCTCCGTCTTTAAAATTTCCCTTTCCCTCCAACTTTTACCCCTTACCTAACTGACCAACCCTGGTCCTTCATTATTTCAAAAAAAAAAAAACAAATTTTCGGCAGCCCAATTGCTTTTATCATCACTGTCTATAGTATTTACTCCTATTCCTAGCCAAATCTACAGAACGTTGAACTTTGCTAAGCTCGTTCTAACCTCTATCAATCACGTTTTGACTACTACTAACAATAAGAACGTTGTGCCCTCTACTAAGCACATTCAAACCCCAACCAAGCATTTTCTGACCCCTACCCAGCACATTCAAACCCCAGTCAAGCACATTCAAACCCCTACCATAACACAACAAAACAAGCATAAACAAAATCCTTTAACCTCAAGCTGAAAAACCGTTTCGTAAAAGTCAAAATCGCCAAACTTTTTATAAAAAGCGTATAGCAAAACAACTAAAAGTTCACAAATTTCCCAAAAAAAGCGTATAGTAAAAAGTAAAAAAGTCATTGGACTAACAAACTAGTACGAAACAGTTTCCGCAACAAAACCAATACTATGCCATTAGTAATCGTACCTGCAAAAGAAACAGTGCCGAAACAGGAAGCGCGCCACCGCCCATCAGACGTTTTTGCGAAAAAACTTTACGAAAATCAGTGCACGCTTGGCCGATTCCTTCGGCCGAACCTATAAATATATGGCAATTTGGGGTCGGGCCAAGAACTGACCACTTTAGGTGGGGGTATTTACACAGTAGACCACTTACTTTGCAGTTTTTTTCTATTGACCACACTTTATTTGAACCGACTACTAAGTTATTTTAAGCTAGCAACTAAGTGCTTTAGGCTGACCACTGAGTTAGCTGAAGGTGGCCACTCAGTTAGCATAAGCTGAACAATAAGTTCATTTAAGCTGGACACTCAGCTACTTTAGACCGCCCATTTAAACCAAAATTTCATGCCATAAAGTAATATTGACGAGTTACTGTAGCATTTAGTGGTCACGAAAAGTCAAAAATGTAGCCATAACTTCCTTCTATGCAACAGTAAATAAAAAACAAAATATTGATCACAAAACCAAGACGGAAAATTTTGGAATCCAAAGACAGTCAAATTGCAAAAGCTTAAATAAAGTTTGTTTTACATTGAAAATAGCAAGAATTTTCTTTACAAAACACTAAATGGCAAGAACTTTCTTTACAACACAAAAAATACCAAAAACTTACTCTACAAGCTCCAGAAGCAGCCCCCTTCCATCTATCGTATAACTTGACAGGCGCAGGCTGCGAAACCCAAACATAATCACTTTGGACCTTTAAATCTACCCTGCAACAAAACCACAAGAACCACCCCAAAACATTAAATAACACCAAACCACTTTACAAAATACAAAACGACACAAACTTTCTTTACAAAACCAATCCACAACCTTTTGGCAATCCTTTATTTTTAATATTGTTATCAAAAGTGAGATAATTCAATCGAATATTAATAATATGGTATGTACAAAGACCATTAGATGGTAATACCCATAATTGCTGTGAGATAATATAAGACTTTGCGATGATATAAAAAGGTTAGGTTATATTGATTATGGAAGGTTGATACTACCAAAGCTGTTCAGGTATACTTGATCTGCTTGAATGTCGTTGAGCCGAGCTTGTTTCTGCCATGATGTAGATTGCTTCTTGACTAAAATTTGACAAAATTATTTCCATCAAAAGGTACCTCGTATTTCAACCAAAAATTTTATTAACAAAAATTGTTGAAGAGGTAGTCACGGTAAAATTACTGTATCCTCAAAACCAAAATAAATTTTCAAAATCTGATAAGATAGTTAACAGCATAAGTAACCAGTCTACTTTGGTTAAAAATTCCAAGTCTCTAGCCATTATTTAAAAAAAGTTATAACAAAAAAAATACTATCATCAGCTAGTGAATGTTACCTGAAAATTCATGTTTTCAGACAGATTTCAAAAACTAAAAACTTGAAACTTCTACAAATCGTTCTCCATACTTTATTATAACTATCATTAAAGTTTTATCATAATCCAGCAACTTTACTTTGAGTAACTAGCTATTTAACATCTACTACAACATCAAACATAATCTTTCTTATTAGCTTAGTAAATTTACAAATAAATGTAAAAAATAAAACTTACTATGTTTTCGAGGTTGTGCTTGAGATACTCTGACTAATGAAACACCAGAAAGCCATTTTAAAGCGCTTCGGACATCAGATTTGATGTTATCCATAGCTTGGTCGACCATCGTTTCGAGCAGATTTTCGAGTTCCGTTCAACCTGAAAAATCACATAATTAGATACGTAATACATAAGATCTATAAAACCAAGCAAATGTCAATAAAAACCGCGTCAAAAAGCTCTACCAACAATTATATTAACTTATATACCAATATTATCCAAAGCCCGCCCCCAAAAAAACCACAAAACCACGTGCCGTCAGCTAAAAATAAGATAACAAACAAAAATTATGATAATAATAACTGATCATTCAACTGTACTTTAATCGAAAAAGCTAATATCTATTTATATCAAAGAACCGTAGCTATTTACAACAATATACAAGCGAGAAGGAAGCAATTAAGCAACCTTGTTTACTATCTCTAATGAAAAGAGGTAGTTAAAAAGCCATTAAAGAATAATACATCAATTAAATTCCATCAAAGTACCCAGAATCCACTCAAATTAGGCTTCAAACGGCAAAAAATCGACGGAAAATAAATTTTTAGAAGAAATTCTAGAAAATACGTCAGTGTGCTTCGCCTTGGAAACGTTTAGTAAGGAAAACTTTAATAAAATAGGATTTTAAGAAACTTTTGAACCTGACTGGAACGCATAATGTAGCCTTTTTAACTGTCGAGATCCGAAAAAGTTAAAAACCGTGAGTTCAACTGACCAAATTTCTAAACTTTCAGATAATGCGTCATTAAAACAAAATTTTGTTCGCTTGTTTGGAAACATTATAAAATACGATTTTACAGTAGTGCTGAGAAACCTACAGTACCAAAAAATTGTAAGTTTCTAGCTTTTAAAGCTGTGAAAACACCAAGCGTATTATCTATATTACAATCGTTTTTCAGATCCCAACCTCCACCAAAAAACCGTCGCCATGACAAAAATCAACAATCACAAGCTTCGAAATTTTACCCAGACAACAAAAAGTCTCCGTACAACCCGATTACTCATCCGTTCAAGTATTCCAACCACCCGTCGCTATCAACGAAACCGATTATGTTATCCACCCCGTCGCACAGCTGTTTTCGCAAACTCAGCTCCGGGCTTTTTCGAAATTCGACTCGGAAAATCAAAGAACGTCGAGCCATCATCTGCTTGCGAACGATTGATAAGACAAACACGAAGGCAACACTTTGATATTTTGAAGACAAACACTTATCATTTTGCGGAAGGATCATGTTTTTGGTGAAGCGTGACCTTGCGAGTCAACAGCTCAGGGGAAATACGTTTTTTGGCTGGATGTTGTTGCAGGCAATGTGAACGGAAAGGTCAGTTTTTGTGTTCTTCGGAGTTTTATCTTGTTTTAGGGAATGGAAAACACAAAAATCTGGAGCAGTTTGCATCAAAAATGGCGTGAACAAGCAAAAAACAGCGAAAAATAGGGGAAATCTGGCGGTCTTGCCTGGTCTATTGGGTAAAACAATATGAAAAAGGTAAAATACGAACAAAAAATATTGTCTATAACTATTTCGAAGCTTTGTCTTACATTTTTCAAACCAAACGTTAACTTATTCTGTCCAAAAAACTTGTCAAGAACCAAAAAATCTTTAAAAATTACCCAAAATTCTAGAAATTATGCAAATTTTGGGTATAAAAAGCCAAGAATTTCACGGACGCGTCATTCGTGAGCAATTGAAAATGGCACGCGTTGAAACTCCTCCGTCTTGCCAAACTAACCCACCAAATGTGGCCAAGCCCGGACCTATACTTGACCAGGTCGGTCGTCCGCCTCAATGTGCACTACCATCGAGTAAACCTGCTGCTGGCGACAGTACCAAGGTTGAAGAAAGTTCGGTTCTGGAAACGGTCAAATGTATTTTAAAGAAGAAGCAACTGAGAGTTGAGAAAGTAAGTTCAATTTGCAATTGTTTGGTTTTTGAGCACGTTTTTTGGATTTTTCGATATTATAGTAGGTTAAAAGTGGAAAATCTGGAGCTTTCAGTTCATTTTTGTGAATGTAAATAAATAGGTTTGGTAAAGCATAAAAATCAGTGTAATTTACGAAATTTTCATGTCGATATCGTTATTTTCGGCGAAGTTATAACGAATTTAACATGGTGAATATCGAAAACTAGCGATTTTTTCACATTTGGTTGTTTTTCTTCTTTTACGATGTAAAATAGCTATTTTTTAAATTTTTTTTTTTAATTTCACATTTTGAAAATATTTTTTAGAGGGAGGAACCACCCAAAAAGGCGACCCGGCCAATTTTTGAAGCCGAGCCCGTAACTGAAATTCCTGTTGAATATTTGCCTGGACTTCCTGACGGTATTGGTGCTAACAGGCTGTCTTATCAGTCTCCAGGACGAATTATTAAGGTGAGACTAATTTTCAAGGTTACTATGTTTTAACTGAAAAGGTTATCAAGTTATGTTGTTGTAGGTATATCTAGTGTAATATAGGTTTTCAAGTTTTTGGAGGAGATTTTAAATTTTTTGGTATGAATATGGAGTAGTACTTGAATTTTTTATTTTTTTTTCATTTTTTGGTTGATGTAAAAGCTTTTTGCGCGGGCAGTATGAATTTATTGATTGCACGGTGCAGTTTCTAAAAATAGTAATGTAGTTTCGAAAAGTGAGAAAATCATGTCGACTTGGTTTGCATATCGAAGGCAATAGTATATCTTTTAGTGTGCCAAGATGTTTGTCCCAGAAGTTCAGAACTACAACTTTATTGGTCGTATCATTGGTCCTCGTGGCATGTCAGTACGCCGTATTGAAGCGGAAACCAGTTGCAAGTATCTGATTAGAGGAAAGGGATCTGTGAAAGTGAGTGTTGTTATGATTTTGATATTTTGATTTTTTTTTAAATTTGAAGTTTGAAAATTTTGAAGTTTTTTTTAAATTTTGGTACTATACCTAAATTACAATAACTTCAGGACCCAGTACGTGAAGACAGCCTTCGCGGTAAAGCCGGCTGGCTACACCTAGAAGAGCCACTACATGTTCTTGTAGCCTGTGCCGACGTGGACGAGAAACGGTGCAGCGAACGGCTAGCCATTGGCGTGGCAGCAGTCCAAGCCCTACTGACCCCAACTTACGACGAGTTCAAACGCCAACAACTGGTCCAATTGGCGCTGATCAACGGAACCTACCGCCCTTAACTGACCTAGCCTAACCTCATATTAGTTCCCTGCCTAGTCCAACACAATATTACGATAATAGTGGAGTTGCTATTAAAACTATTACTGTAATTTGGTGTTATTTTACTTTTTTGCTTGATTTTTGTTAGCTATCTTGATTTTATATTGATCTTTTTGTATTAAACTGCTTATTTGACTGTAATAAAGCTTATTGAAAGTGGAAATGTGGAGTGTGTACTATGTTATAGTAGTTTATATTACTATGGTATATTGGTTTGATAATATTTTTTAAAATTTTTGATTCAAACGGTACCTACTACCGTAAAGGATGCTTACTGAAGCTAAAAGTGATAGTAGTAGATCAATAGCTTAAAGGTGAAATTGATAGTAATCAATATTTTATGAGTAACATTAATATTAATTGTCAATACAATCTAGGGCTTATCAGTGTGATAAAACAATCATTTTTATGCCTGATGACGGCCTTCTGAAGCTAAACCTGTAGTCGTTGCAGTTGAACTATCAATTGGCCTTGTAAATGGATAGTTTGGATGGTGATAAGCACTGCAATATTAATTTATATAATAGCAAGAACCTTCTTTATAAAACAAAGAATTGCAAGAACTTTTATTACAAAGCTTAAATTGGCAAGAACTTTCTTTACAAAACAAATAATGGCAAGAACTTTTTTAAACTTACAAGTCAAAAGGAAAGAAGTGTTTGTCCTGATCTTCTCCATCCAGTTCAACTATTTCCTCAGGGCTAATTTTAAAGTCAAAAATATTCAAATTCTGTTTCAATCTAACGGGATTTGAGCTTTTAGGTATGACAATAAGACCTCGTTGAATGGCGTGTCTCAATAATATTTGACCAGTCGTTCTGCCATACTTTACTGCCAATCTTTTTACAATTTCATTTTCCAAACACGAGCCATCGACGAAACTACCCACAGGGTTTTCTTTACGTCCTGGAGAGCCGAGAGTGCTGTAGCCGGTTACGGTAATGTTGTTAGCTTTGCAGTAATCAACTAGTTGAGATTGGGAGAGGTAGATGTGGATTTCAGTCTAGAATAGGATTAGAAATTAAAGGGTAGGGTAGAGTAATGTAGGCTAATATATGATAGGACAGGGTATTGTATGGTAGGGTAATGTAGAGTAGGAAAGAAAAGGGTAAGGTAGGGTAGAATAGGGTATGATAAACTACGGCATGGTAGGGTAAACTAGGGTAGATCAGGATTAGGTACGGCATAATTATAGCTTTTAGAAAAATTGATCAGTCGATAAAATGGTCGTTTACCTGCAAATTATGAGGTGGAACTTCACATTGATCAAGAACTTGTTTAGTTTGTTCAATATTGAAATTAGAGATTCCTAGTGATTTGATGACACCTTTTTTGTAATATTTCTCTAGCACTCTCCAGGTATTAATCAAGGGTATGTCTTCTACAATAAAGTTTTTGTCTTCATCTCTTAGGGCTTCTGTCATTTCTTCATTTGGCTGGAAAGTAAAAAAAATTACACTTTTGGATTTGTAAATAATGTTTTTGCACCTTTATGATATGTGAAGAAAGTTCCTGCGTTTTTATGCCTTGTAAATAAAGTTTTTGCTGTTTTTTGTTTTGTAAACAAAGTTCTTGCTATTTTTTGCTTTGTAAAGAAAGTTCTTGCCATTGCTTGTTTTTTAAACAAAGTTCTTGCCATTTTTTATTTTGTAAAGAAAGTTCTCGCCATTTTTCATTGTAATAACCATACTTTAAAAGGCAAAGGAGTATGCATCAAATACATATCCAAATAGTCCAGTCCAAGCACTTCCAACGATTTTAAAATTGCCTTTTCTGCATTGTCTGGTCGATGAGAAATGAACGACAGTTTGGTCGATATAAAAAGCTCTGATCGGGTCACTAATTTCTGGTCGATCGCTTCTCGTACCACTTCACCGACTATTCTTTCATTACCATATAATGTAGCTGTGTCGAAGTACCGATAACCAGCTTCTATTGCATTCTTTATCGTTTTTCGAACTTCTTCTTCTGTTGCATTACCCTAAACATGATTTCGAAGTTCTCAACTTACGAGGCCGTATTTTACATTTTTCTCCAGCTTTTCTATCCTACGCTACCGTACGGTACCCTACCTTACGCTACCCTACCCTATTCTACCCTGCCCTACCCTATTCTACCCTACCTTACTCTACCTTTACTTTACCCTGCCCTGACCTACCCTACCCTACTCTGTTGTACCCTACTCTATTGTACCCCACCCTACCTTACCCTACCTTTACTTTACTCTGCCCTGACCTACCCTACTTCGCCCTATTTTTTCGATCTTATCCTACCCTATATTATTCTTCTACACTATCTTATCCTGCCCTACCCTTGTTTAAAACCCTAACTTTCCCCTGCCTTACTTTATGCTTGTCCTAGCTCTACGAAGCTCTACCTCAGTTCTACTGTAGTTCTGGAGTAGCCTTACTTTTCCCATATCCTAGCTTTCTGCCCTACCTTAATCTGATCATAGCTAAGGCTGCGCCCTAAGTTACAGTACCTACCATCCAACATCCAAGTCCAATAGGAGGTATCTTCACATTGTTTGAAAGAGTATGACTATGCTTCAAGTAATCTAAATCATCTTTATATTTCTTTGTAGAATCACCATCAGAAACATTATCTTCTGCTACGTTAATGGTACCATTGGCTGGCATCTGGAATAGTAAAGGATTAAAAATGTTTATGAAATTAGGTACCTTCCAACTTTTGCCGTACCTACGGTCATTTTAATCAAAAATTTAAAAAAATCATCAAGAGTTAATGTACTAAAACTCCCAGCTGAATTACCATGTAACCACTTGTTTACTCCTTCAAATTCAAATTTTATGACAAGTATTTCTTGAAAAGAAGGAGGAACTCGCAAAAGTCCAAAAATCCGGCGGCGCAAAGGCCGCGTGCCAAATTTAGGCCCTAAAGGCAGTGCAAAATTTCGGACTAAGTGAACCCTCAAACAATTATATTATTCATCGGCCAATGTTCACGTAAAATGCCATTAGTTTCAAAGAATGGCAAATTTTAACTTTTCTGTAAACTAGTACTAGTGGCGGACGATAATTCTGTTTTGGGGGGTGTTTTAAAATTATTTTTTTTTGAAATTCAAAGTTTTCAAAATTAAAAAATAAATATTCTTCATTAAAGGGTGACGATTAGTCGAAGCATTTTGGCATGGCTTTAAAAATTTTTTTTCACGTTTTATTTTTTTTTACTTTTAAAATTTAAAAAATATTAGATATAGTTAAAATACCTACATTCGAAATTATTTCGACCAAATAGAACTGCCACTCTGTGTTCTTCCAGCCTGCGCCAAAGCGGGTAAAGAACGGTGCGGCGAACGGCTAACCATTGGCGTGTCGGCAGTCCAAGGCCCTACTGAACCCAACTTACGACGAGTTCCATCGCCAACAATTGGCCCAATTGGCGCTGATCAACAAAACCTACCGACCCCTAGTTTAACATAATATTAACCATTAAATTCCTATTCCAACACAATAGTGGACTTACTGCTGAAACTACTACTGTAATCGAGTTTAAGATGACCTCACACAAGTCAGCTTTTTAGGGTTGTTTTTTTAAAAGAGTTCAAGCTGTTGATGGTGTACAAAACAAAAGCTAAGGGATAAATGTCAAAACGTTCCAAAACTGATAAACAAAAATTTATTAAAACAAAAAAAGGTACAATAAGAGCCGTATATGGAGGGAGACCAGTAAGATAAACATAACACTAAAATGGCCCAAAAATTTTAGGACTGATTCACCAAAACCATTTTTTTTAAATTTCCCAACAAAAATAAACGTTAAAAAATAAAATTACAACAATTAACAAAAATTTAAAACTAAATTTAAAACCAAATTTAAAAAAATTCGACGATAAAAAAAATATTGTCCAAAAATTTTTGAGCCACTAGTGTAATATTCAAATTTGAGGTTTTGAAGACCGAGTAGAGGTATACGTGGCATGAGGACTGGAATATAATGTGGCAATATGTTTGGAAACAAAAACAATATAAAAAAGAATGTCAACATGACATTTAAATATGAAAAAGTACACAGGTATACAATCTCTTACTGAAAGTAAAAAGATAGGCATTATCTTACGAAAGTAAAAAGATTGGCATTACCTTACAAAAAAACGATCAGCTATTCAATTTTCTACCCTTAAGCTATAGACTAACAGATATTCATTTTTCTATCTTTAAGCTATACAGCTATACCTGCTTGACATAAAACCCATAAGTTTCATTTTAAATCATTTCAAATTGAAACTTAGGCCTATAAATGAATATTAAAAAATACCATTTTCAACTATCCCAAAACAACAAAAAGTCCAATTTAAAGCCATTTCCAACTAAAACAATATCATTCTAACCAAGTACAAAGACAAAATGTTTAAAATACAAAAATACGATTTAAAAACAATAATATCCATCAAAAACCATAAACCATACTTAAAACCGGTTGCCAGTTGGCTGTAGAGTTTGCAAAAGTCTGAGAAGTTGTTGAGCACCATCGTTGGCTTGGGTTGGTTGAGCCGGCTGGCTGTAAGCTTGAGCATTCATCTGAGGATTGTAATAGTGAATTGATGACAAATCCTGTTGTGAAATCAGATTCTGACTTTGAAGTGATAGGTCGTGACTTTGAAGGATGCTATCACTAAGTTGTAGTAGACTTTCATTAACTTGAGGTATGTCTTGATGTGGAGGTAGCTCTTGAGCTTGAGTTAGACTGTCTTGACTTTGTAGATCAGCTTGACGTCCTTTTTGAACCAAAGCCTGTCGAAGTTGATTTAACAAAGAATTGTCTAAGCAAGGTTGAATAGAAGCTCCTCGGCCCGAAGGAGTACTATTTTGCCCAAGCGGTGATCCAGTTTGAGCAAGAGCAGGGCTGGTTTGTCCAAGAGTAGAAACATTTTGAAGCGCAGTACCAGTTTCAGCAAGAGAAGTACCATTCGTACCAATTCCCGTTCCAAGTAAAGGAAGCTTTGTACTATTAAGACCCAAGGCCGTACCATTTCCACCGAAATTAGTACCATTTTGACAATATGAAGCAACAGTCTGACTCATCGGTGAACATTGACCAATTGGTGATCCAATCCGTCCAAGTGGAGTACCAGCTCTCTCAACGCCGGTACCACTACGTCTGAATGGTGAAGTGCTCTGACGTTCAAACGGATTCAACTGCTGTGATAACGGCATGTTCTGGTGGCACATTGGAATGTTCTGTTGACTCGAAGCGCTCTGCATGGTCATTATGTTTAACAAGTTCAACAACATGTTTCCAAGCAGCGAATTCTGATTCAGCTGTTCGTTCAGAAGTCGCAACTGATCATCATACGATAAACCATTGTTTGGTGGGCTAGCTGGACTGTCTGGTCTTGGATAGGTTGTAGAATTGGCTAGGATATCAGCCTTTGAAGATGGATAACTTCCATTGGCTTGGTCCAATTTGGAAAATGCCCCATTAGTATAGTTGGAGTTGCAGAATCCAGCGTTGCTGTGATCTGATATATTCAAAAATCCTTCTTCACCAGCAACTTTTAGAGATTCTTCCTTAACCTGGCCATTAGGTAATCCGTCATTAACTTGACCATCGAAACTTCCATTGTATAAACCATTGCCATTAGAACTCGCTCTACCAACTTCATTACTTCTATTAGTACCTTCATCATTTACTGCATCATTTCCTTTGGTCAGACTTTCATTTCTAGTGCCATTTTGAGCTTCATTTCCATTTTCGTCACCATTAACAACTTGGTCAAACTTATTCATACCCATCTGTTGGCTCATACTGGCAATTTTGTTCAGATCAGCTAAATTAAAGCCTTGTAGACCACCGTTTTGGCCCTGTAAGTTAACATTATGGGCTTGTATACCAGTACCACGGCTCTGTAGGCCAGTCTTACAACTCTGTAGGCCAATATTACTATTTTGTCCACCAGCATTTCCATTATTACTTTGAAGTCGACCATTTCCAACATAGCCTTGTAGACCACCACCTTGTCCATTAAGACCCTGTAGACCAGCCTGTGCCCTAAGCTGACTCAAGATGTCATTGTTATTCCGTATATTACCCAAAATGTCACCATGATTCCGTAAATGGTTCAAAATGTCACCAGTAGTATGTAGATAACCCAGTATGTCACCAGCACTCATCGTATTCGGACTGACAGTATTGGTCGAGCTTGGGCCTGAACTGATCTCGCTACTGGATCCAGAAGAGGCTTGTACGGTCAATGGTGAACTTGAGTTTCGTTGTTTCATAGCACGTTTGATCTTGAGCTTCGTGAACTCTTCCTCGTTCAGCTCGTGATTGTGAAGCGGCCTGAAGGTGGTGATACGTAGAACTTGGGTCATACTATGGTAGTTGAGGCGGATTGTCGCGGTGCATTGGCAGGGGAGGTACATCTGCTTCATTCGCTTGCCTTCACCTGAAATTTTTTATATTTTATTTTTGTTTTTGACCTTATTTTGCCATTCTTAAATGTATTCAGTTTTAGAAAGGTTAGTTTTGTAACTGCGTATTTTACAATTTTTAAATTTTGAAACTTTCCCCAAATTTTCAGTTTTTCCTCTCACTTTTCAACCCAATCAATAATGTTGCAATTGATGTCAGAATGCCCATACACTTCCGACCCATCATTATCGAGCGCTCAAGTGCTAATTGCGCACCACCCTTTTATGACTTTCACTCTCAGCCGTTTTTACAGTGGTAGGTCACCGCATGAGATAGGTCATCTGTTATATGCAAATTATTCGAGAGGAAAACCGTCTCCCCGTTTTGAACCCCGCTTTTGGCCTATTTTTGTTTTAACAACACAAATATTGCAAACGTATTTTACACATAAAAATCATTTTGAATCTTTTTTAAAATTTTAATTCCGTCTTAAAATAAAAATGTCTTTTTACTAATAATGCCAATTTTAAAAACACTACCAATTAATTTTTAGTGCACAGCCAAATTTTCACACAAATATATATATTATCCATGACATATCCTAAAAAAGACGTTATACCTAGCTTATTTTCATCCTATTTTTTTCAAACTACGACAACTTAATTTGACAATAAAATCAGTAAGTAAACTAGCTTTAAAATAAGCCTAAAACAAAAACTTTATCTCAAAAACTCGATAAGATACATTTAAAAGATCAAGAACGAACCTTTACCTCAATATTACACATGTTTGTCCCACAAATCCTTATAAAAAAATAAAAGCAAAATCACCACCGAAATTTAATAAAATGAAAGCCAAAACCCACCTCTAACTCTAACGTCTCCATATCTCGGGCAGTGATAGACAATCGACCGGTAGCCGACCTTTTCGTTCCACGAACCATCAGCATTCGTAAACTTGTCCGACGAAGAGATTCGAAACGGTTGATTGTGTTTCCCCATCCACTTCTTGAACAACTCGTTAAATGTGTGCCAATCCTTAAACTCAGCCCCCATATAAATTCCGTCATCTTTCGAACTGAATTCAGCGGCCCTCGGGTCATCTGATTGTTCGCGGGGCACTTTGATCGGCTTCTTTGGTCGCTTCTGAGATGGCTGGCTCGAAGTGGACTGGTCGATAGAATCTTCTAATGGATCGGCCTTTCGCTTCTGTGATTCTGAAGACACCATGCGTCCATTTAGAGCGAATATATCTAAAACAAGACAAGGTTTTAATAAAATCACATATAATCATAGATAATATAAGTTAACGATAGTTTTTGCCATTTTTATCAAAGTCAAACTTTTGTTACCTAATAAAACCTATAGAATATCAAGATCAGTCTATTGGGCATCAAACTACATCAAAAACTAGACCCATTAGTTCATTTTTCATCAAGTTTTACCTAAATTTGTATCAAACACGTCCTCAACTGCGTATTTTACTTAAAACTTTATGAAGGTAAGTGTAATTTTACTTCAAAATGTAGCATATAAATCGAAATTTCACCTAGTTTTCGAATAAAAACACATTACACGCCAAGATGTCCTAATAAACCCTTAAAACCTTATTTTAGGCATCAATACCTACTACAACATCGTAATATCTTACTCGCAAAACCATTTGCCCTAGCTAAAGCCCAGCATCAACAATCGAAACCTACTTGAGTCGCATATCAAATCCGAGATGGTGGTGTTCTCCTGATTCTCGGCCTCCTTCATAGCACCGTTCTGGTCCATTATCCCTATAATAATATCAAAATTACAAAAAAATAATTTTTTAAACAACAAATCGTAAAATAAAGTAAGAAACACGAGAAAATAGGCCAAATTAAAACATTTTCATCGAGAAAAAGTGCAACAGACTAGACGAAAAGGCGGATTTCCTAAAGCCGATTGAAACTGATAAACGCTATCTGCGCCCGCGAAAAAGACGGCTGCGCAAAACTTTGAAAAGCCGTTTTTTCACGGAAAGTTTGCCAAACGGTTGAGTATGGTATCAGTGCAAAAAGTACGTTTATATTTGGAAAAGTGACAGTATATTGAAGTATAGTTTTGTAAAAAAAAATTTTTCAATTTGACCATCTACTATGATATTGATGTAATAGAGATACCAACATATAAAAAGACCATAACTCGAACGGTAATCAATGGATTTGCATGCAAATTTTTATAGAAGATACTAATACTATGCCTAACAACTGTGCAAAACATTAATTTGTTTACTTGTGCTTAAAACACAATGCCAAAGGTCGCGGGAAATTTGACAGTGAATATTTGAAATTTAAACTGCTGAGAGTTTGATTGAACAAAAAACCAGACTAAAACTTCTTGCTGTAGATATAACTTAGTATAGTCTAAGTTTGTGCGAAATTTCACTTTGATTCTTAAAAGCATTGCTGAGATATACTTATTTATATAAGATCACCTACTACAATATAAGTTTTAAATCGGTAAAAAAAGTGTTTGAACTGCCAAAACATTTTTTTTAATAGAGTAGTAAATTAATACAGTAATATAACATTCCTGAAGACATTGTCAACAAACCGTTAAACTACAAAAACTTCAAAAGTTCAAAAAAATGGTCATTAAAAACGACTGACCACCTTACTATAAGTCCTGACCAAAAGTTGGCTCTCGAACGCCACCAATTTTGGACCTCGGCTTTTTTCGAGATATGTGAGTGGACACGAGCGCTGTAAATAATGGCATCCGGATCTCGAGCCCCCGCGCCTTCGCCGCCTCCAATCAGATGGAAGGGCGCGAGAGGGGTGGGGGGAGAGGAAAAACGGCTGCGACCCAAAATTGGGCCATGGATCGGCTGGACAGCCTTGTGTTTGTTTGGATAAAGATGTCGCTGAAGGTTTAGGGAAGACGTCGCAAGAAAAATTGGCAGAACTTGGTATAGGATGGCTAAAATTCAAAAATTTACCCCGCCCTCAAAATAACTTTTTTTTGGAAAAAAGCTGAAAATGGGCAGTTTTTTTGATATTTTTAAATTTAAAATGTAAGATTCAATAAAAAAAATTTTTTTACCCCCGCCCTTTCTCTAAGAAAATTTTTTTTTGAAACTTCTCTATGGCCGTAATAACCCTTAAAAAAAATTTTATTTTGTACCCCTCATTCCCCCCTTTAAAAAAACAATATCACAAAGCCCTAATAAGAACAGTGGTCCCTCGCTAAATCCACAAAACTTAATGTAACCACCATAAACTTGGCTAAGCTTAACTTTAGTCAATAAACAAAAATCATATGCATTGTCATCCGTCTCAGCATTAGAAGAATAATCGACAGTCGGCTGATGATGTAAGTTTGGACAGGTGAAGGCCGAAGTGGCAGATTAGGTCGACTTGTGTTTCTTATGCAACAGTTCAGACCTCTGAAGCTTAATAAGGGTGTAGCTCAACTTTTAGGCTCAGGAGCGGGCTAAAAATTAGCGTACAGAAGGCTTGTGTTATAGATAATGTTTAAAACATGATATTTTGGGTTTGTTGTAGTGTCAACTTTTACTATCAACCGTTGTTTTGCAGCAAGTAGCTCTAGCTTGTCTATATCTTGCTGATTTTATATGAAAACAACCTAATGTATTAAAAAAGTCTTATCTTTGATAAAATTATGGTTTAAATTCCTTTTACTATACCCATTTACATATATAGCTATATTCGTCAATGTCACCAAAACATTACGGTAAAAAATGACTGTCGGAACCACGACAAAAGACCGACGGTTGGAGTGCGTACAGTGTAATTTGAGACCCAATATGAAGGATTAAAAGGAAATGCGAAGACAAATTTATGCACCGCTGACCTACACGCAGTAGGTTAACATATCGGCATGTTAACACGAAGTTGGTTGGTATATTAACATTGTAAGGTGGGGTAGGGCGGTGGTATATTAACATTGTAAGGCATAAGCTTATGGGACGTAAAAATGATTTTTTGAAAATTATATTGAAAATTACCTAAAATAGAAATAACTTTCTTTACAACCCAAAAAATAGCAAGGACTTCCTTTACAAAATAAAAAATGATACTTTACGTATAACTTGTCACTCACAGGCTGCACAAACTTTAACATTGGACGTAGAGATGGCAACAACTTTTTTTACAAAGCCAAAAATGACAAGAATTTTCTTAAAAAAAAAGAAAAATGGCAAGGACTTTCTTTACAAAACTCAAAATGACAAAAAAAAATTTTTACAAAGCAAAAAATGAAAAAAACGTGTATAAACTACCTTTTTTCAACGTTTTTTTAATATTACAGTAGCTATAAAAACAAAACTTTGCTATATACATTACAGTACTCTCTATTACAACATTTTTCATAAAACTTCCAAAAGTCATCAACACCTCCTAGATATTTATTGCCTCTACTTTAATTCACTAACCCTAAAACCAACCAAACTCCCAATATCACCCCTCCAATTGCCAACCGAGAAAAAACTTTGCGAGCCGTCTTCCAAACCCACATTAGGTACCCCGAATGCCAAGGCAGTTTAGCTGTTCGAAAAAACACAGGTGGGGAAATAGTGCGTGGGTGGAAGAGACAGCAGACACTTTATGAGCTGAGTTACAGGGGTCAGACGGCTCTCTCGGAATTATTATGTAGGTCACAGCGGGAGGGGAGATTTGCAACAAAACTAGCACAGGTCCCATAATTGGCTTGATGTAATGGTGGGATCAAGAGCGTTTTGGCTCATATTGTACTTGAACAGTGATTTCAACGATTAATTGTAAAAATTCTTTAACTTTGTAATTATAAAACGTAGAAAAAAGTATAAACGTAAAAAAAGTCCTGTCGTCATTTTATTGGCATTAGCACACTAAAAAGCGACAAGATTTCTTAATCACCCCAATACTTAAGCTTTAAGCCTTGTTTTTTAAGTTTACATTAACCTAAAGCAACAAAATTTATAATCTAAAGCAAAAAAACCGCTGAAAACATATAAAAAACACCATTTTCTCCATAAAAAATATAAATAAATATTTATTAAGTCTTCGTGATATAAATATATATACATTAAGTTTACCCTGAAGTTTCGTTGATTTTTGCTTCGGCCGCCAGTTCGTCCTCGGCAATTTTTTGAAGTTCTTGAGGTGAATTCTTATTTGACAAAGCTGCATACATGGTTTGCATCGTCGCTCGCATGTAATCGACTGATGAAACGGTCATGAAATGAATCCATCGCTCTAAACTCGCAAAATCTGGTGCTGCAAAGGTGAATACTCGTTTTGTCCTGGAAATATCGGGGTTTTAAGTATAAAAAATTAATGGAAAAATAATTATAATACTCTTATTCAGTAATAAGGTTTCACATGCTTATAAGAAGCCGTAAAGATTACTAATATTCAACAAAGTCTTATCTTCACCATCTTTTTAAACAATAGTCTACGAAATTCAACAAAAATCTAAAAAGCGAACGATAAATTAAAAAGGACGTACGTCTTAGACCTTAACAAGAATGAGTATGACTTTCCAGTTTGATTGTCATCAGCCATTTCCACCAAACAATCTTCTACTATCAACATTACCATAGGCGCTGCTGTTAAATTATCAGCACTTTCAAATAAATACAATAAATTTGCTACCATCACAGCGTATAACGTCCTCCAATGTTCATCCTAAATGTATTATTACAGCTCCAATAAAACATATCACTTAGAATTTACAAAAACAAAAAGTGTCCCTTCAGAAAACCTTGAGAATAAACTTCAGATGCTTCCATCCGTTGAAAAACTACTTTTACTCATCGATTTTTTTCCAAAACTCTTCTCTATAGGTTCCTGAATGATTTTTCAATTGCTAAAACCCGACAACAACAAAGAAACCTTACCTGAAGCATATCCAACTGCCCACAAATCTTCCGTTCATAATCTTTATCATGTACAAGCGCCAGAAGCGCTCGCCCATTCAATAACATGCCAAAATCACTCAAGTTCGGCCGAAAAGCAAATATAAAATATTTTACATCAATTATTTTGCGAGTTGGAACGAAATGCCAAAAATATTGGCAATACGGCGCTAAAAGGTATAACTATCGTCACGAAAACAAAGAATGCAAAGAACGTTGGCATTCCGCATCTTCTCGTTTATTCGAGGATATTTTACGTGAAATTTCTGATTTTTGACGTAACAAACGTCTTACACACCGGACACACAATAAGTTAACATGGATGAGTACACCAGAGAACCTTGGTATGTTGTTTTATTACTTTTGTTGGTATTTAGGTAATATTGGAGTAGGAATTGAGGGTTTTGAAGTGATTTATGATGAGGATTGATAATTGATAAACACGTGATTTTTTACCTGTTTCTGGTGATAAAGTATTGAATTAAGAAAATAAAATTTTTATTTTTGGTTTACTTAAGGGTATAGATGGACTTTTTATTGTAATGTTAACATCGAATATACTTTCAGTCCTCACAGGATCTTTGCCGATGCGGGTTCAGCGTTTGCCATGGGATTGGTGGGTGGAAGTATCTTTCACTCTTTTTCGGCCTACAAAAATGCTGCCAGAAATCAAAAATTGGCTAATATTTTCCGTGAGGTCAGGATCAGGAGTCCCGTGACTGGTGGGCAGTTTGCTGCTTGGGGTGGTATGTTCAGTACCATCGATTGCACATTGGTCGCTATCAGGAAAAAGGTAAGTATTTGTGTTGTTTTTGATGTTTAGGTAGTCGATGGATACAAATTATAGTTTATTTTTGATTTATGGAAAGTATTAGGATATAGGTATACCTAACACATTGTTTTTTAAAAATGCGATAAAGGATCGAAAATTTTTGACAATTTTTTCTTTAATGGGGAAGTTCTTGTCCTGCTTGATCTATAAAGAAGGTTTTTATTATTTTCTGCGTTGCAATTTAAGTTTTAATAGCAATATGGTTTTAGGAGGATTCATGGAACTCTATATCTTCTGGCGCTCTAACCGGTGGTCTTTTGGCAATTCGATCAGGGCCAAAGGTGATGGCAGGCTCAGCCATTTTGGGTGGTGTTGTACTAGCCATGATTGAAGGTATGGGCGTGGTAATGAACAGGTTTATGGGGCAAATGTACGACCCAACAGCTCAGTCACCGCCAGAGGATCCGATTGCCTTGCCAAGCAAAAAAGATGCTCAAATTGAAGGTGCCAACTTTGATGAAGCGTCAAAAACACCAGCTCCATTTGGTTTACCTACTTTGAATCTTTAAATTGGGTAAGATAAGGTTCATAGAGTAAAAATATTGTGTTTTCGATATTATAGTTGGTTGAAACTTGATTTTAAAGGCTTTTGAAGGGTATTTTTGAAGGTGTTGATGTAAAATTTGGTCTAAAGTTCAATTTTATTAAATTTTAGGCTAGATTTTGATTTTTTTATAAGATTTTTATGAAAAAAAAGCTAAAATATTAGCTAAATACCCTTAAAAAATCATGTATAACATCAATAAATTGTGTATTTACTCTGTGAACATTGTTTCACATTAACCATTAGGCTCCATTTTATCATTGATAGTTGTTTTTGGTCTAGGATGGGTGCAAGCCAGATCTCAGCGCCCAATCTTTATTTGTTGTTACTTTCAAATTGTTGTTTCCATGAATCGGAAAACGTCTCCGGTGTGTGATATTTGCGGTCTTGAGTTGAATAAAAACATAAAATCAGGTTTTCTTGGATTTTTTACATTGTGGTATAGCTTGGGACTTTATATAGGTATACATAGGGACTTTATGCAGCTATACCAGTGCACTATATGTATACCTAGGTAACTTAAAGTACATTTCTCTTCAAAAAATCCGAATTTCAAACCCTAAAGCGTTTTATCTCCACTGAGAACTAAAAGTATGTTAAGTTCCAGTAGTTTTAGCGGTGTTAACGGTCGAATGTTCTGTCGTTTCAGTGATCCGTTCGTCCACTTCCTTCCCTGGTTTGGTCTCTTCTTTAGATTCTATTTTGTTTTCAGCTGGTTTGATATTTTCTTCAGGGCTATCTGGAGTCGGTTCTGATGACTTGCTTTCTCGTTTGGCTCGTTTTGACCGTTTGCGAATCTTCAAAGCCACTATTACGACTACCGGGATTAGGAGCATCAGAAGGGTGATGATTCTGAAAGAAATTTATGCAGGGCATGGCAGTTCCAAAAAATCATGCCAAAGTTTGTATGAGGTGGTTCACTTAATTCTGTACTCCTTCAAAGCAAATTGTTGGGGTTGGGGCACAGAATTAAATGAACAAACTAATATTAAAAACTTTTATATTAGTCTTGATTATAGCTTCGTTCAAAGTTTTTGATTTTAGAATTGATTTTTTCGAAAAAAAACTTACAGAACCAGTATCAGTTCAAAATATTCAGTGTCTTCATCATAGCCAATGTACAGGAACGGCTGAAAATTGAAATTACAATAACAAAAGGCCATCTAAAGGCTTCGGATCAGAAAATGGCAAGAAATTTCTTTACAAAACGTATATCAAAAACTTTTTTTTCACTAAACATAAACTGGCAAGAACTTTCTTTACAAAGCAAAAACTGGCAAAAATTTTTTTTATAAAAACTTGCTGTAAAAACGTACAACTTGAAAAAGGAAGCCGGATTGATAATCAGTCATTTGTAATTCAATGTCAAATGGCCGATTTAACAGGTTTCTGAACCCATGCTCGTAGCAATCCATTGATTGCAGGTTAACTACAATGTGAACATGATCTTCTGATTGAATTCTTCTTGTATATTCTAAGTGGCCTTCAAAGACTGAAATTTTTTAAGATTATGAGTTGTCCTTCAAGATTTTTAAAAATAGTACTAAAAACTTACAGTAATGCATATCGCAGAACATTTCAAAGTAAAACATGCAATCGCCTATTTTGACTTTGAGCTTGTATGAGCTGAAATTAATTTTGCAATAAAAAATTTTAAAAAACCAAAAAGTTTTGTCGTCAATTATTATTGCCTCACAATTGCAAAGACGACAAGACTTTTTACTGCCTTGAGGGTCAGTCGTAAGGTAAAAAGTCATAACTTACTCAGTACAGTTTTCTACGTCCAAGTTTCGTGGAATGCTAATCAGAAGTGGGTACTTTTTATCGACCGGTGGGTTACAGTTTATGGCCAGAAAACGCATTACTGGAATTGTCAAATTTGTCACTCTAAAAAAATTTTTTTACAGCAGCCGTTACTAAGCGGTTGCAGAAACGGAGAAGTTAGTAAGGTCCTGATTTTTATAAAAAAGTTGATAAAGGGCAGCGTGAGGCAGGGCAAGACAAGGAAAGACAAAACAAGGCAAAGCAGGGAATAGCAGAACAGGTCAGGGCTGGGCAGCGCAGGGTATAATAGGGCAAGGCTGTGATGGAATTTGTCATCAACTTACAAATATTTCGAATCCGAGCTATAAAAGTGGATTCCTTCAGCATATTCAGGTAAAGAATCATTCGTATCAGCCACGAAGAAGGAACCTGTATAATTAGCCGATGAATATTCGATTAGAGCGAAAAGAAAAAACAGCCCGGTTTGGCGCATGGTACAAAATTTGAAATGAAATTTTAATTTTGGTTTTTGAAAAATTAAAAAATTGAAATTTTTAAGTAGGTTATCGAATTGTAGGATAACGGTAAGGAAAGAGTAGGGTGGAGAAGGAGATTTGGTTGGATTGGAAAAAGTAAAATAGGTAGGGTAGGGTAGGGTAGGGTAAGGTAGGGTAGGGTAGGGTAGGGTAGGGTAAGGTAGGGTAGGGTAGGGTAGGGTAGGGTAGGGTAGGGTAGGGTAGGGTAGGGTAGGGTAGGGTAGGGTAGGGTAGGGTAGGGTAGGGTATGGTAGGGTAGGGCAAAGTAGGATAGGGTAGGGTATAGTAGGGTAGTGTAGGGTAGGGTTGAGTAAGGTATGGTAGGGTAGGGCAAAGTAGGATAGGGTACGGTACGTTAGAGTAAATCTTCTTGATGTTTAAGCCAATTGTTTATAGTTTAACATTACTTTACTATAACATGAGTTCTTTGAGTTCGTCTTTTGGAAATTATGTACAACGTCATTTATAGAAGTAGTTCATTACATGGAGATTTAATAATAGTAATTTTAATCGTATAGAAGCCCTATACCTAATCACTTTATTGGAAACACGTCAGCAGTTACATTTCTTGTAGACTTGTGAAATCTTGGATTTGTTTGACCAATTTAAAGATTTCTGCAGTCAATTTAAGTAATATAGAATAATAGTGTATTACTGTCATTTTAAGTGTGCCTGTACTGAAGACTGTGGACATTTTTTAATACCTTGTTCTCAGTATTGTTTCATACTAATATACGTAGGGTAGTACAGTAAATGACTGCCTTTTTATATATAACATGTACAAATGTTGCATTATGGTTTTACAAATACACAGTTGCCAAAGTGTAAGTAGGGTCTATGAGGATGTATGTCTACATTATATTAATTATATTAGAGTGCATTGCTCGTTGCAACACCCGCTTTAATTTTTGGTGTTTAAGATAATTGTAGCTGTAAAGAGGATATTATCAAGGTTTAGAGACAGTCAAGTGACTATTTAGTAGTTGCACGGTAAGAAAATTGTAAGAATATTGTAATAAAAAAGTATTGTTACAGTAACTGTTGATATTAATAAGGCCGGTCTAGACTAAAAACTAATGTAAGGTGAATGTAGGTTAGGGTAGGTCGTGAAAGGGGTAGGGTTAGGAAAGAATGAGAGTACGATATGGTTTTACACGGCATGGTAAACTAGGGTAGAGTAAGGCAGAACAGAATAGGGTAACGGCAAAAACAAATATGGAAAAGAAAGAATAGGAAAGAAGGTAAACTATAGCAGATTAGTGCACTGCAGGGTAAGGCACGGCAAAATAGGGAAGGGTAAGGCAGAGTAAAGCAGAGTAGGGTAAGCTGCAGTAGGGCAAGGGATTGTAAATTAGGGTATCGTCTTGTAGGGTAAGTCTAAGATAAGGTAAGGTAGGGTAGGGTAAGGTAAGGTAGGGTAAAGTAGGGTAGGGTAAGGTAGGGCAGGGTAGGGTAGGGTAGGGTAGGGTAGGGTAGGGTAGGGTAGAGTAAGGTAGGGTAGGGTAGGGTAGGGTAGGGTAGGGTAGGGTAGGGTAGGGTAGGGTAGGGTAGTTACTAACTTTCAAGTCTTGCGACTAAAATAAATACATAAGTATCATTTTTTATACAATAATATACTCCATATACCGTAACTATTTTAAGTAGCATGTTATTACTCTTGAAGACATCTTCAACTTTTAAGATTTTAACATTTTCTTTCTTTTTCAAGTTGTGTAGTATGTGCCAAAGTGATGAAGGTCTGCATGGCTTTTCGAATCTACTACAAAAGTACGCGTGCGGTAGGATCTGCTGTTACCATGGTTATAATAGTTCAGAAAACAGAAATACAAAATGTGTACTGTTTGAAAAATGTAATATTAAGAGTGATGTCTGGAATGTTTTCCCATCGGTCTCGTATAAACATTTGTGCACGTTGATGTAGGTTGGGTTGGCAGTGGATTTATAGGTAATAGTACGTATATTAACATAGGTTTGTATACTAACATAGGTAATAGTACCTATACATATTAACATAAGGGTCGGTGTGTATATGAAAGTGTATATAAACATAGGTAGTAGTAGTATGTATCAGGGAAGTCGTTACAGAGCTTTTTAACAGGGGAGGAAAGCCAAAACCAAAAAAAATTTTTTTGTTATATTAACCTAGCTAAAAGTTCAAATGATAAACTACGAACAAGGTGAACATAACGTGGGTACGTAATGGCTATAGTAGACCACAAAACGGTTTGCAACATATTATTAATTTACTTTACCTTTAATTGTTTCTCTCTTTTCGACATTGTGAAAGAAAAGGTTTCTTTTTATTGGAGTACGTGCAGTTTAGCACTATGATTTAGTATGAAAAAGTGGGTGTTTTTTATTTTTCTCGTAAGCTTATTAATGGGAAGTTTTTTTTATAAGTCATGGAAAGTTTTGGCGTGTTATTTTGACATTATCAGAACTTTTTGAATGGTTAAAGAAGTCTTGTCGTTAATTTATACGGTTTTCTGTGAGAGAAAACGACAAGACTTAATTTATTCATTTCAAAGCATGCCAATTGACAAATTTATGTAATTCGTTATGTTTTTTATGCTTAACGTTTTGTTTTTCAATGATTTCATCTAAAAATGTCATTTTGATCAAATATTGTTGTAGATATGGACCTAATGGACACGTCTTCACGCTATCAAACGCATCTTGAAAATTATGCTTATCAACATGATTCTATGGATAATATGATGACAATCATACCCTTGAAGACCGATTTGGCTAACTTTTCTCAAAATGAGCAAACAATTGATATTACTATGGATGACAAAAGCATCATCCCAGCTGATCCCATTATTCATCGTAAGTTTTGTTTTATTTTTAAAGGCTTTATATTGAATTTTTGATGTCGAGTTTTATATGTTTTGTTAGTGCCTGAAATTGTGCGTTTTTTGCAAGGAATTGGGATATGTTACGTATTTTACAAAACCTGAAAATTTATAATCTATTTAACGTGCTTTTGACGCAACTTTTCATTATCATTTTACGTATTTTCAACAATATTTTTAAAAAAATGAAAATTAAATTATCATAAGCACAGAAAGATTTTTAATTGCATTTTTATCGCATAGTAACGTGACTCTACAAAAGTGTTGCTTAAAGTGCAAAATCTAAAGCTTAAAGTGCAAAGTTTTATTATGAAAGGTTTTAATTGACAGTATATACCTCCTGTACAACGATTTGCTAAGAAAATTAAAAATTGTTTGTTACGAGTTTTGGCATAGAGAAGACTTCAATGCTCTGTGTAATGGTACACTTTGATTTAAAACTTGCTTGTTATATGAAGTTTTTGTCATATACAAGCTCATAATTCTCATAATTTTTGGCTTTTCTTGGCTAGGGACATGACCGGATAGGGAAGGGAAGTAGGATTAGATTACAGTGGAACTGTACTATTGGGATTGAAAGTTGTTTGTTATACGGAGTTTTTGTTTGACAGGAGTTCCATTATATTTTTTCGAAGTTGTGTTTTGGGTTTTGTAAAAATGACGTTTTTTCAGGAAAAGCAAGTGAGCCAAACTTGAGGTGTTTGATTTGTGGAGAACAAGTGCTGTATCACAACTTTGGCACTTCCGCTTGCAATGGATGGTAAGTTCAATAACAGTTTATTTTTAAAACTGTAATTTTAAATTTAAAAAACGCTAGGGATTGGTGTATAGCTAGGGTTATGCTAAGAGCTATCGGTAGGGCGATGGATATGCTTAGGGCGATACCGATAACTATATCTTAGGTTATTTTTAGGTTTAGGTTAAGGCTATGTCTAGGGCTATGCTTAGGGCTATGCTTAGGGATATGCCTAAGGCTATGCCTAAGGTTATGCCTAAGGCTATGTCTAGGGCTATGCTTAGGGTTATGCCTAGGGCTATGCTTAGGGCTATGCTTAAGGCTTTGGGAAGGGCAATACCCAACACTATGTCTAAGGCTATTTCTAAGGCTATGCTTAGGGTGTAGCCAAGGCTAGGCATGGGCTATTTCTGGGTTATGGCAAAAACTATGTCTTGAATATGTCTAGGGCAATGCTTCAGGCTATGTAAGGGTTGTTCCTAAGGCTCTGTCTCTTTGGTTGTAAACTCACCTAAAGTCCATTAAGTTCGACTTCAAAAAAAATAATGTTTCAATGCAGTAAAACAGGATATTATAATTACAATTTAGTAAAAGTGCAAAAGAATTACGATATAAATGTGATCTTTGTAGTGCTGCCTTCTTTCGACGAACAATTTTACAACAAAAAAAGTATTTATGCCGGGAGTACGGTAACTGCCAAATTTATATGAGTAAGTTGTTATAATCATTTTTTTTTCATGTAATAAAACGTTTATTACAGTATATTTTTGGTGTTTTGATATTGTTTTTTACTACAGTTCATCGTGTTATATTAAACAGGTTTGTTTATATGTTATACTGTAATTTCAGCCAAACATAAAAGAAGATGTGCCTACTGTAGGTTCGAACGCTGTGTTAAAGTTGGAATGAATGTGTCAAGTAAGTTAAAGGTCATTTCGAACTTTTCTATATTTTTCAAAAATTTTTGTACTTATAAGTTTTGAGAAAGCAGTATGAGATTTCAGAACTAATGACAAGACTAGCCAGAGACAATGAATACCCATTAAGCCAGTTGATGTTTAATTTCAAAGGAATCTTCAGCTCAAGGAAACGAAATGCCATTATTCAGTTGGGGAACTTGGCTGCAAGTTTTTAAAACCTAGTCCAGAGCCCTAGCCCAGAGCCCTAGCCCAGAGCCCTAGCCCAGAGCCCTAGCTCAGAGCCCTAGCCCAGAGCCCTAGCCCAGAGCCCTAGCCCAGAGCCCTAGCCCAGAGCCCTAGCCCAGAGCCCTAGCCCAGAGCCCTAGCCCAGAGCCCTAGCCCAGAGCCCTAGCCCAGAGCCCTAGCCCAGAGCCCTAGCCCAGAGCCCTAGCCCAGAGCCCTAGTCCAAAGCCTTAGCCCAGAACCCTATACCAGAGCCCTAGCCCAGAGCCCTAGCCTAAAGTCCTAGCCCAGACTCTAGCCTTAGCCCAGTGTCTGGAGTTCTAGTTCTAGCCCCAGTCCTAACGTTGGCCTTAGCCCCAGTTGTATCTTTAACTCTAGGATTTTCATTTAATGGTTTTAGCTATTCTTTGTTTTACCTTACTTTAGTCTAGCCTATGCCTATATCTTTATTTTTATATGCATATTCAGAGACTAGAATGCATGGCAGAACAGCCTCGCACTTCAGCCTCCTTGATCCGAGCAACTATGGTAGAGATATCAGTTATGAAAGAATTCTTGAGGAATACAAATTTCATACAATGTCTTGAATACAACACTGATTATGAAGTAAGCTGGATTGTCAAAATAATTTTTTCTAAAAGTTATTTTGTTGTAACTAAAACGTCATATTTTAAAATTCGTTTTTAAAAAAACTTTTTAAGATAAAAAAATTTTTCAAAATTTGAATATTTTAGTCAAACAGCTTTTAGTTTCAGAAGAAGCTCTGCTCCACCTTGCTACACACATGGTTGACGATGCATTCTGTATTCTCAACGAGAAGTAATCAAGGACACAAAACGAAAAAACTATATTTTGTTGATAACAGTTATCTAAATGTGAATGAGGACGTAGTGGTGAATTATTACAGTACGAACAAAAACTTGAGCGATCCTTTTTTTGTTGCGGTGTAAGTAATATGACATATGATGGCTGTTTAGCTTTTGCGTGAGAAGAGTAGTGTTGTTCAAGGGGAGAAGAGTGACAAACGTTTTCAAATTAAGATGAAAAATACACTAGGACTAGCACTAAGACCAGAGCTAGGGCTATACCGAACCGTATTCTTAAGTTTAGGGTTGGATCAAGGCTTAGGACTAAAAACAGAGTTTATTGTTGTAAAAATGAAATACTTGTAGAAACGGAATGCCGCTGATGAAAAGTGTCTTCGATGCTGCTGGTGAACTGGACAAGAATCACATTGATGAGCATGAACTTCTCATGTTGACTATGATGGTTGTGATACGAGCTTGTAAGTCTTTATTAACTCATTTTTAACGCTTACAATTTTTAAAAAATAATTTTTTTTTATTTTGAAATAGTTGACTTTGAAATTTTAGGTATATGCCGGATAGGGCAATCAAATTACTATGCCGAATGGCAAAGCAGGGTCCAAAAAGAAATTCATCAGTATTACAGTAGTCGATACGTAGATATACCGAAACGATTGGGAGAGTTAATGTTATGCTTGGAGGCTTTGGAGGTAAGTTTATTTTTTTGTTTAGTATTTTAAGAGGGTAGCTTTAGCGTAAGGGTTGGCCCTGGTCTTGGCCCTAGCCTTGGCTCTAGCCTTAGCCCTAGCCTTGGTTATAGTCTTGGCCCTAGCCTTGGCTCTAGCCTTGGCCCAAGCTCTAACTTAGCCTTGGCAATAGCTATAGTTTTACCCGTGGGCAATATTCTGATTAATTAAAAATTTTTAGACAGCCGATCGAAGTTGTGATCAACTAGCAGTACTGATACAGTTAAACTACCGTAAGACAGAAGACCTTGGTTACAAACTGTATGTTCGTGGCCATAACGATGTCAAAACATAACTTTATCTATTATACTTATTATGACATGTACATACTTTGTAAACTTGTTTTTATGTTGTAAAATCGAACAGTAAACCGGTATATTGTAGTAGGTACGGTGCTATACATGTTTACAGTAAATTTTTTGAAAATTTGAAAAAATTAAAAAAATTAAAGTATATTATATATAAAACAATTTATTAAAATTAAGTTAAAACGGCAGTAAAATATAAATTATGTGATATCATTTTACGGTAATATATTATAGTAGATCATATTAGCTTTTGATGAAGTTTGATATTAAAACAAAGCTGGCATAGGTGTTGTGGGTGAAACTATGGTAATATTAACTATAGTAGCCATGATATTGGGCCGTTGTGTTGTAATTTCACCAAAATGAGCTATGGCAAAGGTGTCATCACTTCGATCGTATGTTTGTTCCTTAGCCATTTGGGATACTATAAGAATTTTTTGTAAAATACAATTATTAAACCCTGTTTTAACATATTTTTATGTTATTTTATCATTGACAACATTATTTTTATCTTTTTAAGAGATTTGGTATAAAATCGCTTCCACAGCCTGCAAAACCTCGGGCGCAGCTCGAAAACAAAGCCAGTTTTTTTGCCAAAACAAATTTGATCAAATATCAAGCTTTTATATTCCCTTACCATCGCCATTATCGTTGGTTTTCTCAACTTCTTCAATCCGATCTTCATCAATATTAGTTCCATTACCTTGTTTTAGATCTTCACCATCTTCAACTTCAGATTCAGCTATCGTTTCATTCTCACGCCCACTGTTGTTGCCATTACGTTCATTTTGACCGGCATTATCTTGGTTTTGATTCCTGTTATTACCGTCATCAACTCCGGGCATTGGCGGGATTGGGAAGCCGGTTTCGGATATTGTTTTAGCTATACTTGGAGGTGTTGGAAATAGATCGTTATCTTCGTTTTGTTGGCCTGGTAAGGAAGGATTTGATGTTGAATTAGGTTGGGTAGATGATGTTACATCATTTATTTCTGAATCCGTTTGATTTGGCGTGGTTTCTGTTGTGGCAGCTGAGGACGTTGTTGTTGATATATCAGCTGATATTGTTGTAGGTGAATTTGATGAATCTGAACTTTCTGTGGTTGTTAAAACGTCAGATAAAGTCGTCGAAGATTCAGGAGAGTTTTCTGAAGCTTCTGAAGGCGTTGTTAAAGAAGCACTCTCATTAATATTGCCAGAAGATGATTTTGTAGTAGCTACACTTTCATCTCCCTCTGTTTCAGGTAAATCACTTTCATCGCTGACTCCATTTGAAGTATTGACAGATCCTGGTGGTGTTAACCAACTTATACTTCCTTGAACTCTATTGTTGTTATTCGAGTATGTATTATTATTTTGAGCAGCATTTCCACCTTGATTTACACTCCATTGACTTTGACCTCCTGAATTTTGTTGATTGCCAAAGTTAGACCAGTTCCAGTTGTTCCAGCCGTTTACATTTGATGTTTTTTGTTGATTAGTGTTTGTAGAAGACGTTGAAGATGATATTGTTCGGTTGGCCGCAGTGATATTGGGATGCGTAGAGGTTGAAACCGACCAATTTTGCCCGTTTTCCGAAGTATTTTCGTTTTGAGTTGCGTTTTCTGACTGATTTGTACCAGCTGCACCATTCTGACCATTTTCTAAAGATGTGTTTGTAGCTCCTTGGCTTGCTGATGTTGTATTTCCATTAGAATTTTGGGATTCAGAAGCGTTATTCGTAGAGTTTTGGCTATTTTCCTCTGAATCTACCCCGAAACCTTCGCCAAATGGTCGGTCCCCGTTGGCGTTTATGGTCGTACCTCCTTGGTTTTGACTTGTATTTTCATGGGAACCACCAGAAGTGTTCCAGGTACCTCCACCAGTAGTTTGTCCATCAACCGTGTTAATTCCACCAGTCCAGCTAGAGGTACTGCTCGATTTTGGCTCTTCTCCACTGACAAATTCGGGCTGTCCTTGTCTTCCTGGTGCTATTGTAACCCATGCTACGCCATCTGAACTCCACAATGGTCCAAAGTTGTTCAGATTTGAGTTTTGGGCTGAATTTTGATTTGAATTCGTATTCTGGTTTGAATTCGAAGTTTGGCCTGAGTTTTGACTAAACTTTGAATTCCAACTGCTCTCCGAAGTAATTTTCTTGCCATTTTCGTTGAACAGGCTATCATCGTTGTCGGAGTTTATATTCTCCATGCCTTCGAATGGTTGTAGAGAGAAGGTGTCTTTGGTCGCATCTGTCGGAAATAAAGCGTCTGAATTTAAATTATCCGAATTCACGCTGGACCAGGATTTATTATCTGAACATGGAAAGTTGGTTAGTAAGGATAGGGTAAGATAGGTAAGAATAAGGAAGAGAAGGTTAGAGTGAAGTAGGGACCATATATTGGACTACAGTGCGTGCTTCAATATAGTGTAAGCTTTGGTGAGTGATTCCATATAGGTTAGACTTTGTTATGTTAGGTAGTACAGGTACTAATGGTACAGCAGTAGGGCTACAAGAAAAATGAAAAATTTGATAGATAAAAGGTGAAAAGAGTAAAAAATACTTAAAAAGTACGTTACGAAGGTCATTCTCAGCAGTTTTTGTTAGTTGAAACAGAATGCCAAGCTTCATAAAAATTGGCGGGAAAATGAAAATTCAAAAAAATTTTAACGTTGAAGGAAAATTTGTTTTAATAAAAACTAAAGAAAGGATTAAAAAAGTATTTTTGACCTTTTTTGAGTAGATGAAACAGAATGCCAATGCTAAAAAATATAACGGAAACCAAAAATTCAAAAAATAAAACGGCGGGAAAATAGAAATTTGAAATAAAGATCGGTGTAAAAATAAAAAAAAATGAAAAAATGAATTAGTAAAATACGAGAACAAATAATGAGCCTCTAAATTATTTACCGTCAAAAGGAAAGCTGTTCTCCCCATCAACAAAGTTAAGATTATTGTTAGTCGCTGAGCGGAAACTTTCACCCAAAACCGGAGGAAAGTCTTGAACATCAGAAATGGCTTGATTGACTAGATTATTCAGGTTTAATTTCGATGTTAACCAGTTGGCATTGTCTTGTGTGGCAGTTATGTTGGCTGAAAAGGGCTTTCATAATGTGAAGTGTGAGATTTTGGTCTCGCAACGAAAACTTGTTTTGATATCTTTTTATTTAAAGGCCGAAATTATTTTAAATTCTATCATTTTTTGGTCTCAAACAACCAAATTTTAAAAATTTTATTACTAAAAAATCATACTTAAACCTTTTTTGGTCCCACCACGAAAGCCTGATAATATTTTTTTTATAAAAATAAAAAAGACATAATTCTTGACCCCGTATTTTACTATAAACTTACTCAAGTTTTGTATTTTATATTCACCATAGTCGATTTGAGGTTGGATCGTATGAGGAGGGCTGAGAGTACCATTACCTCTTCCAGTAATTACTATTGCTACATTTTCTGTCGTGGTAACTAATATAGGTGCTTGGCCAGTGATTTGGACTAGCTGGTTTGAGGCTGATAGTCGGACCTGAAAAATGGTTAAAACTTTGTTTACAGGGTTTGAAATGGAATGAACTTTCTTTACAAAAAGAAAATGGGATTCTTCGTATAACTTGTCACTCGCAGGCTGCGGAACTTTGAATGTTAAGCTTTTATTAGGTAAACGGCAAGAACTTTCTTTACAAAACAAGAAATGGCGAAAACTTTCTTTACAAGACAAAAAAGGGCAAAAACTTTCTTTACAAAGCATAAATGCCAAAAACTTTCTTTACAAAACCCAGAACGACATAACTTACTTCACTTTTGTTCGTACTCAAACTAAGTACACTTTCATTGGCATTAGCATAGATAGCCGGACCATTTTGAGCTCCAACCAGTTGTAGTTGTAAAGTTTGAGCTATTAGTTGTAAATGGTCGATATTCTTGTTTGGTCGATCATTCAAATTAATATCGACACCTGTAGTTCTATCTAAATCCGATTTCGATGGAGTCGAGACGATTACTGTAACATTGGGAGAGTTGTTTTGAACAATTACTCGAATTCGATCAGTTAGGTAGTCGAATTGAAGCGACTGGTCGTTAATTGAGGCTTGGAAAGTAGCCCCAATGGTATGAAATTCGATCCGATGAGAGCTGGATATTAAGATTAGGCGACGGTAATTGCGGTCGATTTGGATTATTATTTCACCGTAGGTTAGGTGGATCTGAAATGAGGTAGTTAGACGTAAGAAAAATTTAGAAATAAACGAAAAAAGGTAAAATACGAGGCCCAGAATGAATGATTGAAAGGTTTTCTTGTTTTAAGGTCTAGGGTCAAGTAGGTTAGGGCAGGGCAGGGTAGGGCACATTATTTTAAAACAGGCTAGAATATGGTAGGTAATGTAAGGCAGGGTAGTTTAGGGCAGAGTAGGATAATTCTAGACAAGGAGAAAGAAAGGTACTGTACGGTAGGTTACGGTATTGTATAGAAGGGCAGGGTAGGGTAAGTAAGGTAAGTTAGGAAGGATGATGTATAGCAGGGCCTACGTAAGGTAGGGTAAGGCTTGGCTATTGGTACTAATGGGTAGGATAACGACTATGTGATAGGGAAGGCTACGGTAAAGAATACTGTACGGTATAGTAATGATGCGGAGAGCTACAAAAGGGTATGGTAAGGTAGGGTAGGATAGTATACGGAAGAGAGGGTAAAGTGGGGTAGGGTAGGGTAAGGTAGAGTAGAGGTGGGTAGGGTCGGGTAGGGTAGGGTAGGGTGGGGTATGGTATGATAGGGGAGGGTAGGATATGGTAGACTAGACTAAATTAGGGTAAGGCAGGACTTACCAAATTGCCTTGTAAAACCACATCAACAACATCATTATTATCGACCGAGTTGACTCGAAACTCTTCCGTACTATTCTCATACCCAAACCTGAATATCTTATCTTTCTCATTCGTCCCCGTACGTGTCCTCAAGTTAGCATGAGATCCATTAAAAACAGCCAAATTGAAGTTTAGATTAGAAATGGCAAAGTTGACATCCGAATCAAAAATAGTTCTCATTTCCGACTGGTCAATTTGATTTGGATTCATTCTCAAATCTAGAGATGTTTTTGATGCTAGACATCTTACTCGTACTGAATGTAAGCCTAGTGCTATGTCCGAGTAGCTGGAGTTGATACGAAGGAATGAGGCTTTACTGTCGATGGATGATAGAGAATACCTAGAGAAGTAGCTAATGTTATAGGGAGGTTTGTTGAATTCTAATATTGAATCTAGCGAACGGGTTTCTACTGTATCTTCTAGTACTGTCACGTTTGAGCGGAGGGAATGGACCTGAAAATTAAAAATTGTAATTTTTTCTTACTCGTGTTGGTCCCACCACGAAAACCTTTGTAGTAATATTTTGACTATTTTTTGTTTTGTAAAGAAATTTTTTGCCATTTTTCGCTTTGTAAATAAAGTTTTTGCCATTGTGCCATTTGTTGTCCTGGAAAGGAAGTTTTTGTTATTCTTTGTTCTGTAAAAAAAGTTATTGGCTTTTTTCTCTTGTAAAGAAAGTTCTTGCTATTTTATAGTTTGTAAAGAAAGTTCTCACTATATTGGAAAAAAAGAAGTACTAAGCGAGCCCGTATTTTACCTACCTGTACATGTTCAATAGGTATCAACTGCCGTCTGTACCTCTTCACAAACTCGGCACCTTCATAACGATACACGAATATACTAATTAGTACTAAAATATAAAACATTGTAAGGGCACACAACTTTTGAGCATTTCGTTTCAAAAATGTAATTGTAGTGGGCATCTCATTTTGGCGGCAGCTTTTGTTGATAGGATTTGGCAGCTAAATGAGTAAAGTGTACATAGCAGTGTAACATTGGTATTAGTCGTTGGCAGACGAAAAATAGTATTGTTACTCTAATTGGACACTACGAAGTATGTTAAGATAAAAGAAGATGTAATAGGGTATGATAAATAAGTTAGAAGGTTAAGTCCAGTAAATGGTAGCAAGGGTTTGGTAGGGGGTTGATTTTAAGGAAGTAGGAGGAGGTTTTTGAAGAGAGAAGGTAGATATTAAGAGTATTAGGGCCGTTATTTTAGGCTAAGTTAAAGAAAAAGAAATTCTAAGTAAGGTACGGAAATGATGAAGGAAGGCTAGGGCAAGGGTAAGTTAAAAGTAAGAAAGGTACAGTAGTATTATGTATGGTGCTTGGTTGAGTAGGGAAGGGTGAAAAACGGTAAAGTAGGATATGGAAAGGGGCAAGGCGGGGCATGGCAGGTCTGGGCAGAGCAGGGCAAAGCAAGACAGGGCAGGGCAAGACAGGGTACTTTATTTAATTTTAGTAAAAGCCATTTTTGGTTAGAAATATGAAAAAGTAAGGTAAAATAACATCCTCTCCTTCTTACCAATAAAGCTACTGTAACAGTAAAACCCATAAATAAAAAAAATATTGCAAAAACTACATTTCAAACACAAAACACCCTCGTGACCCACAGCAAGTCAGCAACAAGTGCTACCAGTTCCGGTGTCCAGCTTTAAACAGTTTCGAAAAGCGCGCTTTTCACCTTTTTTTCCCAACCCTCTGGCCTCAAATCCCCGGAGGGGATCTTTCTTCTTTCGGCCGTTGTCCGGACACTCTAATTCACCTTTATTCGGACAGTCTAAACGGCCTTAAAGAGTCGTAAATGTTTTTTTTAAATATGGTTGGCTTAATCTCTTGTTGGCATGATATTTCACTTATTGTTAGTTTTTTCTGGATTAAGATGTAGCAACGTGTTCTTTAGTCATTTTTTTATCATAATTGATCATAATGGGGCTTAGGACTTTGGTAGGATGAGGGCAAGGTTAACATAAGGTAGGAGAGGGTGGAACAAGAATAGAGTAAAGGCAAGATTAAGGTAGGGTAAGATAGGAAAAGTAAGAGTAGGGTAGTGCAAGGTAAGGTAGGGCAGAACAGGGTAGGGCAAAGCAAGGTAAGATAAGAAAGAGTATAGTGAGGTAGGATAGGGTAGGGCACAGTAAGGCAAAGTAGGGTAGGGTAAGGTAGGGCAGGGTAGAATAGGGTAGAGTAAAGTAGGGTGGGTAAATATAGTAAAATAGGAAATGGTTAAAAAAAACTTTTTTTGTTTTTAGTTTTGTAAATATTATAGTACTATATTTACTAGCACGTGTCTTAAACAATATTTTTAGTGCACTATTCGAACTCCCCGCACTTATAAATATCACCTGCATTTAAATTAAATTAGTCGTACCGCTAATGTGGATCATACATAACGAACCCCTTTCTTTTGTGGTTCCCATGTCAACAGTCCACAGCTTCCACTGTTGGGTATTAGGTTGGTTTTTAAGTCTTTAATTAAACTCGAACCATTTCATTTAAATGTTACGTTTTTAAAAACCTCTAAGCTTTAAATTACTACAATTTAGAAAAGGTTGGGCTGTAAATAATAATTTTAGGGGCATTTATGTTATTCATAGCATGTAGGTATAGTGTGGTGATGAAAAATATTGTTTTTTGAAGTTTTTAAATAGAAAAATAGAAAAACGCTTTTAACTATAATGTAGACAATACTTTAAAGCATCTAAAACTTACCTTTTCAATAATTTAGGTCTTATCCAGTAATCCATATTCACCATGGAACAAGCTAGAGCCATAGCTGAACAACTCAGAATTGAAGCAGCCGTTCAACGCAAAAAAGTGTCAGAAGTATCGGCAGAGTATGTTGATAAGATAGAGCAGGCTTTTGTGTTGTAGAAAATTTTAATCTACTGAATTTTAGTTTGATCGAGTACTGTGAAAATGGCAAAACTCAAGATTGCTTGGTGTCCGGTCCAAATGATCATAATCCGTTCCAGGAGAAGAAAAGCTGCAATGTTTTGTGAATTAGATACAAAATATAATGCATTAACATCTGTGCTTTGATATGAACTTGTGATTCTTAAAATTTGCCTAATAAAGTAGTTTATTTTTGAAATTTTGTATAGACCGAGCCGTCTAAAACAATATAAAACTAAATTTTTTAAAAAATTGATAAAGGTAAAGAAAACGTACCAAAAATTATTATAAATGTACTGAAAGTAAAGGATTTTTACTACAATTTCCATGAACATCAAAGGAATTCGCCAGAATGTTATTGTTTATCGGACGCAGGCTTTTTGCAGACTGCGCGACAACCTTATACGCCAAAAGCTGCAAAAAATAAAATGGATTTTCTTCGTTTTGTTTTTTCAGAGGAGCTTCTGAATCCTGTTTCGAACGTTTTCTAATAGGCTCTGACACTTTTATTGATTTAAAATTTATTTCACATTTAAATCGAAGTGTTCTTTATATTATTTTACATTTGGAGAATTTTCGAGCTTTGGATAATATTATTTTAGCCATAACTTCCAGTTCCGGTTAGTATAATATTTCGTTTTCTCTTTTTCATAGTCTAATTTTATAAAGTAACGTTTAAAAGCCACAGGTGCACAAATTTATCGAGTTTTACTTGAATAAAAGTGAAAAATATAGTTTTAGAGATGAAATGGCCATTTTCAATCGCTTTCATGGGTTCTTCACAGGAGTCCAGCCCAGGGACATCTGAAGCTCAAACAGCGAGTTATGAAGCAGATTCAGCAGCTTTAGAAGAGTTTAATAATTCGTTTCAAAACTGGGATGCCGAGTTTGCATCGGATCCAACAGAATGGGAGAGGAAATTCAACGGAGAATGGGAAAAACTGATTAAAAAGCTACAGAAACCATGTAAAGAAGTTAGCACTGTACGTTCGTTTTATGTTTATTTTGTTTTTGAGTTTTTAGATGAAAGATAAAAATTTTTGGAACAGTTGGAAAGGAGTTGTCGATGTTTGAGTGAGCGACATCAAGTGGAATATTGAAATGAAATTAAAGTTATCGGTTTTTGATTTAACTTTTTTTAACAAGGAATTATAGACTTGAAATTTTGAGGGATGGCAGATTATTTATTTTTTAACTAATAATATAAAAAACAATGTAAAATGTGCCATGATTTTGATGTTATAATATGTAAACCTTAATCCTATCTTCAAACTGCATGTAAAGGTTTTTTTAGTATTTTGTAGCTTTAAATGTAAAATACGGCTTTTGTTGTTATCAGTTTAGAAAATATAAATTATAATAGTTTAGTATCGCAATTTCACTAATAATATTGTTTTATGTAACCGAAGTATGCGCTCATGTCGATTCAATGTGCAAATTGTTGGTAATGGAAGTGAATTCATTGCCAGTGGCAGCAATAGGACCTATATTGGAACTAGTGTTTACTCACGATATATTTAAAATAATAGTGGACTGGGCTGAAGATATTCCTCTTTTTCTAGTTCCAACTTGTCAGGTAAGCTAAATTAATATTTTTTTTCAAAAACAAGACTTTACTTAAAGGTTCGCTTTAAATAGTAAAATATTAAATTTCAAATAATTTCAAATATTTTTTATTGCAGCTAGGACTACTGCGGATATACCAAGGTTTAGTGACGAGGAATCACTCACAAACACATTGTCTTCTTGTACATAAACCTATTTTACTGCCACTTTTGCAAATTTTACAATGGTGTAGAAGGTCGGCTGAACAGAGATGCTTTCAAAGAAGCCGAATCGACCGAGATTTTGTGTTTTTACTGCATGAGGTATGTTGTTTTTACTTTTTTTGGAATTTAGATCAAAGTTAAAAGAATCTGCTTATTAAAAGATAAATGGCAAGAACTTTCTTTACAAAACATAAAATGGCAAGAACTTCCTTTACGAGGCGTAAAATGACAAGAACTTTCTTTAAGAAACATAAAATGGCAAGAACTTTCTTTACAAGGCAAAGAATCGTAAAAACGTTCTCTACAAGTTTAATAATTACCTAAAAACTCGCTTGAATCTCCTATAACATCAAATAAAAACTTCATTTTAGATCTGCAAGAAGATTTCAGTCGACAGCACGTTACTCGATTTCTTTTTCAATCCACGATCAACCGATGGCTTTGATTTGTACGAAAAGACCCAGCCTTTTTTGGTCTTCAACTTGCTAATCAGATATTTATATGATTCTGACTATGAAATCTCATTTCAATGTAGAAATGCGCTTCTTCTGATTCTGACGGCTTCTAAAGATTTGGATTTTGTGGCTACACACGTGGCTGAAGAGGTAAAATACGGGTTCTAAACTCATGTTCAAGTACTTAATCTTTGTGTAGTCGATAAGTATTGGGTTTTTTAAATAATTCTGAGCCACTAACTTTGAGAAGTTGTTTGGCTAGTTTTCAAATTTCAGTCCAACTTCTGTCCAGTACTAGCCACAGGTCTCTCCGGTTGTTACTCTCAACTGCCATTCTTTATATGTGAAGCCCTGAGGCTAAAAGACGATGAATTTCACAAACTATACATTGATGCTGATTTTGATTCTGTAGCCGAGCTGATCAACTTTCATGGTGCTCTCTTGTTCTGTAATGCTGTAGTTGGAGCGGCTCATCCATTGGTGGCTAAAAGTATAGTAGACTATTTTTATAGTGGATTCTTGGAGGAGGTGGTCAAGCCATCGTTGTTGCAGGTAAGGGTGGGGTGTAGAAGGCTTTGAAGTTTGCAAAACTGGAAAAATGGTCTGAATTGAATGAAAATGAAATTGTTCGTATAACTTGTCACACACAGGCTGCAATGTTTAACAAATTGGTTTTTAAATGTAAAATACGGCGCCTGTAGCTTTACTTCTTAAAGTAGAAAAATCTTTCTTTACGAATAAAAAAATTTTTTTTTATTATTTGAAAAATGGCAAAAAATTTCTTCACAAAGCGAAAAATGAAAAAAATCTTAATTAAAGCTTTCAGAGTGACATAGAAAAGCTGATAAGCAGAATCGCCTACTTCCATTTATGCTTGGAGACCGTAACCGAGCCAGCAATGATTCAAACCATGTTGAAATTACTGTCAGCTTCCGAAACAAACACACCTGATATGAATCTGCTCGAAGTGATTTTATACAAAATGAATCAAAGTGACAGGGTAGGTTTATATGGCCATAATGTGACAATTTTTGGGGAGTGAGTAAAATAGTTTTAAAAGTTGATTTTGGGGTCAAAAAGTATATAGAAAAGAGGTTTTTATGGAAAAATGGCTGGTTTTTAGTTAATTTTTGACTTGTTTTTGGATTTTTTGAATAATGAAAAAATTTTTAGTGTAAAATACGTAACAATTAATTGTCTGAAAAATTTGTAACATGAATTTAAAAAAAAGATTATTTTTAGGCTAAAAATTGGGTAGAAAAGAGATTTTTAAGAAAAAGGTCAAAAATTGGTTAGAACCGCGTTTTTTTGTGAAAAAGTGGCAATTTTTTGCTGATTTTTACTATTTTTATTTGATTTTTTATGTTTGACAAGAGTTTTTTGGTCATAAGCTACGAAGAATTGTGTTTTTAAGAAATTTTGTGAAACGAGTTCTAAGAAAAATTATTTTTTGGTCTAAAAGTGAGTAGAAATGCATTCTTTTTGGTGAAAAATGCGACTCTGGTCGATATTTTCATAAATTGATAAAGCTCAATTTTTAGCTCTGCCGAGTGGTACTGTCTCTTATACGAACCCTACTCGAACTACGCTCAGAAGACTTTCTCTGGACCGCTTTATTCCGCTACATTTTGCCATTTATTCGCCTAAAGCCTCAAAAGTCTCGATTCGAACCCCAACTGACAGTAGAAGCCGCCAAAGCCTTCCTCTCGTGTATCCCAGAATCTTGCTTAAACATACCTGAACTAGCATCACAAGATGTGTTTGATGCCTACAATTCAGAAGCCTATGAATTCCTAAGAACGACCAAGAGGAATATAAAGCAATGGAAGTTTAAATACGATGGGGTTACCCCAAATAACCTTCTGAATCTAAATATACCAGAAGAAGTGTTGTCAGCTAGACAGAACTTTACGAGAATGTCGTCAGCTAGAAGCTCTATGACATCAAATGCTTGGAATAGGTATTTTACGAATAGATCAGGACATAACACATCGGATTCAACTTCATTGTATGCACCGGATTCTGGAAGATTTCCGTTGAATCAGCTAGGAGAAGATGATTTGAACAGCACGTTTGATGCTGACAGTGGGGAAGAGAGGTTCAAGGATTTGGATTTGAGGTGAGGATGGGAAAAGTTGGGTAGGGTAAGGTGAGGAAGGGTAAAGTAGAGTAGGGTAGGGTAACAAAGGGTCGGATAAGAAAGCGTAGGAAAGTGTAAGGTAGGGTATGGGAAGGTAGGATAGATATCGCCTATGATGTATTTTCGAAAACACCATGCCTTATCTTACTTTAACATACCCAACTCTACCTAGTTTTACTCTATTTTACCTTGGTTTACTTTACACAATTCTAGTTTATTGTACTATAACTTACTCTATTATGCTATACCCTACCTCATTATACCCTATTTCACTTTTTTTAAGTTACTCTATTTAAAAATTTAATTTTAGTAACGAAGAAGACCAATCAGAGATGTTTACCTCAAACTACGAACTCATGACTCAATCCCACATTGACTACTTTCAATTCGCATACGATGGCGCTTCAGAGTCCGATGATTCGAGAAAGAATTCATTTAAAAGTGAAGAGAAAGAAGAAGTCAAAGCTCTGGGGACAGAAGTTGAACCAGAAAAGCTGGGATTAATCAAAGCTGTCAATAAACAAGATTGGAATGGCGTTAAGGAGGTAAAATACGGGTTTTTTTTCTTTGTTGGGGCTTAAAGTTTAAAAATGACTTTTCTAAAGGTTTTTTTATACTTTCGAAGTTTAAATGAGTTTCAAAAATATTTTTTTTTTAATTTTAATTTTTTTTATTCAAAAATTTTTTTAGAACTTGCCAGAATTTACCGAGATAATCTCTTCCATACCCATAAACCAAAAGAAAGTAGAAAGCTTAACAGTCGACGAAGCCATCGACTTAATCAACTCCAGATTCCAACACGTCTATGAACTCAAAAACGAGCTAGAAGCGGTAGAAAACGAACGAAAGTCAACCGGTCACCCCCTCAAACTCGACCTCAATATGTCAAACAACAAAAACCAACCGAAAGGAGGTCTCTTAATGACATGTACAACCGAAAAAGGCGCTGGATACTTATTCGAATCACTGATAACGGCACTAGAAAGACTGGTCGATCACAGCATCACTACGAATGTACAATTGGCATTAGTATTGGAGGTATTGGCATCATATCCACAGCCAGTTCTGGAGACGTTATTGTTGTATTCGGATGTGATGAAGACCAGTTTTCTGCCTAGAATCATGAGGGTTTTGGAGAATTTGAAGATGAGAATTGATGCGTTTGCTACGAGTGTGGAGAACTTTGAAGAATATGTTAAAAGGGGCGCTAAACATAGGTAAGCAATCATAAAGCTAAGGGCCTTGGGGAATATAAACATTAAACATAAATTTTCTAAAGGGCATTTAAGGAATTTCAATTTGAAAAAGAAAATTTATATTGTTGTAGATCAGTCTTAGCCAACAGCTATCGTCGAGGAATGGGCTCGGGTCGATCCACCTTCAGACACACTTTGATAGTAAAGGAAATGGGCGAGGTGGACCAGCAAAAGACCAAGCTTTTCGCATATGCAGCCATCATTTTGTCTCAAATTTGTCAGCTTTTGGCCGCCAATGCCCTTCAACACACTCCAACTTATTCTGTTGATGGATAAGAGGAAGCAATGTTATTCTGTTGATGATTAATGTAATATTTAGCCGATGGATAATTTACTTGCTTTAGCCCGCATAATTTATTGAAAAATCTGTGATTTTGGCTGTTTTCAGGCACTTTTGACATCATTTTGTAAATTTTTAAGCTTCTTTTTGGGATTATAAAGCATCTATTTTAATATATTTTAAAGTATTTATTATTTTTAATGTATTTTTTGTATATAATAAAATATTAAGTATCATGGAGTGCTTGGCTTATCTAATAGTAATTATTTATCTAAGTTTATTTATTTCTTTGATGCATGATAAGTTTTAGATGACTTTTGATGTCAGACAAGGGTAAGGTAGAGTTGAGTATAGTACGATAACATAAGGTATGGTACCGTTGTCAGCTATGGTTCACTTTTGCTGTAGCTAAGATCATTATAAAGAGAGCAGAGTTCTACTAAAGTTGACTGGTGTAAGTGTGCTACAGTCGAAGCCTATGAAAAGTAATTGTATATTTTATATTTCTCCTTTCTATATATAGAGTTTTAAATATTATTGATTAATCTACAATCAAGTGTATATTTGGATAATGTATACTCTAGTTTATAAAATAATTATTAGTCACAATTGCTATTTTTATCACTTTTTTTTAATTGGACAAACACCACTTCCTTCTTTATTCACACTTTGATTGTCTAGTCGCTCAGCTCAGTCTGTCTATGGCCAGCTGTTGTCAGCTTTTCAAATTTTAAAAAATGTTGCGAATTCAAATTATAAAATAAACAATTACTTAAAATAAGGATTGTCATTGATTAAAATTTTTGAAAGGTAAAAATAGAAAGTAAAACGGAGCTTTTAATGAAATAACTTTAAAAAGTATAGAGTAGGCTATTGAAGGGTGAGGTTACGGTAGGGGTATGTAGGGTAGGGTGAGTACAAGATAAAGGTAGGATAAAGTAGCGTTAGATTACGGGAGTGAGGGCAATCTTAAAGTAGGCTATTGAATGTCATGTAGAGTACAGTTAAACCTGTAAAGGGATTGGGATGGGGCAACCAATGAGTTTCCCTTGAGCCGGTTTGGACCTAGTAGGGAGAATAGAGTAGAGTAGGGTAGGGTAGGGTAGGGCAGGGTAAAGTAGAGTAGCTCATTATAAAGTAAGTTATTGTACAACTAGTCTAAGCTTACTGTAGGCTTTGAATAACAACAAATACAATAATATAATAATAAGCAAATAATCCGCCAACACATTTTGATCCAAAAATATCTAAATGATATCCCACCCACCCTACAAAAAATGTAAATTTAGCTCAGCGATGACTAACATTTGATTGTCATTAGTTGCTTTTTGATGCGAAACTGTTTTTGTCTTGATATGTCGTCACTGTGAAACGAGGCGGTGTTTGTCCAACTGCACCACCCAAAATTTGTAACCGAAAATCGAAATATTAGCAAAAGCGGCCGCTATTTGTATTGGTGGGCTTACAGAAGCCTGTCCTTTTTTTGCTTTTTATAAACGTGGACTGGTTTCGAAACATATTGATGTAGGCTTAGGGGTAGGGAAAAGCTGTATTTTGATTTAGAGGCAGAAGCTGGCGTGCAGGGTATTTTTTGCGAGGGGTAAGCGTGGAGAAAAATTTTTCAAAAAAAATTTTTTTTTGTAAAATTTGCAATGGTAAGGCAAGGTGTATCTTGTAATTTTAGAAAACATTTGGGAGTGGGGCGAGCTTAAGGGGGTGAAAATTAAGTTTTTTTTAAAATATTTTTTTGTTAAAGTTTATAAAAAAGGGGGGGGGAGGGGAAAGGGTAATCTAATTTTTTGTGCGTCAGGGTGGTGGATAACATAATAGAAACAATTTTACAGTATAGTAGTGTTTTGAAAAGAAACGGCTTTGGCATGGATAGGGCAAGAGCAGAGACAGGGCAGAACAGAGCACGAGAAGGCAGAGCAGGGCAGAAAACGATAGGGAAAGGCAAGTCAAAACAAGGACATGGGATGGTAGGGCATGGTAAGGTAAGGTAAGGTTTAAATTGCTAGCAAGAGAGCTAAAACTGATAAGGGTGTTTTGAAAAACTAAAAAAAAATTTATTTTTATTTTGCCTAAAGAGTTTAAAGAATCAATTCTAACTTTAAATCATAAAAAAATTTTAGAAATCTATTTTTTACTAAGAAAATCTTAAATTTCTTACTAAAGTATACAAAAACTGACCTTAAAATTGATCACAAGTCCGACCGTAAGAAGCTGAACTTAAAAAAACTTTTTCAGCCTTGGAAATTGGCGGCCGCTTAAAACAATTGGAGAAGGGAGAGACCGGTCGCATCTTTGGGCCACAAAAAACGAGAACATTGAAGTAGCTAATTGTTTTAAAATTCGCCGAACAGCGATCAAATTCGAATCCGGAACGATCTTTTTGTAATACCAAAGACACCCGGATCCAGCCAGAGTTTTTCGGAGATGTTAGCGCTTCTTATCAGCCATGTTTTGTTTTCGTTTCGACAAAGGGCGGATTTAAAATGGCTAAAGATTAGGCCAAGCTCAAGGTGAGAAGGAGACTTGAATTGGAAAGCTATTTTGTAGGGGTACTGTAGGTTTTTGGGGCCAGTTTTTGAATTTTAAAATGTATAATTTGACATTTATTTAAAAATAATTATGAATGTATGCCATAGGTATAGTTGAGATAGGGTAAAGAAAGGATTTGGTGACTTTTCTTATTGGCAGCTAATAGGAATTGGCTTTGCCGAAATTGGTGTTTTAGGTCTGGCAGGGGTTTAAGATAAATAATGGAGTAGGCTAGGGTAGAGCAGCAATTTTAGTTAGAATAGGAAGAAATTTTTTTAATTTATAATTACGACTGGTCCTGAAAGGGACCCAATGCAACTGGTTAGGTAAGGTAGAACCAAGTTTGAAGCCGTGGTTTAAATTAGGGCTTGGCCTGGTTTTTTTACAGGGTTAAGGCAAGTCTAGAATAGAGCTAGGGTAGAACACGGGAAGGGTAGAGTAAGACAAGGATAAGGTATAGTATTAATAGTAGGGTAGGGTAGGGTAGGTATGATGCTTCTCTAGAGCCTGGTTGTTCAAAAAAAATTTTGGGTAAGGAACGAGATTTTTTTTCTGCCTTTTTACTACTTGGTCGCTAAAATGTAAATACCTAAACCTACTATTTGAAAAATAATTTTACTGCTTCTGAAATTTCAAAAATTGCTTTACAGTATTCTTTCAAATATTTCACAACCCTCAGGCTAAAAGTTAAAAATTTGTTGTTTTTGGCTTCGCGACTCGTTGAATTGTTGATTGAATTTGCAATTCCAACACTTTTTTTCATATTATAATTTTTTGTGCTTCTTTTTTGCGTTTTTTAATGCTACTCACTTGCGCTTGGTTGAGTTTTCAATTTTGATGAAGCTATGGAGAAAAAACCGACGGCTATTGCCTGGAGAAATGTAACAAAGAAACCTGGCTAGACATTGCCAAAAAAAGAGATTTTTTACGGAATTTCTTGAATTTCAATTTTTCGAGCTTGTTGCTTTTCGGCCGCGAGTTTGTCATTTTTTATTATTTTTTACACTTGTTCAGTGTGAAATTGTCACGGATTGTATAGTGGTTTGACGAAAAAAAGGGGAGGGCATGGGTATGACAAGGGTAGGAGGTTAGGGTAGAATATGGGTACAGCAAGGTTAATGTCAGTGTAGGGTAGCGCATGGGTAAAACAATAGCAGAGTCGGGCACAGGTAAGAGAAGGATATGAAGGATAGACTAGAGTAAAGTAGGGTAGGATTTGGATGAGGCAAAGGGTAGCGTACAGCATGGGTAAGGCAAAGGGTAGCATAAGGATAGAGTAGCGCATGTGCAGTGCATCGGTAGAGTAAGGGTAGGGTAGGGAATGGGTAAGGTAACTGCAAAGTAAGAGAAGGTCAGAGTATGCTACAATAATGGATGGTAAGACGGTGAATAAACGAAACAAAATCTATTGTTAGGCCTAAACTATGGTGATGCTAAAACCTCAGGCTTGGGTTCAGACTAGGGTTAAAGCTATGGCTTAGTTTATGACTCAGGTTAGACATAGAGCTCAAGCTAAGACTAAGACTAAGCCTGTTGCAGCTGTAGTCCAGGCTAGGGCTTAAGCCAGAAATAGAGATTAAGTAGGGTAAAAATTGGATTTTATAAATTTTTAACTTCCGTGTAAGATACTAAATACCGCGTTTCCACAAATTTACGTTTTTTTGTTTACTTGATTCGTTTGATATAGCATTTATTTGAAAGTTTCGGACTCATACTTAATCAAGGCCAGCTGAATTACGTGCTAAACATTAGAATTCTGTGGGGTGTTGTGATTTAAGAGCATGGTTGTTATAATTGTTTTTAAATTTTAAAAAGAATGTGCGGGAGTTTATTACGGTAATATTTTAAGCTCTAGTCCAGCGTCCTAGCTCAGAACTCTAGCCCAGAACTCTAGCCCAGAGCCCTAGCCCAGAGCCCTAGCTTAGAGCCCTAGCCCAGAGCCTTAGCTCAGAGACCTAGCTCAGAGCCGTAGCTCAGAACCGTAGCCTAGAGCCCTAGCCCAGAGCCTTAGCCTTAGTATTAACATATGTTGTCTATGAAATAATAGTGTTCACCCCGCAATTACTGTAACTTTTTTTAACAAAAATTATTTTTGCAGCACTATAACAAAGCTGATAACTAATTTAATGCCTAATTTGCTTTTACTCGTCACTCAATTCTAATACGGTATCAAAACCCCTCACCTACATTGCCATTACACACTTACCTTATTTGTTTACCTTGCTTTAAATAGACGATGTACTAAAAACACGAAATATCAATTTGTATAGACAAAGCTATAAGCAGAGAATGCATGCAGTACAAGAACGGCTAATCTGGTCCAAATAACAACACAAAAAAGGCTTAAAGTCGGCTAATGAGTGCTAAAAATACGGCTTATATTACACACCACATTCCACCGGGCTTGGAGGAATTGGCATGTCTTTTTTTATTAGCCATGGGTTTCGTTCAACGG